TGAAGAAATTCAGAGAAGGGAATTTTACGTAGACAGACTTTTAGTTTAATTTAAGAGTGGTGATTTCCCCACTCCTTTTTCTCCTATTTTATCCACTTACACTCCTTTTTTATAACTAAAAAAGGAGTGTAAGTGGATAAAATAGGAGTGGGGAAATCATTGCCCTAATTTAATGATAGATTCTAGAACTAATAATAAATATATAAAGGCATTACAAGAAGTTGGTAAGTTAGACAACGGACCAGTAGGATTTTTAGCACTGAAAATGAAGCAAACGTGTGGTAGTCTGGCCTTATCCAAGCCATGGAATTGATCCTACTACTAGTAAGAGACGATGGAGTGACTGCAAAAAGGAGGGTCTTGTCTCTTGTGCGTATGTTCTATGGAACAAATTTTCCTCGGAGCTGGACCTGCCAGTCGCTATATAGATATGAGCTGAACCAGTTACCTATGGCAAAAGACATGTACAGTCTGGATTTCTGTTGTTTGTACAGACAAGACAACATATTTAGTTAGAGCGACAACGAAGTGCTTTGCGTCTAATGTCATCTCAGTTGCATTGATTTTTCTGCTTTGTTTTTGTGGGTGTAGTCCATGACTTAATGCATTTATATCTGTGGTAAGACTTAAACTGAATTATGTATTGAAAGTTCACAGAGTCTTTGGTAGATAATTGAAAGTAATAGCCATGTTTTTCAAGCTTGTTATAGTCATACTAGTAAGCCTAGCAGCAGCTGAAGATCTCAATTTCACCTACAATGGTTTCCTGTCTGCTAATCTTAGCCTAGATGGCGTAGCCCAAGTCACATCCAATGGCCTTCTGAAGCTTACAAATGACACTGGCCTCGGCCATGCCTTCTACCCCAACCCAGTAACCTTCAAGAACTCATCCACTGCTGCCGCTTTCTCCTTCTCTACCACTTTTGTGTTTGCTATCAGACCCGGATTGGGACCACGTTTGGGTGGCCATGGAATTGCCTTTGTCATTGCTCCAACAAGAGGGCTCCCCGGAGGTTTTCAAAACCAGTACCTGGGCGTTTTCAATGAAACCAACAATGGCAACGCCAACAACCATATTTTTGCTGTAGAGCTTGACCCCGTACAGAACCCCGAGTTTGGCGACATCAACAACAACCATGTTGGGATTGATATCAATGATTTGCGCTCAGTGAACTCAACTCCAGCGGGATATCATGCTCTAAACAATGGCGGTTTCCGAAACTTGACCCTCCTCAGTGGTCAACCAATGCAAGTTTGGGTGGAGTATGATGGTATCCAGAAGCAAATCAATGTCACTTTGGGTCCAATCAATGTTGATAAACCCCATATTCCACTCATGTCTTTGAAGTATGACCTTTCCACGGTCCTTAACATGATCATGTATGTTGGCTTCTCCTCTACTGCTGGCTCACTCGTCACATCTCATTATGTTCTAGGATGGAGCTTTGAGATGAATGGCCAGGCTCCAGAACTTGTTCTCTCACAACTTCCTAAGCTGCCCCGGATAGGAGGTAAAAAAATATCTAATTTTTTGACCGGTGTGCCTGTGATGTCTGTGAGTTTGGTTTTGCTAGCAATTTCAAGTTTAATTTATGCCATAAGAAGGAAGAAGAAGTTTGCAGAGCTGCTTGAAGATTGGGAGCTTGAGTATGGGCCGCAAAGGTTTAAATATAAAGAGTTATATATGGCAACAAAAGGGTTTAGGGAGAAGGAGCTTTTGGGAAGTGGGGGATTTGGTAAGGTCTATAAAGGCATATTACCTTCCTCCAAAACTGAGATTGCAGTGAAGAGGATATCACATGAATCAAGACAGGGGATGAAGGAGTTTGTTGCAGAAATTATTAGCATTGGCAGACTTCGTCACCGAAATTTAGTACCACTGTTGGGATATTGCAGAAGAAAAGGGGAGCTGCTCTTGGTCTATGACTACATGCCTAATGGAAGCCTGGACAAATACCTGTACGACCAACCAGTGGTCACTCTCAATTGGAGGCAGAGGTTCAGAGTGATCAAAGGTGTGGCTTCAGGGTTGTTGTATCTTCATGAAGAATGGGAACAAGTTGTGGTTCACAGAGATGTGAAGGCCAGTAACATATTACTAGATTCGGAATTTAATGCAAGACTAGGAGATTTTGGCCTTGCAAGATTATATGACCACGGAAAGGACCCTAAGACTACTCGTATAGTTGGAACACTTGGGTATCTAGCTCCGGAGCATGCAAGATTAGGCAGGGCCACAACACACACCGATGTGTTTTCTTTTGGGGCATTTTTGCTTGAAGTTGCCTGTGGAAGAAGGCCAATAGAGACACAAGATCAAGATCTGGATGTGGTTCTGGTTGATTGGGTGTTTTCTTGTTGGAAGAGAAGTAATATTCTTGAGGCAATAGATCTAAACTTGGGTTCAGAATTCGTAGCAGAGGAGGTGGAATTGGTGTTGAAGCTTGGGCTGTTGTGCTCTCATTCAGAGCCTTCTGCTAGGCCAAGCATGCGCCAAGTAGTGCATTATTTAGAGGGTGACATTCCACTGCCGGAATTGTCATCTCTTGGTCTTTCTTCTGGTGGCTTGAAGGTCGCACACCACGAAGGTTTTGATGATTCGGCAATGTCATATCCGTCTTCTATGGGCAAGGAGATGTCATATGTTCCAGAGTCGTCACTTCTCTCAGGTGGTCGCTGAGGCCAATCAATTAAGATTCTCACCCAAGCTGCCATGCACGAGGCATAGAACATATATACATGCAGCTTTGAATGTTTCCTCTAGTTTATTAGTTTGTAACTAGTTACTTGTTACATTAAATCAATGCTGCCATCAAGCAAAATATTTCCTTGTTGCTGAAATGTGTATTATAATTATTTAGATAGTTTTATTATAAACTAGAGTTTTTGTGTTATACTATTTTTTATATAAGAAGACAGACATGGAACAATTTTTAATCTTAATAAATAGTAAAAAATTAGAACGGGAAAAGGGAGCAATTCTAAGAGGCGGCAGTCGGGTTGGGTCCGGAATGCGGGCCGAATCTTGGACTAGTAATTACTGGATGAGTGTGGCGGAGAGCTCCGCAGACCTCCTCAAGTTCTCAACTTTCAGGTCCTTCACCGTCGTCCGATGTCAAAACAGATCTTTGGCCATTTTTAGAGAATGGGTTTTGGCGGAAACCTCCATTTCTATTTGATACATCACGTTGTTGTAGGAGCAGGATTGAATTCTTCAACCTTCTAGACGCTAGCCAAAATAAATAATAAGTAAGAAGGTGAGTTTGGTACGGTGAAACACATTAAAGACGCTGTCCTAAAACCTTTGTAGCCTCACTACGTACAGGTACTAACAGTCTACAAGACTCCAAGATACGACACCTTGTACACAAACTCAAGATCCGCTATGAGCACGTTCATAAACGGATATAGGTATCCAAGTCACATAACCATTGCCCAAAATAATAATATAAAGTAGATAATATATATAAAAGTAGAAAAGGAGAGAATTAGTTTGTGGTGGTGATTGTGGTATGTGATATTATGATGGTATATTGTGGTTGTCCAAATGTGAAGGAGTGACCTTTTATAGGCATCTAATAACATTTAACCTTCGCCAACCAGAAAATTAAGGCATTCAATATAGAAATAAAACTTGAATATTAAATATTTATAACTCCCACAATAAATAAAATAAAACAGCCAAAATAATAAATAAATAAAATGGTTAAAATTTTAAAACTTTTTTTAAAATTCCAACATTGTCAAGTTTTCTTTAATGTCTTTGTGAAATTTGAATTTACATGATATATATATCGACTTACTGGTGTGCCAATATTGTAGCACTCACTGGCGGACCTGTTAAGGAGCAAAGAGGTGCAGTCTTTGTCTTTTTACTTTCATTTATTTTTATATTATTCCATTACTTAAGTTTACAATGTAAATAAGGAAGTACCCTCCATTTGAATTCAAAGAAAAATACTAGAAAATCAAATTCCCCCCAAATCAAAATTTGAAAAATCGGTTTTAGTGCAAAATACGATTTAGGCTAAAAATGATAGTTCATTAAGTCAATATATACTTCATAATAAAATCCCATAAAATCAAGTTTTCTTTTTTAATGTGTAAGAAATAAAAGCCGCTAAAAATTATCTTGAGAAAATGATTATTTCGAAAAATCATTTTTCATACTTAGTCAATATTTTTACATAGAACAATTTTTCTTGTATGATATGAATGCATGAAGGGACTTAAGGTCAATGTAGGTAAAAAGTCTTAGATGTTCAATCCACAAAGAGTTTTTAACCTTTCAAAATTGCACCTCCGTTAAAATTTTTTTGGGTCCGCCAGTGGTAGCACTAGTTGATGATTGTGGCAATCTGCATGGAAGTTGCAAACTTGTTTGCTTTTGTTTCGGTATATAATCATTTTATAAAAATGAATTTGGCATTTTGCTGCATGAAGAATTTGAGAGATTGGTTTTTGTTTTTTTGTTTTTTTGGTTCTTTTTACTTTAATAAGTGAAGCAGACGTGCCATGGTAACCCCACATTTAGCTGGCATGGAATTGATCTCGGGACACTTGTTTACTCCTTTTTGGTCGTAACAGTGATAGTGATTAAGATATGGGGTAGGAGAGTGTTGTACCTTTGTATCTATAGAATTGAGACGAGTGTGAGTGATTGTGAAAGTAAGGTCTTGTCTTGTGCGTACATTGCACGGAAGAATAAATTTTCTCAGGGCTGGAGGTTGGACCATCCAAGCACTATACAGTCTGAATTTGTATGAGCTGAAAAGTTGCGTATGGCGGCAGGCACTTGACAGTCTGGATTGCTGTTTTTTATTGGTACACGGAGACAACATGTTTAATTAGTGTGACAATGAAGGGTGACCTCACCTGCATTGGTTTTTGCTTTATTTTGGTGGTTACAGGTGATGACTTGATGCATATGGTATTCGTTATAAGATTTCAACTGAAGTATGTGAAAATAAAGTTTCCAGAGGCGTTAGAGAGAATTAAGAATGATAGCCTTGTTTTTCAAGCTTCTGATGCTACTCACACTTGCAAGCCTAGCAGCAGCAGAAGATGTCAGTTTCACCTACAATGGTTTCCGATCTGCTGATCTTAGCGTAGACGGCAATGCCCAATTCACACCCAATGGTATTTTAGTGCTAACGAATGATACTGAACAGCAAATTGGCCATGCCTTCTACCCCAACCCAGTAATCTTCAAGAACTCATATTCCAATTCCAATGCTTTCTCATTTTCTACCACTTTTGTCTTTGCTATTAGGTCCCCACTTGCAACTCGGGGTGGCCATGGACTCGCCTTTGTCATTGCTCCGCAAAGAGGGCTTCCTGGAGCTCTAAACGGCCGTTTCCTAGGCCTTTTCAACCTGGCTAACAATGGGAATACCACCAATCATGTTTTTGCTGTAGAGCTTGACACTGTATGGACTGAAGGGTTCAATGACATCGATAACAACCATGTTGGGATTGATATTAATGGTTTGAAATCGGAGGACTCTGCTAGTGCAGCATACTATGCTAAAAAGAATGGTGGGTTACGGAACTTGACCCTCATCAGTGGTCAACCAATGCAAGTTTGGGTAGACTATGATGGTACCATGAAGCAAATCAATGTCACTTTGGCTCCAACCAATGTTGACAAACCCCATGCTCCCCTTATTTCTTTAAACTATGACCTTTCCTCAATCCTTAACAGAACCATGTATGTTGGCTTCTCCTCCGCCACTGGCTCACTTCCCACGTCCCATTATGTTTTAGGCTGGAGTTTTAAGATGAATGGCCAGGCTCAAGAACTTGCTCTCTCACAACTTCCCAAGCTGCCTCGGATAGGAGGTAAAAAAATATCTAAACTCTTAACCATTGGTGTGCCTGTGATATTTGTGAGTTCGGTTTTTCTAGCAATTTTGGGTGCTGTCTATGCCATAAGAAAGAAGAAGTTTGCAGAGCTGCTTGAAGATTGGGAGCTTGAGTATGGGCCTCAGAGGTTTAAATACAAAGAATTATATATTGCCACCAAAGGGTTTAAGGAAAAAGAACTTCTGGGAAGAGGGGGATTTGGTAAGGTCTATAAGGGCATATTACCCACCTCTAAAACTGAGATTGCTGTGAAGAGGATCTCACATGAATCAAGACAGGGGATGAGGGAATTTGTGGCAGAAATTGTCAGCATTGGCAGGCTTCGTCATCGGAATTTGGTACCACTCTTGGGCTATTGCAGAAGAAAAAGGGAGCTATTCTTGGTCTATGACTACATGCCTAATGGAAGCCTAGACAAGTACCTCTATGACCAACCAATGGCCACTCTCAATTGGAGCCAGAGGTTTAAAGTCATTAGAGGTGTAGCTTCAGGGTTGTTGTATCTTCATGAAGAATGGGAACAAGTTGTGGTTCACAGGGATGTCAAGGCAAGTAATGTATTACTAGATAGGGAGTTGAATGGAAGACTAGGAGACTTTGGCCTTGCAAGATTATACGACCATGGCACAGACCCTCAAACTACTCATATAGTTGGAACAGTCGGGTACCTTGCTCCGGAGCATACAAGATTCGGCAGGGCCACAACAAGCACTGATGTGTTTTCTTTTGGGGCATTTGTGCTTGAAGTTGCCTGTGGAAGAAGGCCAATAGAGATAAAAGGTCCACTTCAGGATGTTGTATTGGTTGATTGGGTGTTTTCTTGTTGGAAGAGAGGTAATATTCTTGAGGCAAGAGATCGAAAGTTGGGCACAGAAATTATATCTGAGGAAGTGGAATTGGTGTTGAAGCTTGGGCTGTTGTGCTCTCATTCAGAGCCTTCAGCTAGGCCAAGCATGCGCCAAGTTGTTCAGTATTTGGAGAGTGACATTGCTTTGCCAAAGCTCTCACTTCTTGGGCTCTCTTCCAGTGGCTTGACTTTTGGGCCCCATGAAGGTTTTGATGATTTTGCGCAGTCATATCCCTCTTCTTCAGTCAAGGGGCTTTCAAATGTTGAGTCGGCAGTTCTCTCAGGTGGTCGTTGACTACAAGAATTAGGATTCTCTTGCAAACTGGAATTCATAGCTAATGAGCTTTGATTGTTAGCTCTAGTACTTGTTTATTTTTGTTTACTTTAATATAAATTAAGGGGGCACAACAATCTGTACCGCAGTGCTTGTTACTTGTTAGGTTGTAATTATGTTTTGGTGCATTAAAAAAGTACCATTTGCCAACGCTGTAATATCCTATTTACCCTCATCTGATGATTGGTTTATTAATTTTATATGAAAACAACAGTTATTCTTATTCATGCGGATCACCAGCCTTTTCACTGTATTTTTCTGATCTTCCCGGCTTTTGGTTTCTTAATGTCTGTCTTTTTTTTTATGTCCCTCTGGCTTGGTATACCTCTTTTTTTTATGTCTCTCTGGCTTGGTATATAATCATTTTTATAAAAATGAGTTCTGGCATTTTGCAGCATGAAGAAATTCAGAGAAGGGTTTTTGTTTTATGTTTAAAAAAAAAACTTTAATTAGTGAAGCAGACGTGCCATGGTTGTCCCACCTTACCTGGCATGATATTCATCTTGGGGCACTTGCATACTACCTGTTTGATGATGACAGAGATAGTAATTAAGATATGGGGTCGGAGTCTTGTACCTTTGTTTTTGTCGAATTGATCATAGCACTAGTAGGAGAGTAACGATTGGAGTGATTGTGAAAGTAGGGTCTTGCCTTTTGCGTACACTGCATGGAAGAACCTATTTTCTAAGCGCTGGAGGCTGGACTAACCATTCACTATACAGTCAGATTCAATATGAGTTGAAAAGTTCCGTATGGCAGCAGGCACTGGTCAGTCTGGATTATTGTTTTTTCTGGTACACAAGGACAACTCAGCTGCATTGGTTTTTGCTTGACTTTGGTGGTTATAGTCGATGACTTGATTCATATGGTAGTGGTTATAAGACTTAAACTGAAGTATGAAAGAAAGTCTCCAGAGGTGTTGGAGAGAATTAAGAATGATAGCCATGTTTTTCAAGCTTCTAATACTCACACTTGCAAGCCTAGCAGCAGCTGAAGATGTTAATTTCACCAACAATGGTTTCCGGTCTGCTAATCTTAGCCTTGACGGCAGTGCCCAATTCACATCGAATGGTCTTTTGATGGTGACGAATGACACTGAAGAGCAAAAGGGCCATGCCTTCTACCCCAACCCAGTTACCTTCAAGAACTCATATTCCAATTCCAATGTTTTCTCCTTTTCTACCATTTTTGTCTTTGCTGTCAGGTCAGTATCTGCAACTCTGGGTGGCCATGGAATGGCCTTTGTCATTGCTCCGAAAAGAGGGTTTCCTGGAGCTTATGGCGGCCCTTTCCTAGGGCTTTTCAACAGGACCAACAATGGCAATCCCACCAATCATGTTTTTGCTGTAGAGCTTGACACTGTACGGTCCGCCTCGTTCAATGACATCGATAACAACCATGTTGGGATTGATATTAATGGTTTGAACTGGACGGGCTTTGCTAGTGCAGCATACTATGCTAAAAAGAATGGCGGGTTACGGAACTAGACCCTCAACAGTGGTAAACCAATGCAACTTTGGGTGGAATATGATGGTACCCATAAACAAATCAATGTCACTTTGGCTCCAATCAATGTAGATAAACCTCATGCTCCACTTATTTCTTTAAACCACGACCTTGCCCCAATCCTTAACAAAACGTTGGCTTCTCCTCCTCCACTGGCTCAGTTCCCACGTCTCATTGTATTTTGGGCTGGAGCTTTAAGATGAATGGCCAGGCTCAAGAACTTGTTCTCTCACAACTCCCCAAGCTGCCCCGGGTAGGAGGTAAAAAAATGTCTAAACTCTTAACCATTGGTGTTCCTGTGGTATCTGTGAGTTTGGTTTTTCTAGCAATTTCTGGTGTAATTTATGCCATAAGAAGGAAGAGGAAGTTTGCAGAGCTGCTTGAAGATTGGGAGCTTGAGTATGGGCCTCAGAGGTTTAAGTACAAAGAATTATATATTGCCACCGAAGGGTTTAGGGAAAAGGAACTTCTAGGAAGAGGGGGATTTGGTAAGGTCTATAAAGGCATATTACCCGCCTCTAAAACTGAGATTGCTGTGAAGAGGATCTCACATGAATCAAGACAGGGGATGAAGGAATTTGTGGCAGAAATTATGAGCATTGGCAGGCTTTGTCATCGGAATTTAGTACCACTCTTGGGCTATTGCAGAAGAAAAGGGGAGCTACTCTTGGTCTATGACTACATGCCTAATGGAAGCCTGGATAAGTACCTCTATAACCAACCAACGGCCACTCTCAATTGGGGCCAGAGGTTTAAAGTCATTAGAGGTGTAGCTTCAGGGTTGTTTTATCTTCATGAAGAATGGGAACAAGTTGTGGTTCACAGGGATGTCAAGGCAAGTAATGTATTACTAGATGGGGAGTTGAATGGAAGACTAGGAGACTTTGGCCTTGCAAGATTATATGACCATGGCACAGACCCTCAAACTACTCATATAGTTGGAACAGTCGGGTACCTTGCTCCAGAGCAGGCAAGATCCGGCGAGGCCACAACGAGCACTGATGTGTTTTCTTTTGGGGCATTTTTGCTTGAAGTTGCCTGTGGAAGAAGGCCAATAGAGACACAAGGTCCACTTCAGGGTGTGATATTGGTTGATTGGGTGTTTTCTTGTTGGAAGAAAGGTAATATTCTTGAGGCAAGAGATGGAAACTTGGGCACAGAAATTATATCCAAGGAAGTGGAACTGGTGTTGAAGCTTGGGCTGTTGTGCTCTCATTCAGAGCCTTCAGCTAGGCCAAGCATGCGCCAAGTTGTGCAGTATTTGGAAGGTGACATTGCTTTCCCAGAGCACTCATTTCTTGGGCACTCTTCCAGTGGCTTGACCTTTGCGCCCCATGAAGGTTCTGATGATTTTGCAAAGTCATATCAGTCTTCTTCTTTCACGGGGCTTTCATATGTTGAGTCGACACTTCTCTCAGGTGGTCGTTGACTCCAAGAATTAGGATTATCTTAGAATTCATAGCCAATGCACTCTAGTATTTATTATTGTTGTTAACTTTGATATAAATTAAGGGGGCAAAAGAATCTGTACTGCAGTGCTTATTGGGTTGTTCATGTAATATATGTTTGTGGTTTGTCTACTGATCGGTATTTGTAACAAGTATATTAATAAAGTACCATTAGCCAAGTAAACCGCTGTAATATCCTATTTACCCTCATCTGATGAGGGGCTAATCATTTTTATAAGAAAAGAAGAGTTTAGATAAATATTCATGTGGATCACCAGCCTTTTCTTGGGATTTCTCTCATCTTCCGGGCTCTCGGTTTTTTACTGTTTGTCTTTGTTTATGTCTCCTCTGGCTCACCGTCAAGGTTATCTTAAAAAAAAAGTTCAGCAACCCATTTCAGAAGCTTGAGCTGAAATCTACTAACGAGGGAAGACAAGATTTCAGCTTTTCATCATACGAGCTGTGATAGAATAGATTATGCCTCTGTATCCGACTAGGAATTTGGATAACTTGGGTCAATTTGTTGTACAAGGATTGTAGAATATCCCTTAGCTACTTTTATCCGGTAATTACCATTTCTTATTGACTTGGGGGATGTTTAGCAAAACTTTCAGTTCAGAAGTTGAATTTATTATTGTGATCACTAGCAAAAAGATCCAAACTTTAGTTCTATATGATTCTTGGATTCTAACTTTTTCCCTAGATTTTCAATTAAATATACATGTAGTTTCTAGAAGGGAAATTGAATGCAGATTTTGGACTAGTTGTATGGAAGAATTTTTTTGTTAATTTGTGACAGTGTCCGCTACATTGACTTTTCTTTGGTGACTATTATTTGTTGAATTGATGCAAAGACTTGCAATGAAGGATATGTTAAAAGTTCGGAAAGGCCTTGGCTGAGAATCAAGATTAGCCATGTTTTCCAAGCTTGTAATATTCATACTGGTAAGCTTAGCAGCAGCCGAAGATCTCAGTTTCTTCTACAATGGTTTCCGCTCCGATAACCTTAGCCTAAACGGCATAGCAGGAGTCACACCCAATGGTCTTTTGAGGCTTATAAACGACACTAAACAGAACCAGGGTCATGCCTTCTATCCCCACCCAGTAACCTTCAAGAACTCATCTAATGGTACAGTTTTCTCCTTCTCTACCACTTTTGTCTTCGCTATTAGATCAGAATATGCAGATCTGAGTGCCCATGGCATGGCTTTCGTTGTTGCTCCAACAAGAGGCCTTCCCGGAGCTCTTCCAAGACAGTACCTTGGCCTTTTCAATGAGACCAACAACGGCAATGCCACCAATCATGTTTTTGCTGTAGAGATCGACACCGTCCAAAGCAGAGAGTTCCATGACATGAATGACGACCATGTCGGAATCGATATTAATGGTTTGAATTCTGAGATATCTGCTCCAGCGAGATATTTTGCTTTGAACAAGACAATGCTTGTCAACAGTCAGGCAATGCAAGTTTGGGTGGACTATAATGGGATGGAGTAGCAAATCAAGATCAGTTTGGCTCCAATTAGTGAAGGTAAACCCAATATTCCACTTATGTCTTATATGCGAGACCTTTCCCCAATCCTTAACGAAGCCATGTATGTGGGCTTCTCCTCGTCCACCGGCTCAATCTTAACATCTCATTATGTTTTGGGCTGGAGCTTTAAGATGAATGGCAAGGCTCAAGAGCTCTCACAACTTCCCAAGCTGCCTCGAATAGGAGCTGACAAAATATATAAACTTTTGACCATTGGACTGCCTGTGATATTTGTGAGTATTGTTCTGGTATTATTTCTTACTGGTGTAAACTATGCCATTAGAAAAAAGAAGTTTGCAGAACTCCTTGAAGACTGGGAGCTTGAGTATGGGCCTCAAAGGTTTAAATACAGAGAGTTGTATATTGCCACAAAAGGGTTTAGGGAAAAGGAGCTTTTGGGAAAGGGTGGATTTGGTAAGGTTTACAGAGGTATATTACCCACCTCAAAAATTGAAATTGCCGTGAAGAGGATCTCACATGACTCAAGGCAGGGGATGAAGGAGTTTGTTGCAGAAATTGTCAGCAATGGCCGGCTTCGTCACAGAAATTTAGTCCCACTCTTGGGCTACTGCAGAAGAAAGGGGGAGCTACTTTTGGTCTATGAGCACAAGTACCTATATGGCCAGCCGGCTATTACTCTTGATTGGAGCCAGAGGTTCAGAGTCATCAAAGGTGTTGCTTCAGGATTGCTTTATCTGCATGAAGAATGGGATCAAAGTTGTGGTTCACAGAGATGTGAAGGCCAGTAATGTATTACTAGATGGGGAATGGAATGGAAGACTGGGGGATTTTGGGCTTGCAAGACTTTATGACCACGGCGGAGACCCTCAAACTACTCATATAGCAGGAACACTTGGGTATCTGGCTCCTGAACATACAAGATCAGGCCGCGCCACAACAAGCACTGATGTGTTTGCTTTTGGGGTATTTCTGCTTGAAGCTGCTTGTGGAAGAAGGCCAATAGAGGCTCAGGGTTCAGACGTTTCAATTTTGGTTGATTGGGTTTTTTCTTGTTGGAATAGAGGTAATATTCTTGTGGCAACAGATCGAAAGTTGGGCACAGAATTTATAGCTGAGGAGATGGAGTTGGTGTTGAAGCTTGGGCTGTTGTGCTCCCATACAGAGCCAACAGCTAGGCCAAGGATGCGCCAAGTTGTGCGGTATTTGGAGGGTGATCATGCTCTTTTTCCAGAGTTGTCACTTGGTGCTTCTGCTACTGGCTTAGCATTTTCTCACAAAGAAGGTTTTGATGATTTTGCAAATGGCGGGGGATACACAGAGTCATTATATGTTCCAGAGGCGACACTCCTCTCCGGTGGTCGCTGACACCAAGCAAGTAGGATTCTCTGGAAAACTGGGATTCAACGCAACGCATGCATATGCAGCTTTGAATGTCACCTCTTTGTAGTTTTCTTTTCCCATAGAAAAGCGATGTGAAATGGAAAACAGTTTGTATGTAATGTCTCTGTGAAAAATAAAATTGTGAAAAAAAATCATTATATTGTACTCAAAATCTTTGTGCCACTGCCAAACGAGTGAAACCTTTTCACAACAGAAACAGGAAAACAAAAAATGGAGAAAGTGTTAGCTTATAAGTTTACCTTCTTTTTTGGGTATACTCAGGGCTGTCTATGTTTGTGCGTCCCTCGTATTCTTGAGCGAGAAAGCTGCAAGCCACCACAATCCGGTGCACATGTCGAACAACTTGTATTTGAATCTACAAAAGGAAATAACCAAAAAACCTTTTCAAGTGGTAACCAAAGGTAAAAAGTAGGTCCTTTTCAATGAAATGTTAGTACAATTATTGAATTTTGGTTCAAGTAGTGACCATGTAAAAATGTGTATGAAATGTGTTTTTATTATCTTTGCTTTTGATATTACTAACTTTTATTTATTTATTTATTTATACAAGTAATATTTTATTTAAAACTAATCTAAACTACGAGGAAGTGGATTCGAACTCGAGTATAGAGTAGGAAACATATCTGCTCTAGCAAACTTGCCCAAACCATGTTTTCAAATAACTTAATATTTATGTGTTAAGTTTTTATATAAACAAATTTTGATGGAACCTCAAAAACCAAAGTTCAGTAAAAAAAAAAAAAAAAAAAAAAAAAGAAAAAAGTTAAGTACTTCTAATATGCATTAGGAAGTAGAGAAATGAATTTTAGTTGAAAAGATTCTGGAGGAAAAAGGTAAAAAGCAAATAGAGGAACCATTTTAAGAGGCGGTAACGGGTCGGGTTCATTCAGACTGGTTCGGACTCTGGATTGTGTCTTGGATTTGGCATAGCATCTGATCCGAGTCGCTTACTCCGTTTTTGATTGACCGAAATTTGGAAATGCCGGTGAGAGTGGCAGAGAGCTCCGCCCCTTCTCAACTTTCAGGTACTTCTCTATCGTTCCTTCTTTCTTTCTGAACATCGCCTTGCCCATTTCCTAGGGTTAGGGTTTTGGCCGAAATCTGGATTGTTTGGGATATGTTGTAGGATTGAATTCTCTCAAAGACGCTAGCTTTTCTGTGTTTTTTTGCTTCCAATTATTTTGACTCGCCATTTTTATCATAAAAATATGAATTTTGAATTCTATTTTACATATTACTGTGAAGGTTCAAATTGTGGACAGACCTCTCCCCCAGCTTGCTCACTTTTAAGCGTTGGACAGGTTTCTCTTTGCCCCTGTCCCTTTGTGATTGTTTTGCTGGTTAATGTATTCTGGAATTGAAATTTAAGAATTGCCTAACTTATTGGGCATAAGAAATGACATTTGGAAGTATAAATGTGTACCACTGGTAGTATGGCATTGTAGCATTAAGGTCATAATTCTGTGGCAGGCCTTCTCCGGCACTCAGAATGTGTCTAGTCTGCAAAAGGACGAAGCTTGGAGAGTAAATGTTCGTATACAGGGCTGTGACCTTGAACATGGTTATCTATGTGGAACCATGGAAGCCCTTAATGTTCCTATGGCAGACACACCGGTAAGAAGTTTCTGCTTTTCTTCGGTTGATCTTCTATCACCATGTGAGGATTGGCATTAAGGTTAAGAATTTCTCTTAAATGTATTAACAAATAAAAGAGTGAAGGAACAACTGAGTCTTTTCGGAACTGTTCTTTACAACATTTATTGACATAGCGGTCTGGAAAGGCATTTATTTTAAGCATTTTCATATCACATTTCGGCGTTTTTTATTTTCATACTGCTGTGATAGTCTATAGTCCGTAGTCAATATCAGTGTGATATTCACGGATTATCATGTGTCTCATAGGATATATGAATTAAGGGTTTAATAGCATGATTAGGATGCAAAAAGACTACCCTTGCATATTGATCGTATTTCATTGCAGACAGCTGACACCCCCCTTATTTTGATATTTTGGTAACCTTCACTGAGTATTTACTTTGTTTTTCTTAAATGTATGTTAGGTAGTTACCTTTTGGGAAGGAGAGATCGTTGACACCAAGAATTATACTTTCTTCACTGGAAAATGGGAAGCAACGTATGTTTCTTTTGTTCTTTTAACCTATACTTAAGCATAGAACCTAATTAGTTCATGCTAATGTGTGTGACTCTTTACAGACCAGAGGATGATATAAGACACTGGACCAAATTTCCTTCTTTTTCGGCTCTACAGAGCCATGTGGAAGTTGATGGCGGAAAATCATTAGACCTGAGTAACTATCAATACATATTCATGGTAACTGACCTAATTTCTTTATTATTCATTGGTAAAATCACTTCTTAAATGTCAAATGAAACGTTGATAAGGTCTTTGACTTCCTGGTGCAGAGATGGAAAGAGCAATACTTTGTGAATGTTGGCACAGACTGTGGGCTGACTATAGCTGGCTTTTACTATGTCTGTTTCTCGTGTAGTGATGGCTCCATCAATGGTTTCTATTACGATCCTAACAGCAGGTATACTCGCTGTTTCCCTTATTTTTTCCATCGTGTACTTACTATCCTTATCATGCATTGTCTTGTGTTTTAATTTTTTCACTTACATTGCGACAAAGTGATTGATAAAAGATTACTTGAACCAACCTGCAGCCCATTTCAGAAGCTTGAGCTGAAATCCACTAACGAGGGGAGACAAGGTTTCAGCTTTTCATCATACGAGCTGCGATAGAGTTGAATATACCTATGTATCCTACCAGAAATTGGACAACTTGGGAAATTTGTTGTACAAGCATTGTAGAATATCCCTTAGCTACTTTTATCTGCTAATTACCGTTTCTTATTGGCTTGGGGGTGATATGAAATCAACGCATGTTTAGCCAAACTTTCAAATCAGAAGTTGAATTTATTATTGTGATCACAAGCAAAAAGATCCAAACTTTGGTTCTATATGATTCTTGTATGCTAACTTTTTCCCTAGATTTTCAGTTACTCATACATCTGGTTTCATAATTTCAACAAAGGCCCAATTGGGTAAATACCAACCAAACCCATGAATAGAAGTTGTGGTCCCCAATCCAACTGTCCAAGCTTCAAGGATGAACATTCAAGCCATTCAATGACAGTTTTTCTTGGTGGAGATTCAACACAAACTAGAACAATTTGTCCCAAAGGAACTGATGAAAATTGGGCAATCACCAAGCCCTCATGATCAGGCGTTGAAGACGATCACGGCCGTGGGACCCACAATACTCAACTTGTACAGCTTTATCAGCCAAAAGCAGGGCCCACTTTGAGAGTCCATCATTCTCAAGTTCCAGTGCCAACTAAACCCCACACAACACAACCTTAGCTTTTTACCTCCTTTCACTACATTGATGCGATGATGATGAGGACATTTATTCCGCCATGCAGCCCACAGAGACATCCTCGTGCATGAGCTCACGCAATTCGTAACCACAGTAAAAAATATATATTTAAAAAATAATAATAATAAAAAAATACAGCCAAAATCTATACCCACTCGCACTGCATTTACCCCATTTCATGAGGGACGTGGCCCTCTTTTTATTTCTCTCTCTCTCTCTCTCTCTCTAACCACCCACCAGCTCTTATATAACTTCCCTCATTTCACCCTATAACCATGTTTGCTTTCGTTTTCTCTTCCTCATCACTCAAAGTACACAAAAGATACCTCCCCTTATTATTGAATTCACAATTTGATGGTACAAGTAGCAAAGTTTGAAACAATTGTACAATTTCTAGACTGGGGTAGCTTCTAGTTTTTCAGAACTTGGCGGTATATATGGAAAGCTTGCTTTGTGATGAGGTTTGGCCGTCAAGTCCTGCTGTGAATGATCTTATGAATCACATTGACTTTGATCATTGTGGTTCAAAGAGTTACTGTGGATCATCAATGCACACAACTAAGGAAGACTTTGAGCAGGCTCTTACCATATGCTTGGGGAAGGAGATGAGTTACATGCCTGGACCTAACTATGCAGAGAAATTGTGTTCAAATAATTTGATCATTGCTAGGTTTAAAAGCATTCACTGGTTTATCAAGGTCAGTATATATATATATATATATATATATATATATATATAAAGTTGAACTGTCAGAGACTACCCTTTTCTTAGCAGAGCAAGAACTACCATATATCTTATATGTTCAAAGTTATTTCTTCATGAATAATCATGGAAATAATCTCTCTCTTTCTCTCTCTCTCTCTCTATATATATATATATGTGTGTGTGTGTGTGTATTTGTTTGTTTATTTGTTTATTTGTGTTTCCAGTGTAGAAGTCGGTTGAACCTCTCCCTTGGAACTGTTTTCTATGCTGCAAATTACCTTGATCGATTCATATCTATGAACCATTGTAATGTAAGAAATATAACACGATGTATCATTTTCTTTAACTTTTCTAATGTTCCAATTTCTTTTTTTTTTTTTTTTTTGGTTATAAAAGTTGAATGCAAATGTGCATTATCTATGCATTTTCAGGGATGGGAATATTGGATGGTGGAATTGTTGTCTGTTGCCTGTTTATCCATTGCCACCAAATTCAACGATACCTGCACTCCGACGCTGCTCGAAATTCAGGTAACTATCAGTTGATGTAATTTGTTTAACTTCTAGGAAATGCCATCATCTTCTATCATTGTTGACTGTGCTGTCCTGTATATATGTTGAAGATGGAAGATCTTGACCATTTATTTGAGCCAAGCACAATCCAACGAATGGAAATGATGCTGCTAAAGGCATTAGGATGGCGCCTCGCTTCTACAACATCTTATTCTTACCTAGAATTGTTGACACGGATCATGGACTCATTGAAACCTCAACTTCATCAAGAGTTCATTGCCCGAGTCAACAAGTTGCTTCTTGGAGCTATTTCAGGTACAGATATACGAATTATATCAATTATACTGATATAGAAAAAATGAAACCAACCAATGTATTTGAACGGTTCAGATTCGAAGCTGCTGGGTTTTAGGCCAAGTGTGATTGCCATGTCTGCCCTAAGGTGCAGTCTGGACAAGTTACAAACTTCAACAGCAACATCTGATGCCTGCCTCACTTGTCTTACAAGTCTCTTGGATCATGATCGAAAGGTTAAGCATCAAAATCGCTTTTTTTTTTTCCTTCGGTTTTTCGTAATTAATATGTGATATTTTACTGTTTTATTGATTGGTTTGTGATGAACTTATAATGTAGGCTGAGTTGGTGAAATGCCATAAGATCATGGAAGAGCAATCGGTTGATGGCTTGGACAACTTAATAGGTCACGAGATTTTCCATTTCTGCCCTTCAAGTCCCACAACAGTGTTGTTGAAGGAGCGTATTAACTCTTATGATAACCATGTTGATTTCTCTCTCTTTAATATGAGAGGCCGAAACATAATCAATGCGGAACCAGGGAGGAGGATCAACAAGAGAAAGAGAGAAGAAGATGATCAGTAAAACATGTTTTTTCATTTAATAAATTTCCCTCAACTGTTCCAAAACATTAAGATTGTCAAGAAAATCCTGACACAGAATTTAACAGATTCGATGAGACAAGAAATGAGCAAAGCTATGTTCTTTCTTCTACATATATAGCTCTCTCCTGCATGCATATTATTTCCACACGTCTACACATTAATTGTGGTTGCCTTTTCTTATATATGCTATTGCTGGACTGCTACCAAACTCAAGCTTGCCAATTTATTTTGATGAGACTGGGAGAGTTGGGATCATGAAATTATAAACGTTAATGGTAAATGGTACTATAGATTTCTGGTGTATTTTTTTCTTTTCTCATGTTTGTTGTTGAGAATTTGAAAATTTAATTATTATCTTAAATAAGAGACTTATAATTTAAGTAGTTAAGAACATTTATTTCTGCACCCGATGTTCAAATTAGATTCCCCATTCTTTCAATATCGTTGGTATAAAAAAGAAAACCTTATTATCTTAAAGAACTTCTAGTTCATGAAATGTGACACATAAGAATTAAAGTTCACCCCACAGGACACAAGGTAAACGATATCCATAATCTCCAACCATAAGAAAGAGGGTCCCACCACAATATACAGCATATGACGTGGAAAGTTCTTTGCCAAGTGTTATGTGTGTTGAATGTGGATAAGAAAGGTAAAGAAGACATAGCATAGCATAGAACAAAACCCGAAAAACCAGAAAAGAGAAGAAACCATGGCAACTTCATCTACCATAATATCGTCTTCTCTCCTTCCCACCAGAGTTTTAACAGCAAATTCTCAAAACCAGCAACTCCGCCTTTTACGTAATGGGGCTTTGCCTGGCACAGCCTCCAAGAGAAGTGCTGCCTTCAGAGTTCAAGCTGCCAAGCTTCCTGCTGGGGTTTGTTTTTAATTTGTTCCTTCTGTCTCTCTGTAATTCTTTCATAAAAGTTCACTTCTTTCTTCAATTATATTGTATTTGTATGCATATTTTACCCTTTTGAGAGATATAATTTTGTGTTTTGAAAACATAAAATGTGCATCTAAAATTTCAGGTGGTGGTGCCAAAAGTAGAGCCAAAATTTGAGGCCCCCTTCCTTGGGTTCACCAGGACTGCAGAAATATGGAACTCTAGAGCTTGCATGATTGGACTTATTGGAACTTTCATTGTAGAATTGGTAAAATTCTTATTCTTCTTCTTGGTTTTTATGGTCTGGTTTTTGAAAATTGAGGAAGATTCTGAGGTTTTTTTGGCTGACCTGTTTTATACTGGTTTCATGATTTTCAGATATTGAACAAAGGAATATTACAGTTGATTGGAGTGGAAATTGGAAAAGGTCTTGATATTCCTCTGTGATCATTGTTACAGGGGCAACTTAATTTGTAACAAGCACTGGTTCAAAACTGCATTTTGTAATTCATCTTAAGTGGGTTGCTCTGTTTTGCACCTCAAATTAATGTGTGTGCAGATCAGACTTTGTAATATATAGAATTTATGCTGCAAGAAAACCCATGCTTCGTTTTCTATTGGTGTCATTCTTTTGTAGGCTAAACGGTATAGCATCTAAAATGAGCTCTTCTGATCCTTCCTATCTTCTTATGTCCATGACGACCCTTGATTCTGTTTTCTTCATGAGCTCGGCCAATTCACATGCCGTACAATCTTCAATGCTCCTGGTTTAAGGTCAATCGGAACTCAGATTTGATGCACATTAAAATGGAGCTTGATATTTACTGTCTATACGCAACAAAATCACCAGGGTTTATTTATTAATAATCAAAGTTTAGTTCAACAATTCAGACCCTGGTCCCTCAAAGTCTCGGATGACTGCTAACCACTCCGATGACAAAATTTCTTTCTGGGGGATTGTACATCAAACTTGCATGTAGCTGCCACCATAGATTCCTCTACATTATCTGGATATAGGTACACATACATGTCATGATCTCACATGGCGTAAAGATACCGCATGAAGGTGTTTGGTGCATCTTCTCATCTAGTTGTATATCATTATAGAGTGCAAAGGGCAGATGAGGGATTGGAGCAAATCTACACATTCCTTGTGATACATATCACCAAAGAAGAGAACCTCAAACGGCCACTGCAGATACTGGGAATGAAGACATTACAGGACCCTGCTGATTCGAGCATCTATAATTGGAACTTCTGAATTGGTATTAGATATGTCCAGTGCTTGGGCCAATGACAGCCTGCGATTTCTCCATATAGCCTCTGCCCAACTCTTCTCTTTTTCTCCTTGATCCTTTCGGTTCTGTTGGACACAAAGTACTTCTGCATACCCGCCTACACAATCAATTAACTATATCAGTCCAGACAACCTGTTTAGAATCTTTAAATTGAAAAGTCTTCATGTCAAATAGCTGCAATGATAAAGGTCATAGCAGGTTTCCATCCAGACAGAGACCTATTCTACTTGAATTGGACCCCTGGAAGTTTATCACAACTCCTTAGGTACATTTGTTCTTTTCTTAAAACTGGTTTAACATGTATGCAATACGACCAAATCTCTTGTAAGAACATACAATGCCGATTTTGCAAAAATGGTCATTGTTCGGTTATAATATCTAGTTAAGATTATACTCAAAGTGCATGCTGGGAAACCATTTGGATGCTTAGCCATTACCTCTTGCAAGGGCCACTATATCACTTCTATCTACCTTTGCTTCAGTACCTACACAACCCAATAAAGAGCAATGAACAATTACTACCTGCTCTCAAATGTGGAGAAACTTATGGCACACTTAACACATACCTTTGGTCTCAAATGGTGGAGCTTTCAGCAACTCTATCGCCCTTCTATAAAGGCCCTGTCAATTGTAGGGGGAGGGGGAAGAATAAGGCCATAGAAATAAAGTATAGCAAGAAAACACGAGATTCTAAAGTTGATAAAGAGAAGTAGATAGTATAATATACAAGTTCTAACCTCTTGAATCAAAAGAGCACTAGAATGCTCTAGCATTGCTTTACGCCGAAACATGAGAGCTATGCAGGTTAAAACAACACCAACCTTGGGATGGTGAGAGCCTACACAAAAATCAAGGAAAACACAAGGATATCAACTCATCGCTCAATAAAAATTCTGAGAACTTTTGCACCACTCATAACAAAAGTAATAACAAAGCAACACACCAAAATGTTCCTCTGTTATGGTTAAAGCCCTAGTCAATATCTCCTCGGCATCAGCAAAGTTCCTAAAAGGACACAGGTTAATCTCATGGTCAATCTAGCTAAAAAATGAAAAAAGAAAGGCTCAACAGTAGTCAAGAACTTACCCCAAGTGAGCCTCAAGCTGTCCCAAAGCACATGTAGCAGCAAGGGAAACTTCCTCTGGTGACATATTACAGGCTGCCAATGCATTTGAGTTACTGAACTCTTTATTCTTGGACCCCCCTTGAATAACATTCTGGTAGACATCCTTTGCCAATGAAAATTTCTGTGACGCATGTAAGAATTCTCCATAGGATAAAGCAGCACTACCTGCATAGCTTTAAATTTATCATCTCATGTCGACCAATGTCATGTCTAAGCCATGATGATGTATAAAATGAACCTCACCGGTGATTTCCAGGTTGTCCTTAAGTCCTCGAAAGAAAGACTCAGCTGCAAAGAACCCAAATTCAGAATTTGCTTTTCCTGATACTCAGAAATGTACTAGTTGGGGCAAATGTGAGTGTAAATTTAGACAAAGGCTAGCTGTACCTGACACAGTATTACCATGAACAAGCTCAACAAGCCCTTTTACTGCTCTAGCACGAGCATGTATAACCTCAGAATCTCCACCATTAGATCCAGGTTCGTTCTTCACCAACAGTTCTAAGCATTTATCTGCGAGCACTGATGAGGTATCATCCTATATAGGGAGAACCATTTACATATACTTAAACCATACAAAAATACAAGAAAACATCTCTAATCGTTCTCATGGTGATTACCTGCTCCAACTCTAAGTGAAGTCCAACAAGAGCCTCCAAGGCGGCAACTTTAACAAAAGACGGAATGATTTATTAGTCAATAGGTCATTCTATTAAGGAAATTTAAAATATAAAAATATAAAAAAATCTTACCCCTGACACCAATTGAAGAGCTGGTCAAGTCTTGAACTTTTTGCAGTTTATCCATTGCTTCATCAAAATTTCCACTGAAAAATTCAATATGAGTTTCTTAATCCATCAAGCATAGAACTTGATTGGGTTTTACAATGACCCAAAAGAAAAGAAAAAAGAAAAAACCTTTCAGATGATAAAGTGGACATGGCCAATAAAACCATTCCCCTTGAATTATCACCAGCAGGGTCCTGCCCTTCACTTGGCTGAGTCGAAAGGCACTGTTCCAATACAAGTAGACCTTGTGCATACGATTCATCTACATTTCCCATATATCCAAATTAAAACAAAACTTCAATTCCAGAATTCAATTTCGAAGTTGAAAAAAAATGGGAAATTGAGAAGAGGAGAGTTGAAAAGGGACCTGATTTCTGGGACCTGGCATGAGAGAGAGCGTAGTTGATCATCTGAAGAGCAACAGGGTTGGCGTTTGAGTTGTTGATCCCATCGTGAACTAGTCTGGACTGTGGTGATCGTTGAAGGAGGGAGGTCCCGAGCTTGGCGGTTCGAGCAACGGTAGCCCCAGCTCGTGACAGCTTAACTGCGGTGTGAATCATTTCCGGTTGCTGGTTTCTCTTCCTGAATAGGAATGTCCAAATCCCTAAATTGGAATGCGAGGGGTTTTTGTTTGTTGTCCATAAAAAAATAATAGGGAAATTGGAAAATCAAAATTTTGATATTTTCTTATTATTTTATTTTCGAATTTAATTATATTTGTAAGGAAAAACTCAATCAAATTCAATTTACCCTTTCACCCACCAAAAAAATAAAAAATAAAAAATTAAGTCACCCTTTTTCTCTAGCAAATTCAATTTACTTCATTAATTGACTAGCTTATCTATAAAGAATTTTTTTTTTTCAGTTGGGCACGAACTCTTATTTCATTTTAGTTTTTCAATTACTTGGATTTTCGTAGACTATTGTTTTGCATATTTGTCCCTTTAAAATGAAGTAGTTGTGTATTGAATTTTTTTTCGTAAATGAGGGTAATCTTGGGTAATTTTAAATTTAACATGTGTATATATACACTTCATTGATATCTTAGTACATGTTTATACACTCATATAATTAATTAACTCACTTGGTAACTAAATTTTGGAAAAAGTTTTGAGGCCTCTAAGTACAATTGTTTTTACCTGCATTATCTTGTGTCCTGCACTTTTCCAAATCCTTGTTTTTGTTCTTATCAATTGGAAAGGACTGTTTTTTACATGTATTAAGATGCAGGGCATTAGGAGGCTATCTTTTCCTAGACAGTCCATAATCTTCTGTCTTCTTCTATATTCCCAAATCAAACTTTTTCAATCAGAAGCATGCATGCCAATATCTGTTGAAACCTGCTTCCGAGACACAAAAGAAAGATCCTTTGATTTGATGTGATTTGGTAAAGGAAGATGCATAATTGTGTTTTAGAAATCACTTTATCTTAAACAATGATGAAGATTACTTGTAGTATCTTAACATGATATTACTTTTGCAAGATAGCTGCTGCTACTTGTAATTTAAAATAGTTCATAAATTTTTCTGCTTTCATAAGCATTTGATTCACAGGAATAAATTGAGGATCAAGTAATCCAAGTAAAAGTTTCATCATTCAACTTCACCCCTACCAGAAAAGGGGTCCTGTGTGTTTTGTTAATTCTTTTTTAATTTAGAAATTTTAGTTTAAATTTGTTTATAGATAGTGGTGGAGAAAAGAAAGCCCTCAATGGGAAGCAATGAATATATGCCCTTTTATCATCATGAAAGTAAAAGTGAAAAGAGGGTTGAGAAAGAAAGCAAAAGAGACAGAAACAGCCGTTAAGAGAGGATGTTAAAAAGCTTGATGTTGTCTCAATTTATATATATATATGGTTGTGGTGGTGAAGTGTTTTCAGATTAAGTACGTCTCCAATTCTCAGTCTCTTTCTCACCATATAGACATCAATGCCAACTTCCTCTTTTCTCTTCCCCCTACTCTTCGTTTTAGCCTCAATCTCAATTACAAGTAATTCTTGGCCTTCTTCTTCCATGTACTTCTTGTACTCTATTGATTCATGCACTGTGTTTTCTTTTTTGTGTTTCTAATTGGGTTTTTCTTGTTTCAGATGGGGCTCAACTCATTCTAGTAAACAACTGCAATGAAAGTATATGGCCTGGTATACTTGGCACCGCAGGCCTAGCCACTCCTCAAAGTGGCGGTTTCCACCTTGGCAGTGGCCAAGAACTAGTTCTTGATGTGCCTGAGAAGTGGTCAGGAAGGATATGGGGCAGGCAGGGCTGTCAATTTGACAATGATGGAAAAGGCAATTGTGAGACCGGCGATTGTTTTGGCCAATTGCATTGCCAGGGGAAAGGGGGTGTGCCTCCAGCAACCGTGGTTGAAATGACACTTGGATCATCAACTTCACCCCTGCATTTCTATGATGTGAGCTTGGTTGATGGATTTAATCTGCCCGTGTCAATGAAACCAGTCGGGGGTGGAATAGGCTGTGGTGTTGCCTCATGTGAGGTTGATTTGAACGTTTGCTGCCCATCAGCATTGGAAGTGAGGAGAGGAGGCAGGGTTGTGGGGTGTAAGAGTGCCTGCTTGGCTATGCAATCTGCTAAGTATTGCTGCACAGGAAGCTATGCGAATCCAAACACTTGCAAGCCAACCCTTTTTGCGCATCTGTTTAAGGCCATATGCCCCAAGGCCTATAGCTATGCTTTTGATGACTCTTCCAGCCTTAACAAATGCAGGGCTTCGCGGTACGTCATCACTTTCTGCCCTGCCCAATGAGCAATGGCTGAAGGAGATTTTAGACATTGTCAAATATATTGTTCTGCAATGAAGCCAACGGCTTTTGTAGTACTATTCTATACTTAAAAGCGAGGTTCTTATGTTTTTTTTTCTTCATTAGAAGATTGGATCTACTTTCTTTTTATGATCTGTTAGAAGCCAACTTTTAAGTCACACATCAACTATCACATAATATGACCAAATGATGTGATCCATTAGAAATTACTCTACAGAAATTAAATGGCAGTTTCCTGTTGGTGAGGGGCCTTAATGCCAATTGGGTGTCCTAGTTTAAATCCATTAACTTTGAGAAAGTCTGTCTTGTAGCTGTTAGAATTTTAAGGATAATTGTTTGTACCTAATCAGACAACATTTGCGGAGTGTTCAAAGCCGATTTGCATAACATCCAGTACGATACGATAAACACAACTAAGCTGCATTTGATGTCAAAACAAAACAGAAGGAAAGCTCCAAATTGTACAAGTTACAACAACAAAGGAATCTTGAAATCAGGCAAGATGAAGATGCAATTCAGCTTACAAACAAAACTAATCAGACACCATTTGGAGCACTGCTCTATAAAACTCCGGGTTCTAAGAGTTAGAGATGAACTTCTAAACTGAACCATCCAAGAAAGAGAACATGGGTTCATACACAGATGTAGCATTGATTCATGAGGAGGTTGCAGTTGCACCGACTTTTGGATCGTCTCTGCCGGTACCAAATGTTCAAGAAATAGTAAAGAGTGACCCTTTGCATGTCCCTGAAAGATACCTTATTAAAAATCAAGAGGACATGCCAAAGGGTGCAGATCATACATGTAAGCTTTCTTCTGAAATTCCTACAATTGATTTCTCTCTGCTCTCAAGAGGACATAAGGAGGAGCTAACCAGACTTGATCTGGCTTGCAAAGAATGGGGCTTTTTCCAGGTAAAAATATTGAAATAATCTATCATATTTTGTTATGTGACAATGTTTCATTTCTTCATATCTGAGTCCAGTATGATACTAATGAATGACACATTATTTTGGAAGAAAATTTGGTGAAAAAATTGATATTATAATTTATAATCCAAATCATGACAGTTCCACACAAAAGAGTGACCTACAATTAGAAACTCTCTCAATGCAACATGTCAAGTTAAATCAGCTTTGCTGCAGATGGTAAATCATGGAGTGGCAACAGAAGTGTTGCAGGGCATGAAGGATGCTGCAGCAAAGTTCTTTGAACTTCCTGTAGAAGAGAAGAATAAAGTTGCTATGACATCAGACGACATACAAGGCTACGGGCATGCGTATGTGGTTTCAGAAGAGCAGATACTGGACTGGTCTGATTTACTTTTTCTTATCGTTTACCCACCTCAGTACAGAAAGCTTAAGTTTTGGCCAACCACACCAGAGGAATACAAGTATGTTTCTAAAACTCAGGGGAAAAATAAAGCAATGTTTAATTTGAAAACATTAGATGAATTCAAAGAGAAATGGTAGTCTCAGTAGTCCACTCATAAGCAAGGATTAAAATATCGGCCGTGCAGATAATATCGGGCCTCCAATTTACGGATATTTCGGGGGATATATCATTATCGTTTTAGGTATCGAGAAAAAATAAACAAAAATGACAGATATAGGCATTGAAACACATAATTTTTGTGTAAAACTTTCATAGATGTTATGTACATTATCAATGAATATATTGAATAAATAAAACTCAAAATTTACTAATAATAAGATATACATATGATGAAATATAAGTGATATGTAATGTGCATTAATGAAAAGTTTGAAAATAAAATGTTAATTAGAATGAATAAATCATGCATAAATCCATAGTTTGTTTAAACATTGTATTACAATTTAGATAAGTGTCCATCTACATAAATGAAGAGCTCCAATGAGGTTCAAACAATGAGGAACAACCATCTAGATTCATACAATAGTCATACCAAGTCATGTAACCCGAGCAGTTTGTAAGCCATGTTTGAACATAGTGCACATAGGTCTCTATTGAGCTCCCTATTGTCCTTCCATATATGGGATAATTAGGATTAACCAACTAGTAGGTCCATAATTTTTTTTTATCATCTTGAGCTCTATAACTAGTTCCACTATAATTAGACATGACATAAACATAGACATCATAAGATTCATTTGAGTTAGTACTAGGTCTAATTCATATGCTCATAGATCCAAAACTGATCGCCATGTCCTCTTCTGATGGATTGGAGGTATGTGGGCAGTGGACTGTGCATATATTATTCATATTAATAAATTATAGGGTTTTTGGCAAGGATTAGCTATTTTTGGGTTTCAATTTGCTTCAATTGCCTTCAAAACTTCTGAATTTTTTTTGGGTTCTGTTATGGGTATCGGGAAATATTGGGGATATCGGCAAAATATCGGGAATATCGCACTTATCGGGGATATATCGTCGATACAGGGGAAGATATGGCCTTACCCCCCAGTATCGATGTCGATTGTTGAAAATACCGATATATCGGCAGATATATCGGTGTATCGGCCGATATTTCAATCCTTGCTCATAAGTAGCTGATTGAAAGCCGTTAATAAGCGTGGGGTTTTATACCTGTCGATGGTCTAGAATCATCTACACGTGTGGACGACTGAGCCCATAAAATCAAACTTCCAATTTTGTTAATAAATATTGTATTGGTGAAGGGAGGTTATTGAGGCATATTCTATTGAAGTCAAAAGAGTTGGAGAGGAGCTCATAAGGCATATATCTCTAATTATGGGGATGGAAAAGGATGCTCTTCTTGCACTACATCAAGAGTTGGTCCAAGGTGTGCTTGTGAACTACTATCCACCATGTTTCATGCCTGACAAAGTACTAGGCAAAAGTCCACACTCTGACACAAGCACCATAACCATACTCATGCAAGAAGACAATGTAACCGGATTACAGATTCGAAAAGAAGGAGAATGGGTGCCGGTGAAGCCAATTCCAAACGCTCTCGTTGTGAATGTGGGAGATGTTGTTGAGGTAAAACTTGCATTTTAGTTTAAATAGAAAAGTGATCCTAATTGAACTTTAAAAGAGAAGAATAATATTTTTTTTCTTTGAGCTTCATACTTGTTCTTGCTGTGACAGATATGGAGCAATGGAAAGTACAAAAGCATTGAGCACAGAGCTGTGACAACTGAAAGCAAGGCGAGGCTATCTTATGCAACATTTCTTTTCCCACATGATGATGTTGAAGTGGAACCATTTGATCATATGGTGGAGTCTCCAGGGTCCCTTCGGATGTACAAGAAAGTTAGATATGGAGACTATCTGAGGCAATCCTTGAAGAGAAAAATGGAGGGGAAGGCACACACTGACGCAGCAAAGACTGCAAGTTAAGAAAGATGGTGTTTCTATTTTAGAAAACCAGAGAAAATAAAAAGACTTAAATCAAGTCTCTAATGATCAAATCAGTTTATGTGGCTTTTGTAATACAAAAATAGCATATAGCATCAAGGATGCAGTTTTTGGTTTCTTGTCTATGTAAGAAAGACTATAAAATTTTAATAGTAAGCTTTCTAATTCAAGTAGCGAAAGCCAAATTATAGGGGATTATAATAAGGAAAAAGCTTGGCTCCTTAAAATTGAGCAGGAGCTCCTCCTTACCACCAATGTGGTTTTCACATGTGTCAATTTTTTTTTGTCTTTTTTGTTGAAACTTTGTCAATGCTGTTGGAATTTGACGAGTGTGAAAACTCCATTGGTTTTAAGGAGGAGCTCCTCCTAAAGCCTATCATCACTCATTATCATTTCCTCATTTCTCTTCCCCCTGGTTTTCTAGTTCTTCTCTTTGCTGTTGTTTTTGTGCCAAAACCCTGACTGTTTGAGGAGATTGTTATACCTCCTTAGGATGAATTAGTTAAAGCATATTTTTAGCCTTAATTGATGCTACACTACCATAATCAAACTCATGTGAACACTAATTAAACCTCCAAAATCATGAGATGAATATTAATATTCAATTTCCAGTGAAATGCAGGATGAGACATTAACCTCCAAAAATAAATAATAAAAAAGAAATCCAAGTTTCTAACTAAAGTTAAAATCAGAGTAGATGAAGATCCCTTTAGCATACAAACAAAAACTAATCAGAGACCATTAGAGCTTGCATATTCGTTCTATCAGATCCTGGGTGCTTAGCAGTTAAGAGTTAGATTTACAGAGATGGCTTCAAACCCCGATGCACCGGCTTATGGCTCATCTCTTCCAGCACCAAATGTTCAAGAAATAGTAAGGAGTGACCCTTTGCTGGTCCCTGAAAGATACCTTATTAGGAATGAAGAAGACTTGCCAAAGTGTGGAGATCATATGAGTCATCTTTCTTCTGAGGTTCCTATCATTGATTTCTCTCTGCTCTCAAAAGGGCACAAGGAGGAGCTTAAGAAACTTGACCTGGCTTGCAAAGAATGGGGATTTTTTCAGGTAATTTATCATATACATACATATATATATAATATTATATCATATCTAAGTTAAATAAACTTTTCTGCAGATGGTAAATCATGGAGTGGCAACAGAAGTGTTGCAGGCCATGAAGGATGCTGCTGCAGAGTTCTTTGAGCTTGAGTTGGAAGAGAAGAATAAGATTGCTATGCCACCAGATGACATACAAGGCTACGGGCATACCCATGTGGTCTCAGAAGAGCAAATACTGGACTGGTCTGACTCATTGAGTCTCTTTGTTTACCCGTCCCGGTATAGAAAGCTCAAGTTTTGGCCAACCACACCAAAGGAATTCAAGTAAGTTTCTAAAAATCAGGGGAAAAACAGAGTATTGTTTCTTCAAATTTGTTAATACTAATTAACTCCAATGAAATATATTAGAATGTGAGGATTCAACCCAAAATCAATTGGGCATAGGTGAAGAGGCACAAGTTCCTTTAAACTATTATGCAAGACTTTAATTCCCCGACATGGGATTCACACATGATCCACGGTTTATAGTCACATACTTGCATGAAAGACTGAACTAAATTCTAATGTCTATGTTTACAATAATTGTATTTGTGAAGGGAGGTTATTGAGGTGTATTCTAATGAAGTTAGAAAAGTTGGAGAGGAGCTCCTAAGGTCTCTATCTATAATTATGGGGATGGAGAGGGACACTCTTCTTGGACTTCATAAAGAGTTGCTCCAAGCTTTGCGGGTGAACTACTATCCTCAATGTTGCATGCCTGATAAAGTACTAGGTCTAAGTCCTCACTCGGACAAAAGCTCAATAACAATACTTATGCAAGAAGACAATGCTACCGGGTTACAGATTCGACAAGCGGGAGAATGGGTTCTGGTGAAGCCAATTCCAAACGCTCTCGTTGTGAATGTTGGAGATGCTATTGAGGTAAAGAAAGAGGTTTCAAAAAGTTTTATTGGGCAGAAAAAGAAAACTACAAAAGAGAACAAGGTTTTCTAAGCTTCTCATTTATTCTTTTGATGACAGATATGGAGCAATGGGAAGTACAAGAGCATTGAACACAGAGTTGTGACAACCGAAAGTAAGGCGAGATTGTCATATGCATCATTTCTTTTGCCAAATGACGATGTGGAAGTTGAACCATTTGATTACATGGTGGAGTCGACAGGGTCCGTTCAGATGTACAAGAAAGTCAGATATGGAGATTATCTGAGGCAAGCATTTAAGAAGAAAATCGATGGGAAGGCACACATTCAGACGGTGAAGATTGAAAGTTGATTAGCAGAAGTTTTAATTTTCAAAAGCCAGAAGGAAAAGGAGAAAGAAAAATTAAAACCAAGCCTTCCATCATAATTGAGTTATAAGTTTCTTATATTTTTATTTAATACACTAAACGTTTATGTAACTATACATGCATATGCATTGATAATTGCAGCTCAAAATCATGAAATCATTGGAAGAAATTTGGAACTTCGTGGACTTAAATAGTATCGCAATTATATATCATGGCCAACAGAAGTAAGAAAAAAGCAAAGATCAAGGACATTCAAAGATTTTTACCTAATACTAACACAGTGATAGGCACGCGTCCCATATCCCGGCGGACCCTACGGAGAGCTTATCTTTATTTCTCCTTCAAGCACTTTTCGTGGAAGAGACCATTTCTTAGTAAAGCAATAATAAAGCAACCCAATCCCCCTGTTTTTACCTAATACTCACCAAGATGTCGATGTCGATTGAACTTGGTAGAAGATAATGTCGGTTTTTCCATGGCCACAAATATGAATGAAGGTACAGTGTAATCTAGAAAAATCCAAGAGATTAGTGACTGGAAATGCACAGCCAAGTCCACTGACTTTGGCTATGTAACAATTAACCAAAGAGTGGGTAGCAAATAGCTAACCTACCAAGAGATGTAAAATAGAAGACCAATTAGCCTACCTAAATCAATAGAGATGCTACATTACTAGAAGGCCAACACTCCTCCTCCATTGAAGACAACTCATCTGAAACCCAAGTTGGAGCACTAATTTTTTTTAGAACCGAGAGAAACATGAGTTCAACCCCTGATATGGCATTTGCACCAAATGTTCAAGAAATTGTGAGGAGTGACCCTTCGCAGATCCCTGAAAATTTCCTCATAAGTAGGAATGAAGAAGAAGGCAAGTCAAATAATACTGCAGATGCATGTCATCTTTCTTCTGAGATTCCTATTGTTGATCTTTCTCTGCTCTCAAGAGGACACAAGGAGGAGCTTAACAAACTAGACCAAGCTTGCAAAGAATGGGGATTCTTTCAGGTGATCGTATCCTAAAAATAACTGCACCATATCTTTTTTCAAGTTATGATATTATAATATTATATATTAATTGTAGGTGGTAAATCATGGAGTGGCAACCGACGTGTTGCAGGAAATGAAGGATTCTACGGCCAAGTTCTTTGAACTTCCGTTAGAAGAAAAGAACAAAATTCGTATGCCGTCGGATGAGTTTCAAGGCTACGGCCAAGCCTATGCAGCTTCCCAAGGGCAGACACTGGACTGGTCTGACGCACTGTTTCTCGGTGTTTATCCATCCCACTTTAGAAAGCTCAAGTTTTGGCCAACCTCACCAGAGGGATTCAAGTAATGTTTCTAAACTCAACTTATAAGGGAATACAAAGTAGGCACTTTGTCAATTTCTTCTAATTTGAAAACACTTGTCCATGTTGATGATGTACTTGTAATAGAAATGAGATCTAATGATGCTGCGAATCTTAATGGAATTGAGTTTAATTTCGTTGAAATTAATGTTTACTAACTTTCAATAGTTGAAAATTACCCACACGCGCATGCAATTGAAGCTAGCTAAACCATACTCATAACTTCCAATTTATTGATACGTGTTGTGTTGATGAATAGGGATGCTATTGAGGCATATTCAAGTGGAGTAAAAAGAGTTGGAGATGAGCTCCTAAGGTCTCTATCTTTAACTTTGGGGATGGAGAAGGATACTCTTCTTAAACTACATCAAGAAGTGGTCCAAGTTTTGCGCGTGAACTACTATCCTACATGCCATATGCCTGATAAAGTCCTAGGTCTAAGTCCACACTCGGACACAGGCACCATAACCATACTCATGCAAGAAGACAATGTAACCGGATTGCAGATTAGAAAAGAAGGAGAATGGGTTCCTGTGAAGCCAATTCCAAACGCTCTCGTTGTCAATGTTGGAGATGTTATTGAGGTAATTACAGTACTTTTTTTCTCGATGTGATCGTAACACTGTGGCATGGAATTATCAGCTTATTCATGTTATAATATTTATATATTTATTAATACTCTGATGGCGGTGTTACGAACCCAACCAAAAGTTTCTCACTATACTATAATTTAAGCTTTATGACAGATTTTGAGTAATGGGAAGTACAAGAGCATTGAACATAGAGCTGTCACAACTGAAACCAAAGCGAGGATATCTTATGCATCATTTCTTTTTCCACATCCAGATGTGGAAGTTGAGCCGTTTGAACATATTGTGGAGGCATTGGGGTCTCGGAGGTACAAGAAGGTCAAATATGGAGATTATCTGGGGAATTCCTTGAAGGGGAAACTTAAGGGCAAGGCACACATTGAAACAGCCAAGATTGGAAGTTAATTAAGCATATGCTTTGATTTTCAAAAGCCAGAAAAAATAAATTAAGTAAGGTTCTTCATGATGACTTTGAGTGGGCTTGTTATATTAAAATAAGAAATAGCATCGAGCATTCCATATGATATATCAATAATATATATACTCCCACTTCTTGTTGTTTTTGTTTTTAAGGGCTAGTTTGGCATTGTTGTGCTATGAAAATAATCACTTTTAAATTTGATGTGATAGAAATCAGTGCTAAAAGTGATGTGGGTACAAAAATCAATTTTCTGAGTGTTTGGTAAACTATGATGTAAAAGCGTTATAGTTATGTATAATGACTTAAATAGACATGATACTGAAAATAAATTTTTACTTAACTATTTAGTAAAGCAATGCGAGGCTATCTTATGCAACATTTCTTTTCCCACATGATGATGTTGAAGTGGAACCATTTGATCATATGGTGGAGTCTCCAGGGTCCCTTCGGATGTACAAGAAAGTTAGATATGGAGAATATTAATATTCAATTTCCAGTGAAATGCAGAATGAGACTGCACATTAACCTCCAAAAATGAAAAATAAAAAAGAAATAAAGTCAAAATATGTAGAAATATTAAAATCAGGGTAGATGAAGATCCCTTTAGCATACAAACAAAAACTAATCAGAGACCATTTAGAGCTTGCATATTTGTTCTATCAGATCCTGGGTGCTTAGCAGTTAGAGTGAGATTTACAGAGATGGCTTCAAACCCCGATGCACCGGCTTATGGCTCATCTCTTCCAGCACCAAATGTTCAAGAAATAGTAAGGAGTGACCCTTTGCTGGTCCCTGAAAGATACCTTATTAGGAATGAAGAAGACTTGCCAAAGTGTGGAGATCATATGAGTCATCTTTCTTCTGAGGTTCCTATCATTGATTTCTCTCTGCTCTCAAAAGGGCACAAGGAGGCGCTTAAGAAACTTGACCTGGCTTGCAAAGAATGGGGATTTTTTCAGGTAATTTATCATATTGAATACATACATATATATATAATATTATATCATATCTAAGTTAAATAAACTTTTCTGCAGATGGTAAATCATGGAGTGGCAACAGAAGTGTTGCAGGTCATGAAGGATGCTGCGGCAGAGTTCTTTGAGCTTGAGTTGGAAGAGAAGAATAAGATTGCTATGCCACCAGATGACATACAAGGCTACGGGCATACCCATGTGGTCTCAGAAGAGCAAATACTGGACTGGTCTGACTCACTGAGTCTCCTTGTTTACCCGTCCCGGTATAGAAATCTCAAGCTTTGGCCAACCACACCAAAGGAATTCAAGTAAGTTTCTAAGAATCAGGGGAAAAACAGAGTATTGTTTCTTCAACTTTGTTAATACTAATTGACTCCAATGAAATATATTAGAATGTGAGTATTCAACCCAAAATCAATTGGGTGTAGGTGAAGAGGCGCAAGTTCCTTTAAACTATTATGCAAGACTTTAATTCCCCGACATGGGATTCACACACGATCCACAGTTTATAGTCACTTACTTGCATGAAAGACTGAACTAAATTCTAATGTCTTTGTTTTCAATAATTGTATTTGTGAAGGGAGGTTATTGAGGTGTATTCTAGTGAAGTTAGAAAAGTTGGAGAGGAGCTCCTAAGGTCTCTATCTATAATTATGGGGATGGAGAGGGACACTCTTCTTGGACTTCATAAAGAGTTGCTCCAACCTTTGCGGGTGAACTACTATCCTCAATGTTGCATGCCTGATAAAGTACTAGGTCTAAGTCCTCACTCGGACAAAAGCTCAATAACAATACTTATGCAAGAAGACAATGCTACCGGTTTACAGATTCGACAAGCGGGAGAATGGGTTCTGGTGAAGCCAATTCCAAACGCTCTCGTTGTGAATGTTGGAGATGCTATTGAGGTAAAGAAAGAGGTTACAAAAAGTTTTATTGGGCAGAAAAAGAAAACTACAAAAGAGAACAAGGTTTTCTAAGCTTCACATTTATTCTTTTGATGACAGATATGGAGTAACGGGAAGTACAAGAGCATTGAACACAGAGTTGTGACAACCGAAAGTAAGGCGAGATTGTCATATGCATCATTTCTTTTCCCAAATGACGATGTGGAAGTTGAACCATTTGATTACATGGTGGAGTCGACGGGGTCCGTTCGGATGTACAAGAGAGTCAGATATGGAGATTATCTGAGGCAAGCGTTTAAGAAGAAAATCGATGGGAAGGCACACATTCAGACGGTGAAGATTGAAAGTTGATTAGCAGATGTTTTAATTTTCAAAAGCCAGAAGGAAAAGGAGAGCGACGTGTCTAGGCTAGTGGAATTGTATAAGTACTCAGTCCTCGAGTACAGAGGTTTTCTTATGAATAATGAAAATGTCCTCCTTTTAATTCCTGAAATTCCTTCTTTACTTTTTCTAGCTAAGGGTCCTATTAGCATTGATAATTGCAGCTCAAAATCATGAAATCATTGTTGGACTGGTCTGACGCACTGTTTCTCAATGTTTATCCATCCCACCATAGAAAATTAAGTAAGGTTCTTCATGATGACTCAGAGTGGGCTCGTTATATTGAAATAAGAAATAGCATCGAGCATTCCATATGATACATCAATAATATACATACTCCCTCTTGATGTTGTTTTTGTTTTTAAGGGCAAGTTTGGCATTGATGTGCTATGAAAATAATCACTTTTAAATTTGTTGTGATAGAAATCAGTGCTAAAAGTGATGTGGGTACAAAAATCAATTTTCTGAGTGTTTGGTAAACTATAATGTAAAAGCGTTATAGTTATGTATAATGACTTAAATAGACATAATACTGGAAATAAATTTTTATTTAACTATTTAGTGAAGAAAAGATTTTCACTTTCATTTATGCAGAGATTGTACCAAAAAATTACACACCCCAAAATATTTCAACTATAAAATAATAAAGGCAAACAAATAACAAGTTATGAACTTGTGTACTGCATGTTTGCCACCTATCGTCCAGCCTCAAATGTCTTTAAGCTTCTGTTTCTCAAATGCATTCATCATTGGCAACGTTTCTGATCTTCCTTCCTCTCTCCCTTAATAAATAAATAAATAAAAGAACAGAAAATGCCTAATATTCTTTGGATCGAGATTGGGCTGAACAATCCTCAGCTTTGTTATTCTTCCAGATGACATATAATTCTTCTTCCAGGTTCCTCTGCTATACAGAGCTTTTTCTGAGTTTGCCAAAAACAGTTGAGTTCCTCTCAGCATCCGAATCATATTTTTCTGGTTTTGTTTTTGTTTTTGTTTTTTGGGCAGTCTGTTTTGCAAATGGAAAGATGTGGGAGTTTAAATAGAATCTATTTACCATATTATTATTCGATAATTGATGTAATTTGTTTAAATTGATAAGGATATTGTTGGCATTTTAGAAAATTTCATTAATGAAGCAATGTATCACCGAACAGAGCAGGTATAAAGCAATGTCTTCTTATAATAATAAAACACACCTTTAAACAAACATTTCTACCTAACACTCACAATTATATAGAGAACATTATATGTGGTATATCTCCCACATGATCTGCACCCTAACAAAAATATACTAAATAAAGTAACGTAGCTCAACCCTCTTATTCTCCTCCTCCATTAAAGGTAACCCATCTGCAACCAATTGACCTGGAGCATTTAGAGCAAGAAAGAAACATATGAGTTCAAACCCTGATATGGCAAGTGTTCAAGAACTGGTCAAGAGTGACCCTTCGCAGGTCCCTGGAAAATTCCTCGTAAATAGGAATGAAGAAGACGGGCCAAAGAGTGATCTTTCTTCGAAGATCCCTATCATTGATCCTTTCTCTGCTCTCTAGAGGGCAGAAAGAGGAGCTTGACAAACTGGACCAGGCTTGCAAAGAATGGGGATTCTTTCAGGTGATCATATCCTAATTGGTAGCGTTATGTACTCCAAACTGAATATTTTATAATTTTTATGACCGCGTAGAAGAAGTGCGGTGCATATCTGAACTAAAATAACTTTATCATATTAGTATTCATCAAACTTCTGTTGCTAGAGAAATGTTTATATTTGTCAAACTATGACCACCCAAAATTCAGGCATTTCTCATGACGCTTTGTGTGTGACAGTGTTTGAGTCAATGGACATTTTTCAAGTTACATATAAGTCAAACTTTGCATGCACAGGTGGTGAATCATGGAGTGGCAGCAGAAGTGTTGCAGGAGATGAAGGATGCGACGGCCAAGTTCTTTCAACTTCCGTTGGAAGAGAAGAACAAGATTCGTATGGCATCCGGTGGGTTTGAAGGCTACGGGCAAGTCGATGGTGTTACCCGAGGGGAGACAATGGACTGGTCTGACCAACTGGTTCTCACTCTTTATCCAGCCCAATACAGGATGCTTAACTCCTGGCCAACAGAGCCAGAGGGATACAAGTAATGTTTCCAAACTTAACTCAGAAAAAAGTGGAAAGTTTTGTTAATTTCTTGAAATTTGAAAACACTAGCTAGTGGCATGTATGTTCATGTACTACATTCTACTTGATTATTTTTGGAAAATATTTTTTGAAGATGATTGACTAATCACAATTTATATGGGTGTGAACCTCAAATACTTGCAAGTATCACATCAATCAACAATTCAAAGTCGCCAACACACGTGCTAGTGATAAACTCTAATTAACTTTCAATTCTTTGATAAATGTTGTGTTGTGTGGATCACGATGAAGGGAGGCTATTGAGGCATATTCAAGTGAAGTTAAAAGAGTTGGAGAGGAGCTCCTAAGGTCTCTATCTTTAATTATGGGGGATGGAGAAGCATACCCTTCTTGAACTACATAAAGAGTTGCTCCAAACTCTGCGTGTGAACTACATTCCTCCATGCTCCATGCCTGATAAAGTACTAGGTCTAAGTCCACACTCGGACGCAAGCACCATAACCATACTGATGCAAGAAGACAATGTAACCGGGTTACAGATTCGAAAAGAAGGGGAATGGGTGCCGGTGAAGCCAATTCCAAACGCTCTCGTTGTGAATGTGGGAGATGCTATTGAGGTACGAATGCTAATTCAACTATACAAAAGAAGTGCATTATTTTGTTGAAGCTTCATTGTTCTTATTGTTATGACAGATATGGAGCAATGGGAAGTACAAGAGCATTGAACATAGAGCTGTGGCAAACGAAGGCAAACTCAGGATATCTTATGCTTCATTTCTTTTCCCGCATGTTGACGTGGAAGTTGGACCATTTGACCATATGGTGGAGTCTTCAAGAATGTACAAGAAAGTCAAATATGGAGATTATCTGACGACTGCCTTGAAGAATAAACTTAAGGGAAAGGCACACACTGAAATGGCGAAGACTGGAAGTTGAGCAAATGTTTCAATTTTCAAAAGCCAGACAAAAGTTAAATCAAGTCTTCGTTGATGACTTTGAGTGGCTTGTTAATAAAACGTCATCAAGCATGTTGATTTTGATTTTTCTGTGGCTGTAACAATTTGCAGTTCTCCCTTCTTCTTTTTATAAATAAAATGAATCTTATGCACTTTGTGCCATTCCAACTTCAAGCAGCCAAACCCCAAATTGTTTTCTGCTCAGCTATGAAACAACTAACAAAATGTGATAATATGCAAAGCAAAAAAAAACGCTTGAATCTAAAGAGAAATAAAAATTGGTGGGGTAAGGGGGAATGGAATGAAATGACAACAAAATATGTGATGCAGTAAACAGGTTCCATGAGCTAATTTAAGTGACAAGCTCCCATTGGCATCATTATGGCACTAGAACTGCCTTGAACATTTGCAGCTTCCGGTGGAGGACCTGCACCGCACCTAGCAGCAAAGGAGGAGTTTCTTTCATCTCGCAGTACGGGGGGTTTCTATCAGCAGGATTTGGAGCAAAAGCTCTATGCTATGACAGATATGGAGGAAGTACAAGAGCGTTGAACATAGAGCTGTCACAACTGAACAAAGCGAGGGATATCTTAAATATGCATAATTTCTTTTGCCACATCAAGGTCTCGGATGTACAAGAAGGTCAAATATATATATGGAGATTATCTGGGGAGTTCCTTGAAGGGGAAACTTATGGGGGACGGCACACATTGAAACTAGAAAGATTTGAAGTCAACGAAGAAAAGGATCCGCATCTATTTTGAAAGGGAAAGCCAGAAAAAGAAAATTAAATAAAGTTTTTCATGATGACTTTGAGTGGGGCTTGTTATTCAAATAGGAAATTGCATCAAGCATCCTATATAAATATATATGCACTCTTTTGTGGGTCCTTTTGGTTTTTTTAGGTGGTTAACACTATCAACCGTTGGATTAATCCAATGGCTGTCATGATTTTGGGGCTCGCAGGCACCTAAAAGCGTTCCCTCATGTGACCTGGTTGTATTCATGCTTATTTTTAGTCCAAAATATATATGATGGATGCAGTTTTTTCAATCAATGGGGAATATGAAATTCAAATTTAGAGCATCTTCGCTGGAAAGAAAAGTATCACTAAATTAATAGCTCGTCTATAAATATACATACAATTTAAAAATTACAACAACACGAAAAGAAAAGAAATTTGCATTATACTCTATACTTTATGGAGTTTAATATTATTGGCCATGCACACCGACAAGAACAGGTGATCAAATGTTTTCTTATGAAACGTTTAAACAAATATTTCTATCACTATCGCAATTATAGAATATATAACAATATGTATACATATAGTTTATCTCGCACATGATCTACACCCGCAAAAAAACAAATCATTCTCCTCCTCCATTAAAGGTAACCAATCTGCAACAATTGACCTGAGGCATCTAGAACAAGAAAGAAACATGAGTTCAAACCCTGATATGGCATATGTACCAAATGTTCAAGAACTGGTAAAGAGTGACCCTTCGCAGGTCCCTGAAAAATTCCTCATAATTAGGAATGAAGAAGACGAGCCAAGAAATGATCTTTCTTCCAGGATCCCTATCATTGATCTTTCTTTGCTCTCTAGAGGCCACAAGGAAGAGCTTGACAAACTGGACCAGGCTTGCAAAGAATGGGGATTCTTTCAGGTGATCATATCCTAACATGTACTGCAAATTGAATATTTTATAATTTATGCTCACCTCGTAGGAGTGATTAAAAAATGATACTGAAATCACCCGTGGCCTATCCTAATTAAGATAATTTGTTTATTATTTTTCGTTAGACTTGCGTTGTTAAAGAAATGTTTATATTGTCAAACTGTAAATGTTGACCGTACAAAGTCAGGCATTTTTCATGATGATTGTTTGATGATAGTCTTTGAATCAATGAACACTTTTCTTTTCTTCTTTTTTTGGGTCAAAAAATGAACACTTTTCAAGTTACATATAAAGTCAAACTGTGCATGCACAGGTGGTGAATCATGGAGTGGCAACAGAAGTGTTGCAGGAGATGAAGGATGGGACGGCCAAGTTCTTTGAACTTCCATTAGAAGAGAAGAATAAGATTCGTATGGCATCGGGTGAGTTTCAAGGCTACGGGCAACTCTTTGGTGCATCCCAAGTGCAGAAAATGGACTGGTCTGACGCACTGCTTCTCAGTCTTTACCCAGAACAAAACAGGAATCTTAAGTTTTGGCCAACAGAACCAGAGGGATACAAGTAAAGTTTTCTAAACTTAACTCGGGGAAAAATAGAGAGTATTTTTAATTACCCTTTAAGAGTGTGAACCTCTAATACTTAGGAGCATCAATCACATCCATCAACGGGTCAAAGTCACTCATATATGCAAATGAAGCTAGCTAAACTCTAATTGACTTGCAATTTCTTGATAAGTGTTGTGTTGATCATGATGAAGGGAGGTTATTGAGGCATATTCAAGTGAAGTCAAAAGAGTTGGAGAGGAGCTTCTAAGGTCTCTATCTATAATTATGGGGTTGGAGAAGCATACTCTTCTTAGCCTACACAGAGTTGGGCCAAGCTTTGCGGGTGAACTACATTCCTCCATGCTCCATGCCTGATAAAGTACTAGGTCTAAGTCCACACTCGGACACGATCACCATAACCATACTCATGCAAGAAGATGATGTAACCGGATTACAGATTCAAAAAGAAGGGGAATGGGTGCCGGTGAAGCCAATTCCAAACGCTCTCGTTGTGAATGTGGGAGATGCTATTGAGGTTAAAAATGGTGCTTGAACTTTATTAAAGAAGTACAATATTTTTTTCTAAGCTTCATGTTCTTATTGCTATGACAGATATGGAGCAGTGGGAAGTACAAGAGTATTGAACACAGAGCTGTCGCAAACAAAAGCAAAAGGAGGATATCTTATGCTTCATTTCTTTGTCCGCAATGTTGATGCTGAAGTCGAACCATTTGATAATATGGTGGAGACATCAAGAATGTATAAGAAAGTTAGATATGGAGAGTATCTTTTTTCTTCCTTGAAGGGTAAACTTAAGGGGAAGGCGCATATTGAAACGGCTAAGGCTGGAAATTGAGCAACTGTTTCTATTTCCAAAAGCCGGATCAAGTCTTCCTTGATGACTTTGAGTGGGCCTGTTAATAAAATAACATCAAGCTTGTTGAATTTCATTTCTCTGTACCTGTAAGAATATGCACTTATCTCTTTTGTTTGATAAATAAAATAAATCTTATGCACTTTGTGCCATCGATGGTGCACTTCCAAGTTCAAGTTGCCAAACCCAGATTATGTTCTGCTCAGCTAAGAAACAACAAAAACCTTGTTTTCATTAACACCAGGCTCAACAGCTAACAAAATGTGATACTATGCAAAGCAAAAAACTTTTGAATCTAAAGAGAAATACAAGGGGTGGGGTATGGGGGAATGGAATGAACGGAATTACAACCGAGTGTATGATACAGTAAACTGGTTCCGTGAGCTGATTAAATAGAGGCAACAAAAACAGCCATAGCTACATTACTAATTTGCCTGAGAGCTCCCATTGGCATCATCCCTGGTAGTAGAACTACCTTGAACATTTGCAGCTTCCGGTGGAGGACCTGCACCTAGCAGCAGAGGAGGAGGAGTTTCTTTCTTCTCAGTACCAGGGTTTTTATCTGCAGGATTTGGAGCAAAAGCTCTAAGACGAGGTTCAAAAACCTTGCTTGCAACATCAGGTGGTGGTGCATCTTCCCCTGGAAGCACAAGAAGCCCATTCTCACGAAGAGAAGATGGCTCGTTGTAGCAGGCATTCCAGAGGGAGTCTACCAGCTGCCTCTCCTCTTTAGCTGCCCCAAGATCTTCAGGAGACATTGAACTAATACCTTTAATTCGCTCTTGAAGAAGTTGCTTCAATTTCTCATCTTCATCAGCTAAACCACTAGTGGACCCATCAGTTTTGTCTCTAGCAAGCTCAAGAAGGCCCCGGAGTGCAGCTTCTCGTACTTCTAGATCTTCGCTAGAGGCAAGGTGCAACATTATGCGTGGAAATCCTAGCTCACTTACTACATTGCAATCAGAGCTATTCTCGTGCAGTAGGAACTGAATCAAATTCAGGGCTTTCCTGAAAAATGGTTAATTTTCAAAAGAAATTCATTATTGGGACACTAATTGAGGCAAAAATGATGGCATATAATATAAACATGTGAAGATTTCCAAATATATGAATTATTCAATTTCATTAATATGTTTTAATTCCCCAAAAAAACATATTAACAAAATGGCCCAAAGCAAAACGTGAACTGAAGATATAACAAAATCCTTGTAACACACAATTACCTCTGGAATCTCACGTTGTCAGAAGATAAAGCATCTCTCAAGGCTGCATAACCATTTGCTAGACGAAATGCAATGCTACCAGGTTTGTTGTGCCGGATTAAAGCTGAAAAGGCCATTCATTTGCAAATCAAAAGCTACATTAATATTCTTTCACGACAGGGCAAAACTAGAAAAACACAACTACTTACATGACTAAACAGCAAACACAGTTCATCATAATACCAAAAGCAGTACTTACAGGAAATTGCGCCGAGAGCTTTGGTTCGAACAGTCACATCAGAGTCGGATGTGAGATTAGAAAACAGATATTCTAAGCCATTTGCTTCCATGACCAATTGTTGGCTCTTGGGGTTGTTCTGGACAATAGTGGTCACAACTTCTGCAGCCTTTGCTCGGATATTAGCATGGGAATTCTTCAGGTAACCAAGAAGAGGGACCAAACCGCCAATGGAATGAAGATCTGTGACAAATTAACAGCCAATGTTACAACGCACAAGACCCAAATATCAATATGCAAAAGAACACACACCAAATAAGATGATAGCAAAAGTCCAGTTCAAAGAAAAGGGTCAGAAATTTTACCATTGGCCATGTCAATAGACTCAACATGCTCTTGCAACTCATCCAACAAATCTGACAGAGACCCAAAAGAAGTACCAACAAAGTTAATTATATGTTATAAATTCAAAACAAAACTTGGAGGAGAATTTCATATTTTATTAAATAAAAGGAGACAAACCTTCAATATCAGCAGGAGTAACTCCTTGAGCTTCCAAAACCTGCTCAGGAGTTTGCATTACAAGTGTTATCTCCTTCATGCGCTTCACAACGTCAATACTCTGCGATTGCATCGCTTCCATAAACCATCTCCTATCCTCCTCGCTATAAAAACACAACCAAAAGCCAATCAATTTGGTCTCTAACATTCACACACATGCTTTTGAGTATTTCTATACATTGATTACAAATAATTGCGTAATTAGTATGATTTTGGGGGTGCGGAGAGAAAAGTACCTCAAATTGCGATTGGGGCGAGTGCCATCAGAGTGAGCGAGGCTCCATTTGAGCAATCCATCCCAGTTGGGTCCGTCTTTTGCCATTGTTGCTTCGTCTTCAACAAAACCAATACCCTAAAAAACTCTGCCTTCGTCTCTGCTCTGCTAATGGATGAGGAAACAATAAATTACAAAGGAAACGGTTTAAAGCACCAGCAGAGTTATATAGGAATATAAGTCGACATACAACGCTCAGACTTCAAGTTCTCGAAACCACTCGACAGTTCTGGAACTCTAGTTTATACACTAGAACTGAAAGGAAGACACGCAGGCGGCAGGGGGCGCCGAGCTGCCCGGCCTATGGGCCTGCAAGTTAGATTAGGTTGGGCTAAGGTTTTAAGAGACCCAATAAACTGTGTACTAGTCTTTCAGTCTTCGGTGGAAGGCCCAATTTTGTTGAATCATGGGATTTCTTGTTCCCTTTTGTTTTTTGTCACCAGTTGTGTATATTAAACAACTGCTGGCGTCAAAGACTTACAATGCGTTTGGATGAGAAAATTTAAAAGTACAAATGAATTCATAAATGACAGAAATTAATGTTCTAGAATTTAAAAAGTTTCTTGCTTGAGTAAAGGATTTAAAATACGAGCTTTAAACTTTATTTGTAAAGTTATCTTTTTAAAAAACTCAATCTCTCTTGGAATTTTAGAAATGACAACTTTTAGATATAATTTAAAGTTGAGATTTATGTCCTCCAAATTCCATGTTGTTTCCCACATGAAATTTCTAAATTTCTGTGTTTTTTTATATCCAAACATGGCAATTGGTTCATGTCAATTTAGAAATTTTAATTTTTGTCAAAATCTCAAGTTTATTTCCCTCATCCAAACACACCATTAAGATGTTGCATTACATACTGGTGGCGGTGCTAATAATGTATATCAAGTTTTCGCTCTGCCTTACGTGTTGCTAGAGAGGCAAACAAATAAAGTTATAATAACATTAATTATGCTACGGTCAGTCATTCACATGCACATGAATAATTTATGAATGTAAATCAATCTCGAATCCACATTTGATCCAGTCATAAATCATGTGTGGACAGCAAAATCTAAGTCTCAACACTACGTGGTTAGAATATGAACTAACAAACTATACCAAACTTAATGTACACTACAAGCAATCGGTGATGGAGGATAATTAGTGGCGGAGAGTGATCTCTAAAACCTAATTCACTGGTTGGCTGTCAGCAAGATTTGCCTCAGGTTTATTAAATCCATATATGTTTGCTAATTTTGCGTTTATTGGACGGAGTTTAAGTTGGTAAACACAATACAACGTGCTCCCTCGCATGGTGTTGGCAGTGGCCACTTCACTGCACCAATGATTCGGCTCCACAAATTGAAACCGTTAAACAATACAATAGTGGTGCAAACGTGGAATATTCTGTCTTCCATAATCAAATGTTGTCTTTTCGTATGTGGTTGCTAGTCCTACTAGCCACTAGGTAGGGTCCATCGCCTCACTCCATAAAAAGCCTTCATCAGTGAGCTGTGACATGTAAACAAACTCACACGACATGTCGTTTTGGTCGCCCAATTGCCACGCCAGTCAAACGCGTTTTCAAAACGTTCGCGGAGACCTAGACCTCAGTATGGGCCACGGCGACATTGTGTTTACGTGTGTCCGTCCGTCGTACGTGTGCAGTTGCGTACCGCGTATCAATTATTTTTGTAAGACTAAATTTCTTTTTCGTCATTAGATTTTATACGAAATTATAATTTAATTAATGACAATAGAATTTTAGTTAATTAATCCGTGTACAAGTCAACATTTATAATTTATAGAAATTTCGTTATTTTTTCATTGAGTAGTTTACTTGTGACAGAAATTTTGAGAATACCGCGACCTATGCTTTAATGCCGCCACTCTTTGTATTTACTTAACTAAAAACTTTGAATTATAATTTGCCGAAATTTATTTTTTAGTGATCAAATTAAAATTTCGTATAAATTACTAAAACTATTTTAAGTTCTTTCGTCTTTTCCATTTTTCATTTATTGATTTGATTTTGGCTTTTTGAGGTTAAAATACATGTACTGTGTACAGCTTAAATGCCACGCTTTAAGGAACGACGCGCTACCTGCACCTCCTTTTAAAAGCTTTGTATTTCTCATTTTCACTTTCCTCTCTCTCTCTCTCCCCTCTTGCTCTCTGCTTCACTTCGCCTTCGATTTCACTGAACGATCTGAGCTTCTGAAAATTGGATTGCGTTCGTTCCTGATTGCTGGGCTTCATTTTCACTTCAACAAAGATTCAATCTTTTTCCAATTTCGGAAAATAAAGAAAGGGCCTTTGCCTCTTTGCCTCTTTGCCTCTTTGCCTCTTCGCCTCTTTCTCTGGTCTTCACTGTTTAGGGTTTCTGATAGCTTCCGATGGCTTCCCTGGGCTCCGCCTCATACTGGTGCTACACATGTAGCCGATCGATTCGGGTTCGGATCCGGGCCCAAGACTCGATCCTCTGCCCCGATTGCGGAGCCGGATTCATCGAAGAGATCCAGACCCCGACCCGATCTCCGCTCCACCACCCATTCCCCACCGCCGCGATGTTCCTCGACAACACTCCAATTTCGCAGAGCCCGAGCCCACCTAATCTCCGCCGGAGCCAGAGAAGCAGCCGCGATCGCTCACCGTTCAACCCGGTTATTGTCCTCCGAGGCCCACCTGACACCGAATCCGACCCGGGAAGCTTCGAGCTTTACTACGATGACGGAGCCGGTTCGGGCCTCCGCCCTCTGCCGTCGTCCATGTCGGACTTCTTAATGGGATCGGGTTTCGACCGGCTGCTCCACCAATTGACCCAATTGGAAAACGGCGTCGCACGGCTCGACCACCCTCCGGCGTCAAAAGCCGCCATCGAGTCCATGCCCGTCATCAAAATCGCTGACGACCACGTCTCCACCGAGTCGCACTGCGCTGTTTGCAAGGAGGCGTTCGAGCTCGACTCGGAAGCTCGCGAGATGCCCTGTAAGCACATCTACCACTCCGACTGTATATTCCCATGGCTTTCGCTTCGAAACTCGTGCCCAGTTTGCCGCCACCAGCTCCCTACTGACGTGCGCGGGCCGCGTGGCAGAGCCTCGCCGGAGAATAATGGTGTGGCTGGAGAAGAAGAGACGGTGGGGTTGACTATCTGGAGATTGCCCGGGGGCGGATTCGCTGTGGGCAGGTTCACCGGAGGCAGGAGAGCTGCTGAGCGTGAGCTTCCAGTTGTTTACACTGAGATGGATGGTGGGTTCAATACGGCTGGTGCCCCTAGGAGGATTTCATGGGCTTCTAGAAGAAGAGCGAGGGAGAGTGGTGGGTTTGCTCAGGCTTTTCGCAATTTCTTCTCCTTTTTTGGGAGGCTCAGAAGCTCGAGAAGCGGGTCTGGTAATGTGTTTAGTAGATCATCAAGGAGGAGAAGCCAGCGTTGGGCTTTGGAAGATAACTGATTGAGGTTTAGTGTTTTATAGTTATTGGGTTCTGATATTTTGATTACATTGTGCTGATGTCGTTGCTGAGGAAGGGAAAGTTTGTACATTTATCGTTTGTTTGGTGTAAATAGCAATACATGACAGAGAATTGAAGAGTCTCTCAATTGGGGCTCTGTGGAAGAGATGGAAATTTTGAATTTGGTAGAGAGACTAGGGAATCAGTTTTTGCACATTTGGAAGGAGGAGGAGGAGGAGAAGTAAAGCCAAGGGATTAAAGTGGTGGCTTGGCAGCATTGGAAAGTTAGCAATGGAGAGGTGGTACAAGGCTTTCTGTTGTTGTTTGTATTACTGCTAGGACTTAAAAGGCCTCGCTTGTTGCAGAATTGCAGGGTTACAGTGAATTGACCTAGAAACCGGTGGCTGTATTTTGTTCTTTTTGGTTGTCTATTGTTGTACTTAGGATTGTTTTGATTGTTCTCATTTTAATCCAAAGTGATTACTGGCTCTCTTATTTGATGTTGGTGTGCTGCATTTATTTTCAGCAAAATTTGATTTGGGATGCAGTTGGATCATGTGATTAATTTCCTAACATGTGAAGAGTTCCAGTTGGGAATTAGGCCATCTTCATCATCACTCAGAATTTTGCAGTTTCTTCTAACCAATGAATTTGCGGTTGTTAATTTGATAATTCCAAGCACATTTTCATGAAATAAAAAGGAATTTGCTGGAAGCACACGCATCGTCTCTTTTAACAAGAATTTCGGCCTGCTCAAGCAGCTAACCAAATGCTTCAGAAACTGCAAAAAGTTCTGGTCTTTGATCATTGTGTGATGGTATGTATTTCTTCATGGCCAATTAAGTCCTTTTATGCCTAGTAAATTCTACCCTTTGTTGCATGTGAACTGTTGATGAGCCATCGCAATGGAAGTCTTGTGCCACCGTGCTCCTCGTTGCTCATTCACAGCAATGCAAGTCTTCGGCTCTCTAAGTCATGGTTAGGACTTTTCACGCGGCACAACCTGTTGGAATATGGTACTTCATCCTTTGCTCGCTCATTACCCACAACCCGTTCCCCACCATTCGTTTGCTTCAAGCCACCAGTTAGTCTCAGCCAGCTCCTTCTTGCCCCCACCCTATTAAACGAGTGAAGTCGGCGTGGACCCAGCCTTATCTTTAAACCCACAAAAATCTTGGGTTCTTATTGGCCCTACCTATCCATTTAGAATGAAGAAAACACAAACCAAAACACCCTTTTTCACAACCAAGCTGAGAAAATTGAAATTACAAGATTTCAACAGAGATGGGATCAATGTCTTCTCCTCTGACTATTTCTGCAGAGCCACTGAAGCAACCGGTTGCGGTCGGCCACAGCAGCCCCTCTCTCTTGACGACACAGGCAGGGTCAAAATCTCTGTTGTGGAAGTCTAGGATTGAGAAGAAGAGAGCATTGACTCTGGTTGCTGCCATTGGAGATGTATCTGCTGATGGCACCCCCTACCTGATAGCTGGAGCTGCTGCAGTGGCTCTGCTTGGAACTGCCTTCCCAATTATCTTCTCCCGCAAGGACCTGTAATTAACTAACTACCCTGCTCTCTCATTTCATTGACTCCTCTTTTTATAAAATCTTTTTGAGTTGTGTTTGCTGTGCTCGTTTTAGGTGTCCCGAATGCGATGGGGCGGGCTTCGTTCGGAAGTCAGGGGTGACCCTGAGAGCTAATGCAGCACGGAAGGACGAGGCTCAGATTGTCTGTGCTCGGTGCAATGGCCTTGGCAAGCTCAACCAAATCGACAAAAGATAGATCCCTCATTTTCTTTCTCTGTTTTGTAACTTTGATCTCGCGCTGGTGCTGTCAAAGCTTATAAACAGCGTTTCTCTTTTAACACTGTCACATGAAAGAATAAACCTTTTCTTTAGATATCACCATGGCCTCGAATATGTTGTTCTGTAACTGTAATTTCACATGAATTCAAGGCTGTGCATACATACATCATGTTTACTGTGATAGTTCATATGATGCACTTGTATTCACAGCAAAGCTAAGCTTGCAATATCACGGGGCAAAACTACTGTTGTTAAAGACTTTTAACTTAAAGTTGGCTTGTCAATATTGCTGCGACTGTCCTCCATGTGATCCCATACCAACTGAACTGGATCTACTTCATCTGGGAAATTTTTTGGTTTGGCAGTCGGACCATCACGTAGGTTACCAATTCACATGTTAAATATGGGTGAACAATATGTTGATACTAGAGTATAGCATTAAAAATATATACACGTATTATAATATAAGTGAATCAATATAATACGTGAATCGATAATATTGACATATGGTGGAAGCAACTTGCTATATATGTTGTCTATTTTCTTTTTTTAGACCTATTTCTTCTTAGGATATAATTTGTTTTTTCTTATAGAAACGATACTGAAAAATAAAAGAATTCAACAGAGGACTTCCGATTGCATGAATGAATATTATATAGAATAAAAGAGGTGAACTATAATTGCAAAGTAGAATGTTTCTTTTCATCCAAAAAGAAAAGGGTAGAATGTTTCTTCGTCTAAGGAAAGTTGCTAAATTGGTAAGGGAAAGGGACGACCTTGACCATAATAAATATGTTGCAAAAATTGTTTCAATTTCCTTTTCAGAATTACCAATCAATTATTTTCTTTACACAAGCAAATCAATTTCGTCATATAACCATATGGAGTCTATGAGAAACCAAATTTCATTAGTAATAGTATACACACAGCCCGAAGTTCGGATCGCATTGGGTCTTTGCTTCTTGGTCATCAACCCAAAATCTTCCAGCAGCAAGAACCAGCCCTACTAATCAACTGACACGTGCACGTCTTGATCCTTGAAGGGTCTCACAGCCACATACGTACAGCAATATATGCACGCTGTCATCTCCAAAAACCACGGATGCACAAGCAGATGGTGAAACCAAATACAAATCTGACAGAACCAGTTAGTGCCAATCTTCTTGTTGTCTCTGTCTTTGTTTTGCATTTGCCCTAGGCTGTTTTTTTGCTTAATGCTAGGAGCTCAAGATTAAGTGTTTGCATGCGTGCCTAATTGGGTTTGATTAATATTAATCAAGGACGATCGAAAGTGATGATGAGTTGGATGAAGTTGGACGAGGATCTTGGTCCCGATCGTGGGGACGACAACTTCCACACAGATGATGAAGAAAACCAAGCACACAGGTCTTGTGAGCAATATGAAGCCGATACCGAATCCGATATCGTTAGAGCTCCCTCAAGAAATCTGTCCCAAAACTCCATTGATGTTAATACTAATGCATGGCCTCAAAGCTACTGGTAAATTCTTCATAGGCTACAAGACTATATGTACATAAATATGTGTGTATAGTATTTGCTTTCTCGTAACATGGTTTGTCGATGCAGATAAGATTTTCATATTGCTAAACTGTGAATATGTATCAAGCATTCAAACAATAATTAACATATATTAGCTAGCTTTTCGTATAGTGTTTTTTTTTTCAATGTTAGAAGTTCTAAGTTCGAATCCACATACCTCGACAAGATTAACCTAAACAATTGTCCAAATTCACCATATCCTAACATGTTTTTCTTCATTTGGGTTTCATGATAAATTTTAAGCCTAAATGTGATATTCATTAAAACACCCAAAATGGGAGCTGAAATTATAAAAAAACTCAACACCCAAAACACTTTATAAACACACCCAAAACCCATCATTACACACACTCAAAACTCATTTATAAACACACCCAAAAAATATACAATTGTTGATTTTGGGGTTGATTTTGGGTGTGTTTCTATGTTTAAATAGTGCTTGGGTTTTTTTATAAATACATGTCTAGGATTGGGTTTATTTATAAATTTGTATAAATAATATATATTCTTAGTGATTGAACCATTTGGTAAAAGAAAACTAAGAAACAGCTTCCTTTTTCTTTTTTTTCTTTTTTTAGAGGACCTTTTCTATGGAGATGAGCGATAATATACTAAACTCACACACACTACACGGATGCTAAGACTCGAATCTGGGACCTTTTTTAGAAGGAACAAATGCTCTAAACCAGTACACTAGTGGGTCTTTTGCAACTAAGAAACAACATTAATAAGTTGCCAACATCAAAATGTCTTGTAATGTGTCCTTCTGTCGACTTTTTCCTTCTTGAATATGTGCATGCAGGCAATCGATTGACATGTACACAAGTGTGACGCCTCCTTCCCTGGGGTTCCTAGGCGCGGCGAGTTTGAATTCTTTGTCTACACTTGACAAGCGGCACTCAATATCTGATTCTGATTCAAGCACCACAAGGCTACTCATTTCTCAAACCAGTTTGGACAAAGAAGTGCCCCCCTCACCTTCCCAAGCTGCCAAATCCTCCATCTACTCTTCCTGCGCCTCAAAAGGCTCCCTCCCTGAATTGCCCCCACCCAAGGAACGCTGCTGTTCATTTTCCCAAGCTGTACTCAATGGTAATAACAATCAATTTTCATGGTAGATTAATAGCAGAGAATGAGTTGCCACTCTGCAGTTTCTAACAGAGAATTTCCTCATTTTATTATGCAGGAACCAATGTTCTATGTGGGATAGGACTTCTTACAACCCCATATGCAATAAAAGAAGGAGGGTGGTTGAGCCTTATACTACTTGCTTTATATGGTGTCATCTGTTGCTATACTGGAATTTTGTTGAAGAGATGCTTAGAAAGCTGTCCCGGGCTCCGAACCTACCCGGATATTGGCCAGGCTGCTTTTGGCTCCACCGGTCGTTTTTTCTTATCTGTAAGTCTAACTTACGTTGATAATGCTTACGTTGTCAGACTATGGATTCAATAGTCCAAGATTCCATTGTCTTGTGATTTTTGGATTCACGTCAAAAATTTATCATATGAGCCATGCATGTTTCTATATGTTTGAAGCAACACTGACACTTGGATTTGGGCCATGCAGATAATATTGTATCTAGAACTATATGTAAGTGCACAGAACTCTTAGTTTCCTCTATGCCTCCCTCTTTCTAATATACATTAAAAGTTAAATGCCTGTGTGATGTAGGGTGCTTGTGTGGAGTTTTTGACCATGATGAGTGATAACTTGGCCTCAGTATTCCCAGACACCCAAATGACACTTGGTGGAATCCATCTTGATAGCCATCATATCTTTGGCATCACAGCAACTCTTGTAATTCTTCCAACTGTATGGCTTCAAAACCTTAGTTTGCTCTCTTACCTCTCAGGTTTCATATTCTGATCACTTATCTTAATCTATATAAATCTTTATGCTTTCAATTTCACAATGTTGAACATCTAAGCTCAAGAAAAGTTGTACAATTGAACCAATGTTTTCAGTTGGAGGAGTGGTTGCATCAATCCTTGTGGCCCTTTGCTTGCTGTGGGTTGGGGTGGTGAACCAAGTTGGATTTCATCACAGAGGACCAGCTTTAAACCTTTCAGATATATCTGTCACAATTGGTATCTATGGCTTTGGCTTCGCCGGCCATTCGGTCTTCCCAAATATCTATACCTCCATGAAAGAACCATCACAATTTTCAGCAGTTCTAATAACCAGGTGAGGTGACCAGCATTGTCTTTATTTAAAATTATTTTTTTTCCTGATTTTAAAAATGTGACGAAGTTTTGACATGTTTCTCTGTGCAGTGTTACATTTTGCTTTTTCATATACACTGGGGTAGCAGTATTCGGCTTTCTAATGTTTGGAGACTCCATCCATTCTCAGTTCACTCTAAACATGCCCACACAGTTTGTTGCTTCCAAAATTGCAGTCTGGACAACAGTATGATTTAAGAAACTTGGTTCTGTTTTTTCCAGGGTTTTTTCTTAATCTTTTTTTTTTTTTTTTTTTTTTTTTTTTTTTTTTTTTTTTGATTATCCTTTTTTCTTTTTTTTTTTCTTTTGTTTATGCAGATTGTGAACCCAATGACAAAGTATGCCTTGACAATGACACCAGTGGCTTTGAGTGTAGAGGAACTCTTTCCCCAAGCTTGGACGGGATCTCACTGTGTTTCGATTTTCGTTAGAACACTTCTAGTTTCATCAACTTTGGGCGTGGCAATGAGTTTTCCATTCTTTGGTAAGCATATGTGTGTGTTTGTGTGTGAGAAGTTCAAACTCTTAAAATAAAAGATGTGTTTTTTTACTCTGCTGGCTATCTGGCTATCAACTACTAACAAAATTCAGCTAGTGAACAATTTTGATTGACAATCGAACAACATAACATATCACATCATATGATAAAAGAACATTTTTGCTTAAAATAAAAAGACAAGGCAAAGTTCTTTGGATATAAAGTGTGGCGTCTACTAAGCTGTTCATTTTGTCAACTGGACTGCAGGCTCTGTGATGGCATTGATTGGATCCTTAGTAGCAATGCTAGTGGTGAGTAACTTCTTCATCAACCCATTCAATTCCAGGATAGAGGGAGCCAGCGGATCCATCAACAAACATGATTGAGCGACCGGCTCTCTCTATTCCGCAATTGAAGCTCTTAGTATATATATACACCAAGATTGCATGCAGTTCATTGACGAGTTGAAATTTTCCTTTTTTTTTTTTTTTTTTTTTTTTTTTTTTTTTTTTTTTTTTTCTTTACATGGCTGTTGTTGTTTTTCATGTGTGTGTTATCTCATCCTACTCAGAGGTAGATTAACTAAACGGCAGGTAAGAATCACAACCCATTATTGTAATTATTACTCAATGCAATTAATTTATCAGAACGTTTCTGCAATAATGCCTCTTTCACAATATTTCCTGCTCTAATTTTCAGATTGCAACTTGCATTCTGATCATAACTGTGGGGGTGGTGTGTTCTATTATTGGAACATACTCAGCAATTTCAAGAATAGCTGACCAAATGTAATTTAACACATGATATTCTAGCCTAAAGCTAAAGAAGGGAGACTGGTCACGTGTCGTTTCGTTATTGATTTGTTGCACCATGTAATACAACCATTGTACTGTAGACTTTCAACAAATAGGAACAGACAACCCAATATGTGACATTCAGCTAGCTTTCTTATTACACAAAATTAAATGAACTTGGTCCTTTATGTGTTCAATAAAGGGGGTTCATTTGGTTCCAACAAGTTATGTAATTCACAAGCCAAGCAGGACTTAGCATCAATCCATTTGTGGAGAAATGGAAACTAGTGCCCAAACAACGTTTCAATCATGCAACCAACAGTACTGTTCCTGCCCTCAAACAATTCAGCATTACATGTGCAACCGACCGGAGGCTTTATGTTTATAGTATTCACAATTTACATTGGTTGCCTCACCACCGATTTTGGATTTGACAATGAACTATTTTAGTAGCAGCACATGAACATTTAATTTAGTTGATATATTTATTTGTTTTGGCAAAAGGTACGGAAGATATTTCGCTCAATTTTTTTTTTGGTCAACAAAGATATCATAAAAGCCAACCGGCAAAGGCCCAAAGGAGAGCCAAACCCAACCAAACCAAAGAACTAAAAACAAGCCAAAAGAACAAAACAAAACGAAAAACCACACAACAAAAGATTAAGCACCAGGCGGAGGGCAAGGAAGACCATCCCGAGATATTTCGCTCAATTAGTGAAGAGTATTTGTCGAATTCACCCAGATATCTTGGATCGATGTTCAGTGTTGTATGAAGTAGCGTAGTACCCTTTATTTGTAGGACCAATAAAAGAGAGGACCCTTTAATGGAAGACTATATAACTTGCCAATAATGCTATTACACACATAATAACACTTTCAATTAGCATAATATATTGGTTGAAGATAGTGAAATAATGTAATTCCCGTTACAATTAAGTTTTTCTCTTTTAATTCGGAGGGGCCTTAAGAGCAGATGTCAGGGCTAGCTGTCCAACTCACAGCCTCACAGAGCCTACCCCTGGCCAAAGGAGAGGAGAGCCATCAGTTCAGTCATGTGCAGCTAGACCTGGCAAACGGGTCGTATTAACGGGTTTCGGGTCGTGTTCGTGTCAACCCATTAAGTTAACGGGTTAACACGACACGACCCGTTAAGTTAACGGGTGACAAATACTAGACCCAAACACGACCCGTTACAATTCGCGAATATCCGACACGACCCGTTAACCCGTTAAGAATAAAAAAAAAAAAAAAAAAAACTATCACAGCTTCTCTACCCGACACACCTTCTCTGTCTTTTTTCCCCCAAACCCCAACCCTAATTTTTCTTCCCTCTTTCCCTCTTTATTTCAGTCTTCTCACCCCAAAATAGTATATCTCTCTCACACATATATATTAAAAACTCAACAACTACATAAACTGAGGAAGAAAGAAAATTCAAAATTGACTGAGAGAACCAAAACCAACAACCTCCTTCTTGATCCGTGATGAATGGGCTGCCGGAGTCTATTGAGTGGAGAGAAGAAGAGCATAAGAGAATTTTGACCAAAAAAGAGCAAGGAAGCAGAGAAGCAAAGAAGAAGAGAAGAAGAGAAGAACGGGAGGAAGAAGAAAAGGAAAAGGGGAAAGAGGAAAAAGACAAAAAAGAAAGAAGAAACAGACACGGAAAGAAGGAAACTAAAGAGGAAAAGGGGAAGAAGAAAAGAAAAGAAAAAATATTTTGCAAAACTACCAAATTACCCTCCTTAACGGGTGGATGCGAATATTCGCGAATTGACCCAACCCAACCCGTTAGCTTAACGGGTAGCTAACGGGTTCACCCGTTTTCAACCCAACCCATTAAGCTCAACCCAAATACTGATAATTTCTTGCGAATTCGTGTCGTGTTAACGGGTCGTGTGCAATATTGCCAGGTCTATGTGCAGCAGCCCTTTAAAATAACTTCAAAATTCAAGAGTCCTCCAAGTTCCAACCAACAAGAAGAAAAAGGTCGCCCCATACTTTTAGCACGAGGATGCCATCATCGATATCATTCAATTATTCTTGCTCTATGTACGATTAAAACCTTATGGTGAAGCACACAACACAACTCAGAGATCTGAAGAAATGGTGATTCGGGATGAATTATTCTAGGGCTTTCATATGGGGATTTTTTTTAAATAGAGTATATTAGGATTTAATTAGGGGTGAATTATAATGTAAGTTTATTAATAAAAGTCATTCGTATCGTTGAATTTAGTATGTAAGTTTTGCACAACTCACTTTTGAATCTTGAAACCGTCACTGAACACAGAATTTCGAGTGTAGAAGTAACTGCTCTTAATCACTCTACAAGTTCCTTACTTTTAATAGCATATTTTAAAGGCTACATAACATAATATAGTCAAGTCAACCTCCAGTAAAAAATGTGAATCATGAGACCCTTCTTCATCAAACAGAGCCTTTGGAAGTCACTGGCAAATGGACAGAAAATTTTGTTGCAGAAGCCAATGAGCTATACAAATGGAAGGCTTCTTCAAAACTACATAAAGATCTACCAATGTAAAAGAGAAGAAAAAAAAAGTGTGCAAGCTTAACTGACATGCACCAAACTTGACAAAATAAGGTTGTTTGTGACATGGTCCAGCTTAAGTGTAATTGTATGTAACCACACCAAACGACATCGTTGGACACTGTCGTTTGATCCTCGTCTACCTTATAGATCTCACCATGTGTGGAAGCAAGCAAGATCTTTTAAGCAGCAAGAAAAAACTGCGAAAGTGAAGCTTCTTTTGCTCTGTACCAGAAGAATCATATTCAGAGTCTTTTTTTTCTTTTACTCTGTCCCCGAAACACAGGACACTCCACATTCAACCACATTCTGCTCATTAATACTTACCCTTCACTCCCTTAACCCAAAACACCATCTTCCGCATTTTGCCTTCCATTTTAAGCTCCCTTTATATTAAATCACCATGAAAGCCTGCATTTTCTGGAACCGTCTACAAAACCCATGTCTAAAGTTTCAATCTTTCATCTTCTTCTGCTCTGTCACTGCCCTCATTTGCTTCACTGAACCGAAACTCTGCTCCCCTCAAACCCAAACACTTGTTTTACCCCTCAAAACTCAACAAATTCCATCTGGGTCCCTCCCAAAGTCCCCAAACAGGCTTCCCTTTCATCACAATGTCACCCTCACAGTCTCTATCGCAGTGGGAACGCCTCCACAGAACGTTTCGATGGTCATCGACACTGGAAGCGAGCTCTCTTGGCTTCACTGCAACAAAACCCGAAACTTTAACACCACTTTCGACCCGACCCGGTCCTCCTCCTACTCGCCCGTCCCGTGTTCGTCGTCCACCTGTACGACCCGGACCCAAGACCTCACCATACCCGCTTCCTGCGACTCCAACAAGCTCTGCCACGCCATTCTTTCCTACGCTGACGCCTCGTCCAACGAAGGAAATCTCGCCTCCGATACGTTTTATATCGGAAGCTCCGGAATTTCGGGTTTGGTTTTCGGGTGCATGGACACAACCTTCAGCTCCAACACGGACGAGGACGCGAAGACCACCGGGTTAATGGGCATGAACCGCGGGTCTCTCTCGTTCGTTTCCCAAATGGGGTTTCCGAAATTTTCATACTGCATTTCGGGTTCCGATTTTTCGGGCCTGTTATTGCTTGGAGACTCTAACTTCTCTTGGATCGCGCCGTTAAATTACACCCCATTGGTTCAAATCTCGACCCCATTGCCGTACTTCGACCGGGTCGCTTACACTGTCCAGCTTGAAGGCATCAAAGTTTCGGACAAATTGCTTCCGATACCGAAATCGGTTTTCGTACCGGACCATTCCGGGGCGGGTCAAACCATGGTTGACTCGGGAACCCAGTTCACTTTCCTTCTCGGCCCGGTTTACACCGCTTTGAGAGACGAGTTCTTGAACCAGACCTCAAAGATTCTCAGCGTTTTGGATGATCCAAACTTTGTTTTCCAAGGTGCCATGGATTTGTGCTACTGGGTCCCTCCGGGTCAACCGAGAATGCCGCCATTGCCTTCTGTGAGCTTAATGTTTCGGGGGGCCGAAATGAAGGTATCGGGTGGCCAGTTGCTGTATCGAGTACCGGGTCAAGTGAGGGGAAATGATACGCTGCATTGCTTCACATTTGGGAACTCTGACCTTTTAGGCGTGGAGGCGTACGTGATTGGTCATCACCATCAGCAAAACGTGTGGATGGAATTTGATCTCCAAAACTCAAGGATCGGTTTGGCTCAGGTGCAGTGTGATTTGGCGGGTCAGAGATTCGGTCTCAGTGTATAGTTCCCCGCGCTTTGATGGTCTGGGTCCCACACATCAGAGCCTTTAATTGGACGGTTAGATTACTGTGTGTAGTACATGGTATTTACAGTGGTGTGGTCCTGTCGACAATATTATCGTCCTCTTTGGCCCACCGTCAGATGTGCGGACCATTTTGAATGGGCGAGGAGAGTAGATTAAATAGAGATCATAGATGTAGTAGGATAAGGATTGAGGTTTGGTTAGGGAAGCATGGCGTTTACATCGAGGTTGAGAATCGCTTATTAACTATTTTAAATATTGCTTGAGAATTGTTGTAGAGACTTATTTTTACCAATAATATTAATGTGTAATGGATGGTTAATTTTGTGAAAAACAATTTCGGATGCAAAAATGTAATATTTTATGAACCGTTTTTATATGTACGTGTGTGTTTTTTTGTTGCAATGTGTAACTGTATTTTATGTAAAAGTTATTACAATAAATATTTTTAAAAAGTACCCCCAAAAAGAATCAAATATTTGAAGAAACGTTATTGCTTGAGAGACCATATTGATAACAAGAATCAATTTGTGGTGTAAAGTTTGTCGCCATTTTAATGCGAAGTGAACGACCATCCAAGACAACAGTACTTGGTTTGCTTTGCCGGCCCTTTAACATCCTATGTTTTTCGACCAAGATTGGTCCATTACCATCTAACCTTTTTTAAGGGTGATGCTACCACTGTCGTCTTTCATGTAAAACATGCGTGATCGGTAAATTTTTTCATACGTGTGGGAGGAAGATTCAAGCTTATGATGACATCTTTCGATAGTAAGAAGAGATAATCCATTAAACCGAGTACTAGTTTGTGTGTGATTTGTTTATTTTAGGTGAGGAAAGCCTTTACAACTTGTAAAGGTTATTCACAAGGCCCATTTATTTATTTTTATTGCAAATTAGAGCCCATTACTTTGTTAGCATCTCATATAAGCATTACTTTGATAGTTTGGCACTCTGTTCATGTGTCCACAACATTTTCACATTGCTTTTTATTGATAGCATTCTCTACTTACTTTTTCCTGAAACATAAAACAAGCTGTTGAACAATATCACAGTAGAAACTTGGTAGAATATGTCAGTGTTCGACTACTAATAACACCGAAGTTTTATGATAAAACGTCATATGTGTTGGACTATGCATGTGATTAAGTTAGAAATTATTGGTGTTAGATCATTTAGTAGTTGGTCACCAATTATTTTGAAAAGAGCTCTCTATGACATGTTTCATTCTTTGTCCAAAAATAGCACCACCAATGAATCCTTAAATGAAAACAATAAACATTCTCAAACTGGGGCAGTGATTTGATCTGCCATGGATGCTTTTCAAATATTGGCTTGGTGGGAAATCAGATCAGATGTGGATTTTCTCCAAAGGACTAAAAGCATAACACAAATTTAAAATCCATTAGCATCAAAGTTGTTAGGGTTGTACAGTAGGATTAACAAACGACAGCTAACAAAGATGGTGTAAGACTTTCCTTCATTTTCCTTGATTAGCAAGTATCAAGGGTAGGAGGTTGAAGGCTACCAGGCAACCATGCCCATTAAACCCCTTTCTCAAATCAATCCCTTTTCTTGATTCAGAATAACGCTATTTTATCTTCCACCAAAGAAACGACACCAATTGCTTTCGTTGTAATTTGACATAAATACCCATGTAACCAGCAAGAAACTCTTCATCTCAGAATGTAATCTGCAAGGGGCATTCCAGGAACACCAAGTGATACCGTTAAGAGGAACAATTAATAAATATAATCTGTCTTGACCTGCACTCTAAAGTAAAACATGACCAGCAGCTTCTAGCTTAATTTCAAACATGTAATTTGTTGCTGAAGGCAGAGGTTTTCTGTAACTGCAATGGAATCTCACTCATCTCAATCAATCACCTAATTAACAAACCCTACTGCACAATGCTAGCTTCCTCACCATATAAAAAGCCACATTAATTTGATGTTTCTTCATCCATTGAACTCCAAGTCAGCTTTGATATAATATTTGCTTGAAAAAGGTTAAGCAAGTTAAGTGAGTGAGATCAGAGAGATGGGTTCTAGCCTCCTTCCATCACCAGCCTTTTCCATGGCTATCTTCTTTGCAGTTTGTGCGTTTTTATGTGTGTTTCCTGAGCCAGCACTTGCAAAGCATGCAAGGGTTACCAGGCACTACAAGTTCAATGTATGTATTGCATTTCATGCACAGTGTTTAATGTGAAATTGAAACAGATTGGTTAATTAAGGGATTGACCTTTGTCTGGTTTTTTTTTATTGCTTTGCACAGATCAAGTCACAGAATGTGAAAAGGCTTTGTCAAACAAAGAGCATTGTGACTGTCAACAGGCAGTTTCCGGGGCCTCGGATCATAGCTAGGGAAGGTGACAGGCTTGTGATCAAGGTGGTCAATCATGTTCAGCACAACCTCACCCTCCATTGGTACCCAATTCTTGTCTTGTGATTTAGCTTTGGTTTTTTGCATGATTTTTTCAAAGTTTGAATTGAACATCAATGCTGACTAAAATTTGGAGAATTTACAGGCATGGGGTCAGGCAATTGAGAAGTGGATGGGCAGATGGTCCTGCATATATCACTCAGTGCCCAATTCAGACAGGCCAGAGTTATGTCTACAACTTCACCATTACTGGCCAAAGAGGCACCTTGTGGTGGCATGCACACATCTCCTGGCTTAGGGCAACTGTCTATGGACCTATTGTCATTCTCCCTAGAAGACATGTCCCTTACCCCTTCCCCCAACCCTTCCAAGAAGTTCCCATCATTTTTGGTAAATGATCAAGATCATAATCTTTGCTACAAAATCCAAACAATTAAGACATTAATTATAGCATTAAGCATGAAACTTATATTGATTTGCAGGAGAATGGTGGAAAGCAGACACAGAAGCAGTCATCAGCCAAGCCTTGCAAACAGGGTCGGGACCAAATGTCTCTGATGCTTACATCATCAATGGTCTTCCTGGGCCTTCGTATAACTGCTCAGCCAAAGGTATTTACTAATTAATATCACCTAATTCAAAATTAGAGATTTTCTTTTGGATTATAAGATAAACAATCTGCAATATTTTAAGCAGATACATACAAGCTCAAGGTGAAGCCAGGGAGGACCTATCTGCTGCGGTTGATCAACGCTGCACTCGATAGTGAGCTCTTCTTCAGCATTGCCAATCACACAGTCACTGTGGTTGAAGCTGATGCAGTCTATATAAAGCCTTTTAAAACCCAGACTGTTCTCATCACACCAGGACAGACTACAAATGTTCTTCTGAGGACCAAATTTAAGTCCCCAAAGGCCACCTTTGTCATGGCAGCTAGGCCTTATGCCACCGGCCCGGCGGCTTTCGACAACTCAACAACCACAGGCCTACTAGAATATGAAACATCTTCTGTCAAAGCCAACAAGAACAAGAAGAAGAAAAAGCTCCCTCTTCTCAAACCAGTGCTTCCAAAGCTCAATGACACATTGTTTTCCATGAACTACAACAAGAAAATCCGTAGCTTGGCCAATGCCAAATTCCCAGCAAATGTCCCAAAAGCTGTGAACAAGAACTTCTTCTTCACTGTTGGCCTGGGAGTAAGCACATGCTCGAAGAACCAAACATGCCAAGGCCCAAACAACACTAGAGTAGTAGCAGCCATCAACAATGTGACATTTGTGCAACCAAATACAGCTCTTCTCCAAGCCCACTTCTTCAACCAATCAAAGGGTGTGTACACCACAGATTTCCCAACCAACCCACCATTCAAATTCAATTACACAGGCACTCCACCAAGCAATATTGCTGTGAGCAGTGGCACTAAGGTGGTGGTGCTGCCTTTCAATACTAGTGTGGAGTTGGTTCTGCAAGACACTAGCATCATTGGGGCAGAGAGCCACCCACTTCACCTCCATGGCTTTAATTTCTTTGTGGTGGGCTTCGGTTCTGGAAACTTTGATCCCAAGAATGACCCAAAAAAGTACAACCTTGTTGACCCTGCTGAGAGGAACACCGTTGGCGTGCCCTCTGGTGGGTGGGTTGCTATACGCTTCCTTGCTGATAATCCAGGTAACTTCAACTCACGTGTTATGTTGTTAGACTGTGAATCTAAACATACATTTAATAATACAAATATTCACAGTCGTCTAAGAAACATCATTAAGTTGGTCACCTGATTGATAAAAAGTTGAATATTTGCTGTTAAAAGTCTTATTCTCATTACCTCTTTTTTCGGTGTCAATTATGGTTATGCAATCTGATTTCTTCTCTTGGTGATGCAATAGGTGTTTGGTTCATGCATTGCCATCTAGAAGTGCACACCAGCTGGGGCTTGAAGATGGCATGGGTCGTTTTGGATGGAAAGAGACGCAATCAAAAGCTGCTTCCTCCACCATCCGATCTTCCCAAATGTTAATTTCATGGTCATAGATTTGTTTTGTTTTGCTTTCATTCTTTTTGCCCTGTTGCTCCCCTTAAAAAGGGTCATAAGGCATTTAGGTTATGTTAGTGTGATGATTCAGGAATGTTCCAACTAAAGTTTCCTTCCCTGTGAAAGAATTGGGTTAGGGTTTTGACTTGTAATGCCATTCAATTATTGAATTGAAATGCAATAGAAAATCTTTTTTCTTTTAAGTAATATTGTCCTCTTCTAATTTTGCTCTCTCTGGAATGCTGTTGTGCTCAAGTTCATAACTCATACCATTACATGCAAGCCTGCTTCTTTGAATGTCAAACATCTCCTGCAAATATTTGTGCAATTGGCATATCTTTGTTTGATGGATTGTCGTTCTGAGTTTTTGAACAAACGATACTAGAGATGGTGTAACCGAATTCAAAACCTTGGATGTAACCATGTGATTGAGACTAGCTACCCAATTTGGGGTTTGGTATTGGTAATGGGTTTGTTAGTGTTGTCCCCTTGGAATTTGTTTCTTTAATTCATTCACCCAAAATAAAAACAAAAGAAAACCAAAAAGGACCATAATAAATAAATCATTAATTACCTATAATATTGTTTATTATAAAGGGTAATTTCGTAAACCAGAAACAACCGGCTCCTTCTTAGATTTACAAACCCGTCACCGGGTCACCAACCTCCAAAAACTCGCATTTTGCCAGCTGAAAACGACACACCCCCCTCCCGGGAGACGCCGTCGTTTTGACGCCGGTGCCTCCGTCACGCCCTCAAACCCCAGAGAACATTCCAGACACAATGACGCGTAGCCTCAGCTTCTCTCTACCCGTAACCGTCGTCGTTTTAGCCATCGCCTACATTTACTTCTCCACAGTCTTCATATTCATAGACCGTTGGTTCGGTCTCATGTCGTCGCCGGGCTTATTGAACGCCACCGTTTTCACCGGCGTGGCCCTCATGTGCGTCTTCAACTACACCATCTCCGTCTTCAGGGATCCGGGTCGGGTCCCCTCCACGTACATGCCCGACGTCGAAGATTCGGGTAACCCTATCCACGAGATCAAGCGCAAGGTATCAAATTCATGCTGTTTCTCTCTTAACGTTGTCTCGTGTTTATGGGGAACTAATTTATTTTTTCATTTCTATACGATTGGATTGTTTTTTATTTTTTGTCACGGCAATTTTCTGTATATGTTTCAAAATTGTGGCTGGAATTTTTAATTAATATGGTTATAATGTGTTTTGGTGAATTGGGGTGTTTTATTTCTACAGCGAATGCATAAAAGCAGGGTGCTTTAGTTTGGATTGACTTGTTAGATATGTTATATGAGTTTATGGGATGCTGTTCTTTGGTGATTACTTTAGCTGAGCTAATTTGGAATCGAGGGGAATCAGCAAAATAACATTTTTGCGTTTGTGTTAGTAGGCAATTCGCATAAGTGATTGAGACACTTTGGATCCTGGTTTAGTAAAATTTTATAGCCATTGCTTACGTATATATATATATACACATATACATACAGTTGAAAAATCACAACAATTATGATGGAATTAAAAGGAAAGATGTAATTTTGATAGACAATGAGTGAAACGTTTTTTCCGAGACAGTAAAAACATTTGAACTTTTAAACTTGTAATGAAGCCTAATGTTGCCAAGGAACTTGTAGATGAGGAGCAAGTAGATAACTTGGGATGCATGCTCCACTCTAAAAGTCAACCTTTGTTCTCTAGGGTGGAATGCGTGAATTTTGCATTTCAGACCTTTGGAAGTCAGATAGTGTCAAGATTCCAGTACATCCATCTCATGGTTTCAATGTTCATTACAAATATAATTAAGTGTCATTAACTATATTTCCTTTCTATATATCTGTGAAAGTTTTGTTTTTAATAATTGCTAAGCCATGATGGACATGTGGTTCCAAATTCCAATACTTGTTATTTTTGCGGTCTTTGGATGCCATTGTCTTACATCGGCTTCTATTTTCAAAAGGAAAGTTCAGAAACATGATTACTGTTGTTTGTCGGGATCTTTAATCTCCTATACAAGTCTTGAAATGTTAAACAGGAACCAAAACCAATTCAATATGGTTGGCTTACCCTTGAACCCCCCTGTCATTCCTCTTGGCTTATCCATGTTCCAGTTTCCCTAACAACTGAACAATGTTCTCACTTAAATTGAATGGGGCCAACTCATGTGTGTGTCGGTATGCTCGAATGCTGATGTCACGGGGTATAATCTTTGTACATATGCACAGAAATCAATGGCAAATCTATTTCGGGACTTTATCTTCAAATATTCACTTCTATTTTTAAACCTCTCAGATTTTGTCATTCAGACTTAGCTGCACCACCTAATCAATCAGTTTTTGCATAAAATGCCAACTTTTCTTTGCTCATATGTCTGCCAGTATGCTCCAGCGCTGATATTCACAGGGTACATTAATTGAAAATATATATTTGGAAAACTAGCTAACTCTATCCTCCAACGTTCACTTCTAATTTTTAGCCTCACATTTTGTCATTCAGAATTTGTTGCATCTAATCACTTGTTACGTAAATTGCCAACTTTTCTTTTGGTGGCAATAGCATTAGTGGACATCTGGAGGTTTGTGTGATCCCTCAGTTGAGTGAACGAAAGCATCAAAACTTAAATGTTATTTTGTTCTTGATAGTATACTGTTCTCAAGCTAGATTTCTGTTATGTTGCCACATGTACTTGAGCTCTTGTGGGAACGGATGGGATGGTTTGAGCTGGAGATAGACCCCCTGGGTTAATACTTTTGTTTTGAAAAAGATTATACCTCCTTATCTTGTATTAAGAATTTACTGTTCTTGTATCCGTTCTTTTAGATTTTTAAATTATGTTCTGTAGCATGTGGAAAGAGACTGATAATGTTTGTAGCTCATATCACCTTCTTTTTATTTCTTTCAATAAAGGTTTCATGTGAGGTGTTTATCCATCATAATTAGTGTTGTTATTTAAATAAAAAAAATTACTGGAGATTGGAATAATTCCTAGGAACATGTAATATTTACTTGCAGCATATTATAGAGAAGTGTGAGCCTTTGCTTCAATGTTATTATTACTTTTGTTGTTTTATTTTAAAAAAAATGTAGTTTGGAACAATTCTTAGGAACATATAATCTTTATTTGCAGCAAGATAGATTGTAGAAAACTGTGAGTCTCTGCGTCCTAGATGACTGTTGGGTGGAATGGTTTTGCAGGGAGGGGATTTAAGATATTGCCAAAAGTGTTCTCATTATAAGCCAGCTCGAGCACATCATTGTCGTGTGTGCAAAAGATGTGTTTTGCGAATGGTATGTTTTATCTATGTTAACCTTTGATGCCTTCTATGTCCTGGATAATGTGCTAAAGTGCTGCCTCTTGGTTGTAAAGGACCATCATTGCATATGGATTAATAATTGCGTCGGCCATGCAAACTATAAGGTCTTCTTCATCTTCGTTGTGTATGCGGTAATGGCATGCGTCTATTCCCTGGTAAGTTATTATTTTATTAAATCCTATTGGACTTTGACTTTTCTTTTTTTTTCCTTCTGACTATGCTGTAATTGCATGCATTGACTGGCGTGGATGTTCTTTTCCATTATTACATGGGGAACTATGCCATTTTCCTTTTGAGTACCATATGTTATTTTTGGAGCGCTAGAAGGCAATCCATTTGAGTGAAAAGATGGTGAATGTTTAAGACATAATTTTCTTTCCTTTGTTTTATTTGTTTCATTATTTTCAATTCTGGATTGACGCTTAAAATTTTCAGGTCTTACTCATTGGTAGCCTAACTTATGATCCTGAAAAAGATGAGGAACAAACTGGAGACTCTTTTAGAACTGCATATGTAAGCTTATGTGCTGGGTTTGTATTTGAGCCTTGCATGCTAGACAGTATGCTTAACCTTTCTTCTTCTTTTTTAATTTTCAGGTCATTTCTGGGCTGTTGCTAGTTCCATTGTGTGTGGCACTGAGTGTTCTTTTAGGTTGGCATATCTACCTCATTTTGCAAAACAAGACCACAATTGAGGTTATTAGGAATTAACAAATTGTATATCATTGTTCTGCTCTTTGGTGGCAAACCTGATTTTGATAACTGGACTGCTATTTCATAGCCATTTCTTTTTCCTTCTTTCTGGCAGTACCATGAAGGAGTGAGAGCTATGTGGCTTGCAGAGAAAGGAGGGCAAATCTATTCCCATCCATACGATCTTGGTGCCTATGAAAATTTGACAGTGGTATTTTTCCTTTCTGTTCTCCTTTCGTTCGTGAAAAATATATGTACCCTCTTAAAGGCTTTGGGGCACTTAGAGAGGGCTACCTTCCAGTCCAAACTCGTTTACATTCATTTGTATATTTCTTGTTTCGCTTTGGTTGGAATGTATATATTATGGTATTATTTGTTATTTTTTACGCTATTTTACACATCCATTACGTTCAAGCAATGTTTGACTGCTGTAGGTACTTGGTCCAAATCCCTGCAGTTGGGCACTCCCTGCATCGGGACATATTGGATCTGGACTCCGCTTCCGTACAGCCTATGATTATGCTTCTGCTGCATCAATGTCAGAATGAAGCTTTCTTGATTCATCATCTTGGTTTGCATTGGTGAGAACAAGACTTACAAATGTGACGGGTTGGATGGTCCGATCTGATGATGATGTCCAGCAGTCCTTTTCCATTGTCCTCCTAGGAGTCGCTCCAAAAGAAGAAAGAGGCCTTTCCTTTGTCTCCTACTAATGGAATTATGGTCTAGGAGTTCCTGAAACTGTTCGCTTCTGTTACACGATTTTGAGAAGCAGTTGAGTATAGGATCCTTGTCAATAGCCAAAACTAATCAGTGTTTGAGTAGCTAGATGCCAGCATATGTGGATTACTTTTTTTCCTTGTCTTGGGGTAGTTACTTTGAACTATAGTTTACAGTTTTACTTACAGCATGGTCTCTCAGCTGATAGGTTTTGTACAGAGAGGGAATCAGCATCCCAGCTTACCAACCAAGGCACCTTTTGTAGAGGACACAGCGCGGGGTGCCTGTGTAACTTGGAAGAGTTGTAATCCTTTTGTAACGTGAAAATAATAAGAGAAATGGTGCTTTACTTTTTGTTTTTGCTGAAAAGTGCTGTTATTTTTACCCATGTCATATTTTCCCACCCCAATTATTTCTGAATAAATACTCTTCCCACCCTAAGTCTATCAACACCCCATTCTTCTTCCTTCATTTTTTTTTCCGTAAACCCTGTCTCCTTTATTTTACCAAAATCTTACCCATATTACGTAGGTAGGTTAGTCTGTGCCTGTTTTTTGCACCAGACTTCGATCCTCCTCCTGTTTTTTACCCATATTAAAAGCACCTCATTAGTTGTTTTCCCTTATAGTTTTTTCTCACAACAATTTTTAACAATAATTGATTTTCTCATAGTTTACTAAACAGACTGGGCTTTCCAAATATTTTTAAAAAAAATCACTTATCACCCCAAATAAGTAATGTCAAACATGCACTAATTTCTGGAGAATTAACTCATTAGGAGTTCATATTTTGTACCCATTATATCCTTACTCAATTTTTAAAATTCCAAATTTACCATATACTTTAATCTAACTTCCCCTCAATTCAATATATCTTCAATTCAATTTCTTTTAATCTAATTATGGATTAGTAAACATATTATTAATATGATAATGTGCATAAATGATGGGGTGCTGGTAAAAGTGGAAGTGGGGCTTTAAAAAGCAAGGGAATTCGCGCCAAACCACGTGGAGTCAAAATGGCTCTATCCGACTCAAGCATTACCCACGGGAGAAGTCCATGCAAACGTTAAAACGCGCCAAAACCAAGGGGCGGACCATAAGTAGATTTGCGGTAAAAAAATATATCGTGCAATGCACGCTCCACTTTGGAAGCGTAGATAAAGTTTCCACTTAAAAACTAAAGAGAGATGAGAGAGAGAGAGAGAGGGAGGAGGATATCTATATTTCTCCCGTGATTTGTTCGTATACACTACCAACTGAGCAAACATTTTGTATTATTTTTTAGTTCTCTCTGGAACTCTCCGAGTTTGTCTCTCTGGTTCCAGATGGAGACCTACGAGGAAAACCCATCTCAAATCGACAGGTTTTGATTTCTGGGTTTCTATTTTCTGCTGAATTTAATGCCTTTTTACTCATTTTAAAGATCATTTCTTTGTTTGTTAACTGTTAATTGTTACTGTTATCTGATTTGATGAAGTAGCTGGATTTGATCCCATAGCGTTTAAATGAGTTGTTTTGTTGAGTTTCAGCTGCAAAGTAGCTAAATTTGGAGTTGTTATTATCATCTAGGATAGAATTTAATGCAAAATGTTTCTTTCCCGAAATATAAGTAGTTAGTTATTTGGATTTTAAAAGGGGCAATTTTGAGATAGAGAGAAATTGGATCTCCTACTGTCCCATCCTTGGCCTCACTTGGTCACTGATCCAAACACAAATTTGATTTTTTTTTTTTCAATCATAAGCGGTCTTTACTCATTGCTAGTGTGGAAATTGTCATCAGACAGTATAATTTTACTTGATTGCTTGCTTGCTGGGTGGTGTTTGGATTGGATGACCATAGAGTTTGAAGCTTGATGCATATTTTATGCCCTGATTTCTTCTGAAAAGGACATGAATTGAGTTTACTTCTGATTGCTTTTATGCTTTTCAGTTCTGTGACTATAATTATCTTGGGGTTTTTTTTGGGGTTAAAAAGCTAGGAAACCTGAAAAATTTTACAGTTCTTGTTTGCCTAAGTCATTGGTAATTGCAGGTTTTTCTCATCCTTGTTGTGCTATTTCTATCTTAAACAGCTCACATGTCATGAGTGTTCTGAAGAGGATCAAGAAAAGAAAATTCCAGGCCGAGCAATTGGGCTTGCCAATACCAAAGCATAAATGCTGGGAACGAATTTTTCCTTCTGATGAACCTGTCTCCATGTTTGATCAAAATCCGGAAGTAAAGAACATGCAGACATGTGCAACAAAGGGAAAAGTAGAGGGAGTGATCCTGGATGGTGGGTCTGAATCTGAATCAGGAAAAGGTAGCAACAGTTTTGCTGGAGATTCTGATTCTGCAACATCGGTTTATGTTGAAGCTAAACTAGAACCGGTGTATGCAAGGGCATGCCTAAATGACAGGCCTTCCACTTCATATGCGAATGAAGTGCATCAGCCTACATATCCTGATGGTGAGATACAAGCATTTGAGAATTATGACGAGCACCTCCAAGAATTTGGAAACCAGGTGGATTACATTTTCTCAGAATATGGAGATGACTGCATTGAGCAGTGTAAAGACAACGAATTTGAAGATGTTATATACCCCATTGGTTCGAACCCAAATAAATACATACTTTCATCTGGAAGATGGAGTGTGAATCAAGATAATTCAGGTGTCCTATTCAAAGTTTCTATGTGACGAGTTGAGAATAAATGATTGTTGCTATGTGTCTTTACATGTGGTACCTTTGTTTTATCATTTACTGAGTGGCATAACATTTTCATTGTTGTGTATGCAGACGTTCAATCAGCTAGCAACAGGAAGCCAACCATTGATCAAGAATTCGAGCAGTATTTTTCCACGCTAATGCTGTAGAACTAATTGCTTGGATGTGAGCAGCAAATGTATAGTTTTTCTTTATCTTTTGTATGTGAATCATGTAACCAGTTCATATTTTGACCAGCATTTTGTTATATATTATGTTTAATCTGAAATGGGTTTTGCAAAGCCTCTCCTTTTCTCATTTTAGCTTCCTTGCATCTTAAATTCACATCATATTTGTCTTCTTCTTTTGGTGTGGGAGCAAATTGATGCTTCTGTGAAGAAAGATATTTGGGAGCAAACCATTTTCTGGTGGCTGATGTTACTACTTACTAGCAAGCAATGTTACTTGTACTAAATGACCTTTAAATGAAATAAATTCGACAGGACCTTCTTTAATCAATTTTGTTATTCAAATTATACCATCATGAGCCTGCCAAATTCCAAGCCTAGCCAATTTTTTATTTATTTATCAACCATGCCTATGCCAGTCAACTCGTACGTTTCTGCAAAATTATGCGGACTTTGTTTTCAATCAAAAGTAGAACTTCATTAACCTTTAAAATAAAGTAACAACCATTGAGTGCAAATAAAAAAACTTAAGTACAATAGAGTGACCTCATTAAAACCTTACCATAAAACAACCTCAAAGAAGAATTAAACCTCGTCATAAAACAACCTCATAGAGTGACCTCATTAAAACCTTACCATAAAACAACCTCAAAGAAGAATTAAACCTCGTCATAAAACAACCTCATAGAGTGACCTCATTAAAACCTTACCATAAAACAACCTCAAAGAAGAATTAAACCTTGCCATAAAACAACCTCAAAGAAGAAAAAATTCGTTTTAGAAAAAAGAGTACCACGGCATCTTCGACAAGAACAAAACAAACACAAGCTAAACCCAATTCCCTATTTTTATCAGAAATATGCAGACTTAAATAATAAAAATATTAAATTAAATTGTGGGTTCGATTGTTTCCATTAGGTGGGGTTTGGAGTCTATCCAGCATTATGAGTCAAAAATTAAAGTTAGCATGGAACGACACTCAGCAGAACAGAACCCATCCTTTATCAAAAAAATACAAACAAGAAAAAAAATGTCATTAAATATTGACTATTACACCATGAGATATATTAACAGAGAAAGAGAAAATCCGCGGATATTATTTTGATGACTCGATCATGGATGTAGCAAAAGAATATGATCATTAATCATCATACGTAGTTATAAGTTAAAAGCATTAAAAGAGGAAAATTCAATACAAGATCACTCAACATGAGGGAAAAAAAGAAGAAGAGGGAAATCCGGACACATGGTCAGTCAAACTCAACACTTTGGAAGATCGGACGGCGGTGGTGGTAACTTCTGATTCGGTTGAGGCCCATCCTGAACGATCCACGCCATCCTTAGCCCCCAGCTTGTGTGAACGTCCAAGTGACAGTGCATAAACCACACCCCTGAAAACATATCAACAAAAGCAAATCGTTAATGATAATGTCAAATTTTTTTTGTTTATTAAACAAAATGTTTAGCAGTTTTGATTAATAGTTCACTCATTTTGTTACTATTTTAATATAATTCATCTCGCACAGTTTGCTATGTTATGTTGTTAAACTGTCGATTATGTTATACCTGGATTGTCTGCGAAGAAACGAATCGCAATCCAACCGCCAGCTGGAACACCAGCAGTGTTCCTCTCAGCAGGATCCACCAGATTAAAATTAGCAGGGTCCTTAGTTGGATCATAGTTACCAAACCCACGTCCAACAATAAAGAAATTATACCCATGTAGATGGAGAGGGTGGCTCTCAGCACCCAGAATGCTAGTGCCCTGAAGCACCAGCTCCACACTTGTGTTGAAAGGCAACACCACAGCCCTTGTGGCATTGCTCACATTAGTGATATTTGGTGGTGTTCCTGTATAATTAAATGCCACAAGTGGCTTGGTGGGAAAATCTGTGGTGTAAACTCCACTGGACTGTCCAGAAAAATGTGCTTGAAGCATTGCTGTTGATGGCAGAGCAAAAGAGAAATTGTTGACTGAGGCTGCAAATTTCAGGCCATTGGGTCCTTGGCATGTTGAGTTTTGGGGACATGGGGATGTTCCAAGTCCTAAAGTGAAGAAAAATCTTCTGTCCACAGTTTGCGGGACGTTGGCTGGGAATTGCTTAGTGGCCAAGCTACGGAATTTTTTGGCTAAGTTATCGACAAATTGGGTAACGTTGACAAACTTGGTGGCATTGATGGGTGGAAGACTTGGTCTGAAGAGGGGAAGGGCTTTGATGGAAGTGTGATGAGTGGTGTTTGGGTGCTTGTATTCGAGGATTCCAGCGGTGGTGGTGTTGTCTAGGGTGCCTCCACCGGTGAAGTAAGGCCGTGCGAGGATGAGGAAGGTGGCATTGGGAGAAGTGGGCTTGGTTTTGAGGAGGATGTTTGTGGTTTGGCCTGGGGCGATGAGAAGTATGTCGGTTTCAAAAGGTTTGGTGTAGACAGCATCAGCTTCAACCACTGTTAGAGAGTGGTTGGCTATGCTGAAGAATAGCTCATCGTTGAGTGCAGCATTGATTAATCTGAGGAGGTATGTCTTCCCTGGTTTCACCTTTAGCTTGAATACATCTGCAAACACCACCCGCTCAAATAAAAACCTGTCTTATTTTTTCATGTTATGTTGTTAGATTATTAATCACAATCGACATAACAATATGTCTAATACACTTTTTACCTCTAGATGAACAGTTGTACAAGGGGCCGGGAAGACCATTAATGGTGTATGCATCTGAAACATTAGGCCCCGCTCCTGTCTGAAGAGCCTGGCTAATCACAGCCTCAGGGTCTACACTAAACCACTCTCCTGTACACCCAAATCCATGTAAAGAGTGAAAACAATTTCCACGACATTATTGTCAAAATTTTCAAATGGTCCAATGCCTAAACTCTAGCCAGCTGCTACATGATTACCAAGAATAATGGGGACCTCCTTGTAGGGTTTCACAAAAGGGTAAGACTCATTGCGCTTCGGGAGAATGATGATCGGTCCGTGAAGGGTTGATCTCAGCCATGAGATGTGAGCATGCCATAACAGAGTTCCTCTCTGGCCTGTGATGGTGAAGTTGTATGTGTATGCCTGACCTGTCTGTATAGGACATTGTGTAACGTAAGCTGGACCATCTGCCCATCCAGTTTGAAGTTGCCTAATCCCATGCCTGCTCTCTCCCACAAAACAAACACAAATTTGAATTAGCAAATTTTTCTTTCTAACTATGCACATTTGCTAATTATGTAAATATATTCATATATACCAGTGAATTGTGACATTGTTGGGAACATGGTTGACTACTTTGACGAGGACTTGGTCACCTTCCCTTGCCACCAATCTGGGCCCTGGGAACTTTCCATTCACACTTAGAATGCTCCTTGTGTTGCACAATCTTGTCACATTGTGGTACTTAATCTATACAGCAAGGTTACAAATTTGAGAAACTTATAAAAGAATTATAATTCATGTATAGCAAAGTCAAATTGTTGAGGCTCAAGGTGATGGAAAAGAATGTACATTGAAAGTGTAGTGCCTTGTTTTGCCTGCAGCAAACTCCGGCATCCACGACGCTGCAATGAAAAAACTAAACAGCAAAGCTGCCATTGAAGTGAAACAAGGAAACTGAGGAGAACCCATTGCTCTCTCTCTCTTTCTGGTGTGATAATGTGTAGAGAGTCAAGGTGGCTTGACGTTAATATAGGGAGTAGGAAAAAGTTGGCAAGAAAATTATATAATTGTTTTAAGTTAGAAGCGGGAGCTTTCATGAAGCTATTCACTGAATTACCATTGAGATGGAATCTACTTGTGTGCTCCGCTTTGCTGTTGGTCGAGCTGAATTTTAGAGTGCTGATTAAGTAATACTTACCTGTTCCATCTACACTAATTTTGATTACCACAATGACCTTTTGCTCATTGGGGGAAATTTAATCGCAAAAATCCAAGTTAAAGATAAAATTGTCCTGATTTGTAGTTAAACAGTCAATTAATTCATGTTGTACTAGCTTTAGCGTAGAAATGGTGCTGGCAATTAGTGCTCTAGATGTCACATTAGGAAGCGGGCATCTTTCTTTTATCCTTTGGTTCTCAAATCCAAACAACCCAACAAAAACGATGCTCTTGTTCCTTAGATTGTTTTCAACTTATGCTCGAAAACGCTCTTAATAATCTAACATGTTATGTTGTCGGACGTTTAAAACAGAACCTACATAATATCATCAACGATTCATATTAACACTCACATAAGTAAAATGGGAGACTGGGTGGTTGTAGAAAATTAAGTAAGTATTCCTTGTTTACGCATGCTGAAGCTCAGGGCTGATTACGCATGCTGAAGCTCAGGGCTGAAGCTTATCAAGGCAGTTTCTAGTTCCCTTTATTTGCAATCTTCATTTGGGCCTCCCCAACTGTTCTGTCTTGGGAACTAAGGAATAATAAAAAAATAAACAGGTCCACGTCCACAAAATTCACTCCAAATCATCCACATCCACATACATTTCTTCTGAAAAACATCCGTTAATTAATTTTATATTCCAGCTGCATGTCCTAATTTCAGAAGTCGTTCGATGAAAGCGATGGCCCATCTGATCTACACCACGTGTGGGAATAACAAAAATCTATTTTCATATTTGTGCTTTCTTGAAATTGGAATTTGCATGCGGTCGACACCCAGCACAAGCTTCTTTGATTGATGATTTTGTAACAATCTGTTTGGTCAAATTCAAAACAAGATCAAATGCAGCAATTGCTTGGGAAGGAAGTGCATCGAACTCATTGCCCATAACAGTAAGACCATTATTAATTCTCCCAACATTGTTGACTGTCACATAATTTCCAATTCGGTTGGTTCGGTTGGTTACGCGGTATAAATTCCAGCCTAGTCCCACACAAGTCAAATTGAGCTGGATTTTGCTTCATCTTCATCACTCATGATAGAGGCCTGCCGTTCTCCCTCCACACCCACTCCGATATCATCACCCAATTAATATACGAAAATGGAAGAAAATTAAAACGAAATTACAAAGAAATAATAATAATATGCACAAAGAAAAACCAACAAATAAAATCTCCGTGTAGAAAAAGAAAAAAAAAAGTTTTGAACTTTTCAGGCACAGGCTTGAGTTCGAGGAGGCAGAGCAAACAGAGCATCGAGATCAGGGGGCTGGAAGTAACCATTCTTCGGCGGGTCCCGCTGCGTTTCCCCAACCGCCTTCTTCTTCGGAGGCGGCGGACACAGAAGCATCTCCGGTATCTGGCACTCCCGCCGCTTCGGCGTCGCACAATCCTCGTCCATTCTCAGCCGTCCGATCAACACAAGAGCTCCGTCACTCGGTCGGTCACAAAACTCTCACAGTAGCAGAGGAGCGCGCGCTTTATATAAACGTTTTTCGAATTTGAAAACGAAAATTGGGAATATGCGATCGTGAGGTTGGGGTGTGAGACAGCTAAGCGATGAGTGGGAGCGGAACGACGTGTCAGATTCTTAATGGAGGTTTATATCCACGTGTCTTTCTACATGGTGTCATCCAGTGGTGTTTGTATTTTTGTAAAATTTTTTATTGTCGGCGCCAACTTTGAGTCGGTGCTTTGCGCGGGAAATTAAACACGTTTGAATGTTGGGCCATTTTTTGAAGTGTGTGTGCGGTCCAGATTGAATTTTAAGGGAAGGCCGTGGCATGTACGGCGGATGGGCCCTGTCACGCTTAAAACGTGTCGCTGTCTTTCAGTCTCTGGGCCCACCTTTTGATTAAAATAAATTAAATGATAAGAAGATGGGCGTGGAGGCTTGGAGTTGGTTAACTGATACCATCATTTGACTAAAAGGCCCAATGAGAGGATAAAATTGGTTATACTTTGGAAGGCCCAAAACCCTACACCTGAACTCACCCATAATGCTCTCTGTTGAAATCACATGTTGAATTGGTCATCCTTTCCTTCCCCATAAGCACCACATGAGCATTCAGATTAGAACTATGCATCATGTTATCAAGATTGATAGTTTTTTCTTTTACTTTTTTTCAACTATACTATATATTTCTCCATTTTGTTAGGAAAACAAATCTCAAGTTCGCACCGTCATAGTCCTCGTAACAACGTCATCATTGAGAAATTTTAAAAAAATTTCCAAATTTTGGACATTTTAGGTCATCTTCCGTCATAAGGCTATATGTAATTCAAGACTATAATTTTAGCCCTTCAAAATATTAATTTTTAAAAAAATAGTGTAGAGCTAAAAAATTTCATCTCCAGCCATATAGGGCTATATTTTAGGATCCTCCATATTTTATTATTTTGAAAAGAAAAAAACTATTGTACAACACTCATACATTCCACTACTATTTAAACAATGACAATTTTGAAAAAAAAATGTTGCATTTCAAAAGGTTATGACATCCCAACAGTCAGAACCAATTGTTTATAATTTTTTATATTATAATAATAACATACATGTATATATGTAATATATAATGTATATGAGTATATACGTGTGTATGTGTATATTATAATACATACATGGGTATAATATATATATACACATATATGTATATATACGTATATACATATTGTAATATATAATAATATATATATGTATATTATAATATACATATATACATGTATATTATTGTTATTATAACATACCCATATATATTATAATATACATACATATATACACATATATAATATATATGTATTTATACATATATACATATATATAGATATTTGAAAAAAAAAAAAAAAAAAAAAAAAAAAATCTAATACAATCATACACCAAACGTAAGATCAGTGTTATACAACTTAGACCAAGCCAAGACAGTTCTTAAACATAGTCCATGCTAAGACAGTCATGTGTAACAAATGAACCCTAAGGGGCTAAATATGGCCCTCAAAATTTGGCCAAATTGTCGTTTAGCCCATGACTGGAGATGAGTTTTGCATATTTTGAGGGCTACATATGGTCTATGGCCCATGGTTAGAGATGACCTAAAATATTTTAACCTTATTTTTATTTTTTGAATTTTATTAACTAAAAGGAGATTCGAGCACTGCTCGAGAGGTCTGAGGGGGTACGAGCATTATTGAAGGTGTATCAAGAGAAAATTTGGCATGGGCTACACGTGGCCAGGAGGGCTAAAGGCTAAATTTGGGCCTCAAATTTTGGATAAATTTTTTTTTAATCCATGATTGAAGATGAGTTTTGCATATTTTGAGAGCTACATATGACTTATGACCCATAATTAGAGATGACCTAAAAAGCTTTTAACCCATTTTTTCAATTTTTAGAATTTCATTAACTAAAGGGAGATTCGAGCACTGCTCAAGAGATCTTAAGGGGGTTTGAGCATTACTGAAGGTGTTTCAAGAGATCTCAAGCATTGCTCAAGAAGGCCTCGAATGATATTCTCACAAATTTTCCGAATCATATCCTCACAAAAGCATAGACCCAACATCATCAAGGGAGAAGAGAAAATGACACTAAATGTATCCAAACAAAACCCAAACTCGTTATCTCATCAACCTTATGCATTATGAAGGGCAAATGTACCAACGGTTACACATCGCGCAATCTCACAAGTGAGAGGAGCGTACCTCTAGATCACATAGATACAAAAACAAGGGTGGTGTTTTTCCAAGGTAGAAGAGCTGTTTTTGACTACTAGGGGAAGATGCATCTGCCGCGCGCCCTTGCATTTCGAAGGACGATCGACTAGACATGTGCCCTTAAGCAGACAGAGGCAGCTTCCTTAGGACCCACCCCTCCATCTCTTTCTTGTTTTCACCCCAAAGAGATTAGTTGCACCGTCACTTCTCGGATCAAGCCCTCCTCCAACACCAGGACGTCGACAGCTCCAGAGCCGCCCCTTCCATTTCCCTCGTGAACTTCGACACGAATGGGGCCTCCCCATCACACGTGTCCCCACATGGCCCCACGTAAAAAAGTGTTGACTTTTGCAAATACGTCCAACCAAAGATTTCTGTGTGTGTGTGTGTTTTTTTTTTCTAATTTCTTTTTGTTCTTAACCTGTGCCCACTCCACTTCTTCCTTCGCTAGCCGACGCCTCTCTCTTTCCGATTGTCTGACGGTCAACCCGAGTTTGTGTTTTTATGCGGGTAGGGTCACAGAGAAACAGCGCACCCTCTAGAGGTTTTCTAGCATTTACAAAAGTCAAAGCCACAAGCCGCCAAACCTGCCCTCACTCTGAAGCAACCACTCGGTTCCCCTTGTGTTTCAAGATAAACTTTCTAAATAAGTTATGGTGATGGTGGTTGAATAATACCACACACACCCTAGAAATTTATTTATTTATTTATTTTTTTCAGCACGTCGTTTTCTAGTCCTGATTAACAGTCTTGCAACATAACGTAACGATAGGTCATTCCTCATAATGCAGAGTACTAATCACCTCTTAATTAATGAATTTGGATGGGCATAATTTAGTTTAGTTGCAAGAATTAATTTTGTTTTCTCTTGTGAGAACGATGGAGGCAATTGTATGTGTGTGGACCACTATGTTGGTATTTAGGCATAGGCACTGACTGTTTGCACCGCCAGCCCATCGACAGCAAAAATGTATCTAAAGATCTAAATAGTGAAGCGTAGAGATTTGGGAAATTAGACATGGTTCAAGTTATATAATAAGCTACTGATTGCTTGGAATTATCAATAAATAAATAAAAATCTTGGAAATTATGCACTAAACATGCATGCTTAGTCCTCTATGAGTATAAACCTTAAATACGGGAAGGCTTTAATTTTTATGTTCTTTTAGCAAATATTCTATGTTTGCAGTAAAGCATCTAACCTCATCGGTAATCATTTATAACCATTCATTACATTGACTTATGGAGCAAGGAGAGAAGATCAATCAGAGCAGCTGCAAAAAAAAAACAAAAAACAAAAAACAAAAAACAAAAAAACAAATTTAGTCTATTATGGTTTTCATGACATGTGAGCAACTTTATGTCATAAGTTTTGTTAAGGAAGATACATTTGAACCATATCTCTTTTTCCTTTTCTCTCAAAGGTATCATTTGGATTGGTAATCCATGCGACTCATCCCGCACGATCGAGACTAGTTCGCAAAAAAGAGAGTTGAGAAAAAAAGTTGGGTTTTATAGCTTGATCCCTCTAATTGAACTGTTTTTTTATAGTTCAAAAGTCATCATACTTCATCTACTCCTTCTTAAGTAACTATATCCAGGTAGCCAATTATATGCTTCCTTAAAGAATTTAGAAAGAGTGATAATGAAGAATTTGTTTATTCAAAGAAAGAGAGAACAACTCTTTGAAAAATAATGAAAAAGGTATATTTCTATTGATTCTTCAGTGGTTGACTCTTGCTTTGGTTGAGATTGGGTCATGGGTCAGGTAGCTTTGGTCCACCTTAATGCATCTATCCCATCAAAAACACAATATAACAAGACAAATAACACACTTAAATGAAAACACAGAGAATGCAGCAAACCAACAAAAGTAAATTAATGGCTCCTCCATAATTTGGGTTGTGTAAAATTTTCCAAAATCAAACTTACCTCGGCATGTATTTTTGGAGAAATTATAGAACACTACGGTCACGTGGTACATTTTATACACGTGTTATAATATAAGTGGACGACGTGATTTATTTTCCTCCATTTTAAGGAATAGTATCAATAAATATTCACTCATATTATAACACGTGTGAAAGATGTACGACATAACTTCATTTTTCGCACAAAGAATATCAATAATAATATAATGAGGTGGTGCCAAATGTTCAGTTTACCAAATATGTTAGTGTTTGAACGGGAAGAGAATTCTTAGTTAAGTCAAAGTAGAATCCATACAAAAAACCAAAACCCTCTCGCTTGCTTTTAAAGTCAAGAGGCAAACACGTAGACGTGACACCTTCCCCTCTCCATCTGCTCCACCCTTTCTCTTCTTTTATTTCTTCATGAGCTTTTCATTTCTCATCTTATCAACTCATTTTCTTTCAGCCTTCTTCTTCTTCTTCTGTTAACAATGGAGGACGCAATGGGTGCCACGTGGTCCGACGGGTCGGAGGAAGAGCTTGTGAGAGAGCTTCTGGACAATGAGACACCATTCTTTGTGCTACCAGAGGAGGCTCTACAATCCCAGATGAGTGTTTCCAATGAAGATAGTGTTGTTAATCGGTTCATCCCGACCGTCTATTCTGGTCCAACAATCAAAGATATCGAGACTGCTTTGTCTGTCACCACTGGAGCAATTCAACCCCAAGAACTTTCACCGGCTAGGTTTGTATATGTTACAATAATTATTATTATTTTCATTTTCATTTAATTTTAATTTTAATTGGGTTTTTTTTTCGGTGTATTATTTTGCAGGCTCTCAATGCTGGAAAGGGGTTTGAGCAAGGTTGAGCATAAGTACACTCTGAAGATTAAAAGCTGTGACAATGGAGCAATGGCTGATGATGGCTATAAATGGAGGAAGTATGGGCAGAAATCCATTAAGAATAGCCCAAATCCTAGGTAACTATTTTAGTATACCTCATTCTTAATTTCTTCTTCGTTTTCTTCTTCCCCTCTATGGAATTAAGTATTTTAAAAGCTGTACGGTTTGGTATTATTGCGGCCATAGTAAATATCATATGATTGTTTTTTTTCAAGATGAGAGCCATAGTTTCTCTTTATTAGGTGCAAAGGTAAGTACTTTATCGCTGAAATTATATGAATTTTAATTTCAAAATGCTAATTATTAAAACGTTGAGTAACTTGTCATGAAAGGATAATGCAAGAAGCTTCAAGAGAAGTGTGAACAACGATATATTTCTTTCGTAACAAGATAATGTATGCCTCTTAAAAAGGGGAAAAAGAAGAAAAAATATATGAAATCTATATATCTGTATTCATAGATTAGAATGCTAGTTATTTCAAACTTGAAAGAAATGACAAGTGATGCATAGAAGTCGCATCATTTGTTTATTTCAAACCTAAACCATTCAACTTTGCATTGAAGGCTTAATTAGGGTCTTAAACCTACTTCATTATAGTATACGTATGAGTCCGAATCTGCATGATTTAGGCAACTTTAATACTAATTAAGCAGACTAGTTTACAAATTGCTCTCTAATTAGTACTGCCCCATGAATCCAACCGCCCTAATCAACACCTTAAGCAGGTAGATTACCCTTAAATATGCTTACCTATGCAAGTAGCTTGACCTAAATGAGGTCCAAGCCTAGGCCTAGGTCTAGGCCACACTATCAACCCAGACAATAAATTAAAACAAAGTTTGACACATTGCTACAATCATGCAATTAAAGTATATCTCAAATTCAATTTTTTTTTGGAATTATTTATTTCCATTTTCTTACCAAGCTTTTTTTTTGGGCTGTGTTGATTAAAAAAATGAAAAATAGGAGCTACTACAGGTGCACAAACCCAAGGTGCAGTGCTAAGAAGCAAGTTGAGAGGTCCAGTGAGGACCCAGACACACTCATCATCACCTATGAAGGGCTCCACTTACACTTTGCCTACCCATTTTTCCCAATCAACAACCAGGCCCAGAACACCAGCCCACCTATGAAGAAGCCCAGAAACAAAACCTCACAGCCACACGCAGAAGACCGTGAACATGAAGCCCAAGAAAGCCCGCGCAGCATTACCCCTGACCCTGACCCGGATCTGCAGCCCGGCCCATTACCCGACCCACATGAAGAATTTGTTGAAAAAGAGCCAAGCGCACAAGGGTTGCTTCAAGATGTGGTGCCATTTATGATTAGGAACCCTAATCCATCAAGTGCTTCTTCAAATTCTTCTTGTTCCTCCTACCGGTCGTCTCCAACATCTCCTTCTTCTCTATCATGGGCTAGTTCGTATTTCGATGTTGGTTTTAATCATAGCTTTGGATGAATGAATTCATATATTCATATTGTTAAAGTCTAATCATCGTAGTTAATTAATATATATGTGAAATATACAATGAGGTTCAATAATGATATGTATGTTAAAGTCCGATGTAGTTTCTATTGTCGATATCGTAAGGCAATAAAGAATGTTTCAAACTACAAGGTAGTAGATAAGTAATGATTAAGTTAATTGTTGTGTAATGTTATGTAACTTATGCTATTTGAAGAGATTTTTTTTTTTTTTTTTTTTTTTTTTTTTTTTTTTTTTTTTTCTTTGGTATTGCATCATTTTTGGAATTCAACAACATTTTAAACTCAAAAACATAATTTGAGTCAAAAACAAAGAAAACCTGTTTGGTAGCCGTATTTTTAAAAACTCGAACTCAATAACAACTAAAAAACACCCCAATTATTAAAAACAAAAAATATATGTTTTTTCAGTTTTTTTTATAACAACCTGCAAGTTTTCAAAATTTTAAAATTTGAAAACAGTTTTCAAGTTGCATACCGAACAAGTTTTTTAATCTTAAAAATAGATTTAAGAACTCCATATTTTAAAGAAAAATAAAAAATTTTGAATTCCCTATTTGAATAGGATACCAAACACCCCCCTTAGTAACCACACCAAATTTGTCTATTCATGTTTAAAGTTGTTTGGGCCTAAATGGGCACGCCCAACGCAACAAAAAGGAAAGTCCAGAATAAAAGCTACAAGACTCAAGCAGTTTGGGCTTTTGCAAAACGGAAGGCAAAGCCCAAAGTCTAGAGAGGCCCAGCCCAAGACTTATCAAAATGTGGCAAGAAAACTTGGGCCCCAAAAGAAAAGCAGTTACCTTTGGGCTCCAGACAAATCAAAATGGGCCCAGCATGATTAAAAGAAAAAAAAGGAAGAGACCCGTTTTCAGAACCCACGTGACTACCAAAATGGAAAAGTCAACAAACTCAACTGAGTTGATTGAGAATTAATTAAAGTAGGTCAATGGCAAAAAGACTTCTCTGAATTTCTGCCACCAGAAGATCAAAATCCTTCTTATATATTCAAAAATATTGATTTCACTCCAAAGAGGCACCATCCTTTCAAGAGATACGCATGCCATATTTTCAAAAAGGAGTTAAGCAGGAGGACAGAGAGTTGTTCATTTGGGAAATCAAACTAACCATCACGGTTGAAATCTCACAAGGGGCAATTAAAGTGGGAAAAGGAATTAGGCTTCTTTTAAAAAAACACGGAAGTGATCTCAAAGATTGATTGATAAAAGCCTATCTGACATAATTAAATTAAATCATTCCCTCTCTTGTATCTCTTTGCGGATCTTTGAAAGGATTTGCCGCCCATTATTAAAAGAATCACCCTACTCTAGAAAACATTTCTTATAAATACAAGAAGGAGTGAACAGGGCAGATGACAATCAATCCTACATTCAAATCATCAACCAAACAAACAACTCAAAATCAACCAGAAACTCACTTGAATTCCAAGTAAAACCAGTTTTAGATTGGAATTCCCAAGGTTTAGACTTAGAAAATAAGTCATTTAAAACGAGATTTCTCTCGTTACAAATTTGGTTCAGCAAAAAACCAAGAAAGGTAGAGCTTGAGCTTTTCCCAAACATGAAAACCTCAACAAATTTCACAGTGCAGTCTCTAGCCCACTGAAGTCCTCAAGAACAACCACTTCTGCCATTTCAGACTGAAGAAGCCGCAGTTCTGCCCACTCCAAAGCCTCATAAAAGCTTGAAGTATATTAAAGTTCTGCCAAAATTGACATTTGGTATCGATTTACAGCTGAAGCTTAGCAGTCGAAGTTGTTAACAGTTTAGTCCAGCCCAGATATTTCCAGTCCAGCCCATATCAGAGCCTCCCATCCAGGCAGAAATGGAGTTCCAGCTGTCTTTTTATCTTTCTAGCGTGGGTATTTATTTTTATAGTTTTGTAAAAAGCAGTTCTGCCTAAGACAACTTAAATTCTATCAACCATTCTGGCCAAAACAACCTCTTTTTACTGAGATAAATTGTTGAAGTCCTTACTAGTCTGAGGCAATAAAAGAACTAACTTGAGAGATATTCCTCACTCAAATTCACAATCGTTTGTTTATAGAAATCAGTGACTTGGGGCGCAAGTTATCTATTCTAGAATAAGTCTGCTAGAATCTTCATTACTAGTAGTGGCACGCTCATACACCAAAAAAAGCTGACTTGTTGACCAGTCAATGATTTTCAAGGCAGTGAGGAACTTTGCCCTTCCATCTCAGGAGAAATCACAAAACGAGGTGAACAAAAGTATGAGAAGGGTGAGAAGCTAGTTTTGAAGTTGCATTTTCTATATAGCCACATTTTTTATTTTGGCACCCCTTCATGTATTGTGAGATGAGGGTGTAAAGGAGTGGAGAGAGTTATTTTAGGAGTGGCAAAATCTCAATATATTTTTATATTTTTGAAAATTATAATTCTGTTAACACGGGAGCAAGGCGACCAAACTAACCGGGTGCATATTGGTAATTTGGTACCATCTTCAGGCTCCAAAACTCGAAGAAGCATTACATATTGACAAAAGTAACCTCACTAATGTCATACCCCATGTCCCATTACCAAGGGCGGATTGGTAATTTAATAATAAAGAAGGCGGTTTCTGATTCTGGGCACGAAATCATTCCCTTTCTCCGCCTCTGCTCCTTCAGTCCCACACCATCCTAATTCCGGTAACCCCTCGTTCGCTCTCTCTTTCTTTCCAGCCCTATCAAATTTTCGCACCTGATTTTTTCTCGGAAACCAAACAGACCCGCAAAGCTCTCTCTAGGATTTCAAAAGCACCGTTTTCTACCCGATACGATCCTCAAGGCTCGATACAATGGTTTTCTCAAGCATCGGACGCTCGCTTTCCCACTCGGCTCGTTCTAAATTCAAAAGAGTGATAATAGCCCAAAAAACCTTATTTTTAAATCTCTTCTCTAAAACTATTTCTTGTTGGTTGATGAAGTTTGATATTTTGCTGTGTAGAACGTGATTTCGGGTACTTACAACGGAAGGACTACATTTCTGCACGAAACGGTGCCACTCGGAAATGCGTGCATTTCAGGCGTTGATTGCGAGCTAGGGCTTCTGAGGGGATATTTGACTTATAATGGAGCTGGGAAGCAGCTCGTCTCTAATACTTACTTGTCGAATTTTAAGTCTTTTCTCACAAACCCTAGAATTCGTCGCTTCTTCTCCAGCCAAGGGCACGAGAAGAAAAGTAAGGTTCTCTGCCCAAACCTTAAAGAAAAATGTTTGATTTTATACATTTGATGCTTACCGTAATGTATTTATGTATGGATTTTACAATTGTTTATTCTTTCAGATTATGAAAATTATTATCCAAAAAATAAGAAGGAAATTCCAAAAGGGGATGGGCAGAAATCCGGGTCCAAAGGTGTGTCACATATTTAGTATTTTTTTTTTTTTTTTTTTTTTTTTTTTTTTTCTTTTTTTTCCATCATAATGATGTGTTTTGTGTTTTGGGAGGGAGCATTATTTTACTGTACTCATTTTACTGTTTCAGTTTTCTTCAGGGGGCTCAAATGCAGGTGATCAGGGGAATCCCCGGGAACTTTTTATTCCTTGGCATCAGATTATCGGTCCTATTATGTTCCTTGGCTTTGTTTTCACATCATTATTACTTAATCCTCAACAAGCGAAGGAGGTAATCAATATGATTACAGCAACTAGTTGTTGAATAGATGGCTAGGCTGGTTAAGGTCGCTGTGTATGTGAATTGCCATCTATTTTCTTATGTTAGATAACATTTGTTTTGTTGGCATCTTCATGCAATCTTCTTGTTGGTGCTAACGAAATGTTGTTGCATTATGTTCCCCTTTATATACTGTTGAGGATTTCTGCACTTGGGACTTAGAAAGATTCATATGGTTTGCGGGCTTCCGTCCATTTTAGATAAATTCTATTCTGTTGCATTCATGTCAGAAAGCATAAGTATTATGCATATAGTATTTCTTCAACACAGTGAGTATGAACTAGCATCTTGTAGGCCATCTGCCAAACAAGTTCTAGTAACCTAGCCATTTCATGCTGTTATGTTATCCGAAAAACTGCTTAGAGGATCATTTGATGCTATAGTTTGTTAAAGATTAAGGATTTATGATATCAATACTTGTGGTTTTGCATTTCTCCCTACAACTATGGAGAAATTTTTTTATCCGATTTTCTTTAATTATTTATGTTTAAGCTGATTGGTATATTTCCCAGATAAGTTTCCAAGAATTTAAAAACAAGCTACTTGAACCTGGGTTGGTAGATCACATTGAAGTTGCAAACAAATCAGTTGCGAAAGTGTATGTAAGGAGCTCCCCACATGATAAGAAACAGAGTGGCGATGATGCTGTAAAGGGACCTGCTGATGGTTCTTCCTCAGCAGGAAATACAACCCAGTATAAATATTATTTTAACATAGGGAGTGTTGAATCTTTTGAGGAAAAGTTGGAGGAAGCCCAAGAAGCTTTAGGGTTTGACCGTCATGATTTTGTTCCTGTAATTTATGTATCCCAAATAAATTGGTTCCAAGAGTTGATGAGGTATGGGCCAACGGCGTTGCTTCTGGGAGCCCTTTGGTTTATGAGCCGAAAAATGCCTAGCATTGGTGGTCCAGGTGGAAAAGGTGGCCGAGGAATATTCAATATAGGGAAAGCGCAGATCACAAAATTGGATAAGAATGCCAAAAACAAGGTTAAGTATGCATTTCATTTACTTGTGTTTGCCTTCATCATATTTCTTGTCTTAGTATTAAAGTGAAACCTAAACTGAATTATTTACAACACTTACATTCATGTCCACATTATGATTCAGGTTTTTTTTAAAGATGTAGCTGGCTGTGATGAGGCTAAGCAAGAAATAATGGAGTTTGTGCACTTTCTAAAGAACCCTAAGAAATATGAGGAGTTGGGAGCAAAAATTCCAAAAGGTGCTCTTCTTGTTGGCCCTCCTGGAACAGGAAAGACGCTTCTTGCAAAGGCAACTGCAGGTGAATCTAGGGTGCCTTTTCTATCTATATCTGGTTCAGATTTTATGGAAATGTTTGTTGGTGTTGGGCCATCAAGGGTTCGAAGCTTATTTCAAGAGGCAAGACAGTGCGCACCCAGTATAATATTTATTGATGAGATTGATGCAATTGGCCGAGCTAGAGGGCGTGGAGGCTTTTCAGGTGGCCATGACGAGCGTGAAAGTACTCTCAATCAATTGCTTGTGGAAATGGATGGATTTGGAACCACTGCTGGAGTTGTTGTACTTGCTGGCACCAATAGGCCAGATATTCTAGATAAAGCACTCTTGAGGCCTGGTCGGTTTGACCGTCAAATTACTATTGATAAACCAGACATCAAAGGTCGTAACCAGATTTTTCAAATATATCTGAACAAGCTCAAGTTGGATTTGGAACCATCATATTACTCAGAGAGACTTGCTGCTCTCACTCCTGGATTTGCTGGAGCAGACATAGCAAATGTCTGCAACGAAGCTGCCTTGATTGCTGCAAGGAATGAGAGCCCAAAGATCACCATGAAACATTTTGAGGCAGCTATAGACAGGGTGATAGGTGGTCTAGAGAAGAAGAACAAGGTATCTGTTGCCACTGCATGACATTCTGCGTAGTTGTTGACTTCTTTATGACTCAAAGATTACTGAGTATTAGAAAGGTTTTGTATGGAGCTGCCGAGATATTTAAAGCTTTACTGGTTTCTTTATGCAGGTAGTAAGCAAGCTGGAAAGACGGACTGTTGCTTACCATGAATCCGGTCATGCTGTTGCTGGTTGGTTCCTGGAACATGCAGAACCTTTGCTTAAAGTAACTATTGTTCCGCGTGGTACTGCAGCATTGGGGTTTGCTCAGTATGTTCCCAATGAAAATCTTCTTATGACCAAAGAGCAGCTTTTTGACATGACATGCATGACCCTTGGTGGTCGAGCTGCTGAGCAGGTAAAGCTCTCTTTCTTTCCCAAAGTTTCTGAATGAGTAAGTTGGGATATGAATCATATGATTAGATTTATCAAAGAATGAAGCTTATATGCGCCCACCATCCCTCCTTCCTCATTGAGACTGACTTATTTATGGTTTAGCTTCAACTCTAGAAAGTTACAAAGGCACTTTAGCATGGTATATCACTCATTCAATTCAAATATGGCGAATGCAACTGAAACATGAAGTTGTTTAAATTTCTGAGAATGCCATCTTGGCAACCAAGCAACCATAAACTTTTAATGGTGAATGCCGAAAGTATGTGATGTATTTTGTTCTTTAAATCTTTTCCATGAAATGATTCATATTCAAGTAGTTTGTGACTGCAGACTTGTTTTATTTAACAATAATTATCATAAAATGATCAAGAAACAATGCTGTAAACTCAAAAGGTGATGTTTACAAAATCGCATTGAGGGACCTTTTGTAGCTCTCAAAACCGAGGGGTCAAAGCTTCTCTGTTCTTGAATTTATTTCCTTTTGAATCTTTACATAGAATGTTGTTCGCATTCTCAAATCGTCAACAACTCTTCCATTTGTGTGCATGTATGTGTATGTTGTGCAATAATCTGTTTGTGGATGCCCATCGGTTATTGAGTAAGATTTGTTAATGCAATCCTTGGATTGAACAGAATATAGAAAACATGCCTAAAATCTTTGACTATACATCTTAGTCTGCTATTTGATAGAGACAAAAAATTGTGGCTGGTTTTGCATGATGAGGCTCCTGTAGCTAGAAAGTTGAAGTCGTGGCATTGCTATAATGGCACAACATTTTAATTTTAAAACGAAAGGCATCTTTGCAACATTTGAGAATTTATCAGCTGACTTTTATTGAGTCACTAACTGCTGCGATACTCTTGGAGTAGGTATTGTTGGGGAAGATTTCTACTGGAGCACAGAATGACTTGGAGAAAGTGACCAAAATGACTTATGCTCAAGTTGCAGTGTATGGCTTCAGCGACAAGGTGGGTCTTCTTTCTTTTCCTCAAAGGGATGATGCATTTGAGATGGCCAAGCCCTACAGCAGCAAGACCGGTGCAATAATTGACAGTGAAGTTAGAGAATGGGTGGCCAAAGCATATGTTCGCACCATTGAGCTGATAGAGAAGCACAAAGAGCAAGTAGGACAGATCGCAGAGCTGTTGCTGGAAAAGGAGGTCCTTCACCAAGATGACTTGGTTCGAGTATTGGGAGAGCGCCCATTTAAGTCAAACGAGCCCACAAACTATGACAGATTCAAGGAAGGGTTCCAAGAAGAAGATAAGGAGCCTAAAGAGACCACTGAGGGTGGGAATGTGGATGATGGTCGGTCGCCACCCATTCAACCAGATGTTGTGCCTGCATAGTTGATTGATTTCATGGGGATTTTTGTTAATATAAAATTATATTTGTTGAAAGACTGGCTCCTTTGTTAGAACCGATTGTGAACGTCTTGTATATCCAAATCACATATTAGGTATATCATCTGTTTCCCACATACGATTTCTTGATTGTTTTCTTTTTAAAGCCGTACAAGATTAGCTCTAGAGATGCAGAGTATTAATCCCGCAATCAATACTCTCACAACATCTGAAGAGAAGGCATTCAAACTCTAGCAATCCTGAGAATTAAAATCAAAAGAAAAGTTTCTTCAAACCTAAGCTTCATTTCTTAAGTCTCAAGTCCCGGGTCTAGGGTTTGAAGGCTCAAAGCACCAAATTTTTGACATCAAGTCTCGATGACTCAACCTCGATCACCATAACTCAATGCCTTACACTCATGGTTCGTGGAAGGCCTGAATATCGACCTATAGACCTCGGCTTAAAACCGTGGGCCTCGAAGCTCATAGTTTAAAGCTTATGACGTGAGATTTGTGGCTTATATAGCTTAGTTAGTGGCTTAAGACCTAAGGTTTAAGACTTGACAGAGACTCTAGGCATGGTCTTGGGTCATTGAAGAAATTGATGTCATGTTTCATGGAGGAGGAGCGATGGGCGGTAGTACACTTTGTTTGGTTTAGTTTTGTTCTATTATTTGGAAAGAAAGGGCAGTCATTTTCGAAGCATCTTTCATTGTGAATACATGATGATTCTGACCATATAGGACTTTGTTGCTTTCTCCTTTATTTAGTGGGAAATGGACGAATGCTCTTTTTTAAATTACTTGGGTTGGGGGAACCAACTTTACATCTAGATTGTGATGTTGAGCTCACATACAAAACCAACTGCCTCCTCATACAGCTGTTTTACCCTTTTACTTTGGACCTCTCAACAGTTAAAAAAAAAAGCCAAGTTTCAATTCAAATTAATTGATTAATTAGTTTCCTAAGAGCAAGTCCAGCGCTCACCCAAACCTGGGCAAAAGGCCCTGGCAGCCCAACTCCCCTCCAGCGCGCAGAAAAGAGCTCGGGCAATGGCTGGGTCCCACCAGCCCGGGCAGGCCCAAGGGCAACTTTCGCCTGGGCTTCAGCCCGAGGGCGCTGACGTCAGCGCTGGTGTTATGCTGATGTCAGCGAGCAAAAAAAAATACCAAAAAATTATAAAAAATTCAATTTTTTTAAAAAAAAACCAAAAAATTATGAATATTTTCCCTATAAATACATAACAATTTTATTCACTTTCCCTATAAATACATAACAATTTTATATTTTGTTGCATATATATTTTTTTTTCTTACCCTTAACTTGCCTTAGACTTTGCCCTCATGAGTGGAACCACAAATGCAAAGGCTGACACTATTCACGTGAATAGTTGCAGCCCTTGCTTGCCCTTGCCTTAGACTTAGCCCTTGTGGGTGGAGATGCTCTAAGTGTGATTATGATTTGGATCATGTTAACAACTAACACACGCATTTGACAGTAGGCAGGCACATTTGACCTCAGTAAAAATATATAAAATCGATGAGGGATCAAAAGTACTGCATATGTTTTTCTGAGAACCACCCAACTAGAACTAGTTACATATGCGCATGAATCATGATAGCTGTTGTGTGGGGCTTCCATTTTCTTGGGATTTTGAAGATAGATAGTAGGCCGTTGATTGGCTACCTAGAGAATCATAGTGGACAAGACTAGTTTCCCTTTGAGCCTAAGAAAGGCCAGGTCAAAATCCAAACACTAATGGCCTCCTTGTTGGAAAGCAAACAAGGCTGCTTAGATAATTCATCGCCAATAATTTGAGGAGCTGGTAATGTCTTATCCCACAATTTGACATCACATGGTACTTTATGCATCAACGTATACCTAACTCTTCGCGTATTTATTACATCAATTATTGTAACCAATTTAGATGACTAATATATGATGCATCGACACACATATAATTTATTGTGTACTTATTACATCAATTATTATAGCTGATTTAACTGGTTAATTTTGTGACGTGAAATCACATCCTTAACCTTATTAGAGAGCATCTATATGAAAGATAATCACATCTACGACTAAATGATGGTCGTGTTGTGGGAAATTGAATGGTTATCTTGTTGAAGCACATCCTACGGTTTGCAACGTGCACAACATTATGCTCGAAATTGCCCAACATATATTTGACTATACGATCTACCAAACCCCAACTATCAAAGTTGGGCACTTCTCTCAAATTCCCAACAATTATTGGAGGATTAAATAAATGGGTTTTTCTTCTTATTTGATAGTTCTTTTTATTTATAATGTTTAAAACTTTCATTGTTTATTAGAGGAGAAAGTTTCTTCTTATTAATAATTTTTTGGTGGAACCAATCCTACCTCAACTGAATTTATTTTGTTATTATATGGTGAATTGGTCATACAAAACCAATAAAATGTTTGAGTTTGTTTTCACGTTCGGATCTCTATATCATTAGAAATTCTTATTATGCGTCAGGTTATATATAATATTATTCTCATAATATTTACCCACAACTCAAAATTTTGAATTTTTTTTATTAAGATAATTCGACTCTGTATGATATGAGAGAAAAGTAGGTACACATACCGCTTTGAAATGAAGTAGGCTAGTTGTCTACGTCTAGCTCCGTTCATCTAATGGAGAAAGAGACAACAATTAGCCTATTCAAGAGCAAAATAGAACAAAAACACTCCATCCAGATTGGTTGTTATTATGCAAAGCTGCTCTTCCAATTGCCTAAATATATTTGGTAAAAGCTTGACCCCGATGTCACCTCTCAAATATTAAACTCTTTGTTATTTTGTTTACTTTAAACAAAACAATTAACTACTTTGGAAATGGGAGGCCTTTCGCTATTGATTTTGCCGTACAAAACTTTGCATGTGAATCTATGATGGATGTATAAGGCCAATTAATCTAAGAGCTAGACCCAGATATTTTGCAGATGCTACCATTATTGAGTTTGTACGTTCTTACACTGTACCAATATCTCAATGCATGGAGATAAATTAGTGTGCGGAAATATTATTGTGCGCTTCAACATTGTCACGCTTGTCACGAGAGAGGAGGAGGCACATAAAATATCCGAACTCTAATTATATGTCAAGGAACAAAACACCCGTCTGAAACACGTTTGACTTTATGCAAAAAAAAAATCTGAAAATCCCAACAACTCTTAGATCGACTGCATAAAAACCAATGCAACAGTAAAATATTGACTGCCAGATCATGATTCTTACAACTCTCCGTTGCTGTTGCTTTCCCCTAAACAACCTCACCAACTGGAGGCTAGGAGTCCAAATAATAATACTATTATAAATCATAGAATATTATTAGCAGTAATAACAACAATACAAGGGTCATGGTCACGGCCAGCCCAGGTAGTTCAAATAATTGAGGGGAAGGAGTCAGAAATGGTTCTTTCATAAGACCCATCTAGTGCTAGCCACCGCCATTGTTATTTTAGCATTAGCATTGCTAGCATATCTGTTGTTCACACACTTATTTAAAAAATTGTGTGCCCTAAATGACCAATGCTAGCATAATTTTTATTTTTTCTTCGTATACGTAGCTATCTTACCCTTTATTTTAAGGATATGGTGAATATATATATATATAGCAAAATGCAGAGAATGATAAAATATTCAAAATATCAGAAAATGTCATTGGTTAATGCAAATATTAATAATTAAAATTATTAATTAAATGAGGATAATATGGTAAATTCACAATTTTCATATTAAAAGAAAATTTAAAATTAAAAGAAAAATCATATAATAGATCTTATTTTTATGGAACACAACTACTCATTATCTTTTGTAATTCTAAAATAAATTTTAAAAAAAATTTAAAAAAATCTCCCGCAAGTGTAGAAGCGCGTGCGAGAGAGGCTAGTGGGAAGAATGACTAAACAAGCGTCTACCCATTTTCCTTTTCTAGCCCTTTTCATCTAATTCTCTTGTACTTTTTCCTATTCTGTAATATTTGGCCTCCAATCATTTCCTCCCAGAACAAATAAATAAAACAAGGCTCCTGTGTCATTTGCACTTTATTTGTATAGTGGCGGCACAGGCTTCAATTATAAGCCCTTCAATTATAATCTTAGATATCTGTCCATACACACACACATCACATTAAAAAAACTCCAATAAGGCCAATTTAGAAAACGTTTTATTGATGTCATGCATCATAGATTTTTTTTATGTACTATTTTTGATGAATTTGATGGAAGCAAAAGATTAGCTAGATCACCAAGTCATCCAATATATCTTGCGTTGGCAAGTAGGCAAGGTGCATGTAAAGTATTCTAAATTGATCGCGTATATCTTCTATATTCTAGTGACACCTGTATTATTTAAAGTTCTCAACAATTATTCATGCGATTATGTATATTACGGATAGGAATGATATATATATATATCCTAAATTCAAATCGTTTCTTTTTCAAGTCTTTATTCAATGATCATCTTTACAAAAAAATTGAAAATTATTAAGACATCTAATTAATACCAACAAAATCAATGAAGTTATTTGACGGGATCTCTACAAAGGTGTCCTTCAAATAAGCTTATTTAAGGAATCTCTCAACAAAAGTTCTCTGTATATATATAAATTATTAAAAATTGGATCTGGCTAGATAGCTTCCCCCAATTATGGAGGTTAGGCTCTCAAAAGCTTTTGTTTACAATTCATATACAATCAATCAACGAGACAGGCTTCTCTTCCAAAGTCCACTAATTTGCTGCTATTGAATTGTTTATATTTATATGCAGTGCAAAGACTGAGTGGGTGTTCATCGTCCGAATGACTAATGGGTTTGCTTCAAACTTTAAAGTTAGCTAGGCCTAGGGAGGAGAGGAGGTTCAATATATTAATATTTCTAGGGCATGGAAAATGTGTTACTTTATAACTATCATTCTTATATGTATACCCGCAATGGCGAAAGTTTAGCTAGCCTCTCTCATTAGCAGTGAATTAACACCCTCAATCATTGTTTTAAAAAAATAAATTAGAAAATTCATTAATAACAGAGATAAAATACAAGAATTTGACATTAAGAACACACCCTCAATCATTGTTGACATGCATAAAATATCAGTTTTATGATTGACCTAAAGTTATCTTTACACTTCCTTGGTGCTTTGATTTGCCTTCTTGAACCTTGCTTTCTGTTTTCCAGATAAAAGAAAAGTAATTAAAGTAAGATTAAAATCACATATGCCATGACATGTGTCCAGGCTCATTATTGTAAGACCAGGTTGATTAGGTAAAAGCTTTGCTGTGATGAGTTTAAGTGGAGAATGAAAGAGACCATCCCATATGCTGATTTTGTCCTTACTTACTAGAGCTCATTTTAGCTGGTCCTAGTTATAAGAATACATATCCTTCCACCTGGATGCAACTTGTGTGCGTCCAGAAGCGTCTAGAGTATTTAAAACACTGGCATGAAACGGGGATAATAATGTTTTATCATTTTTGACCAATAATGTTATAACACGTGTGATAACTTTTTTACATGGCATATCGTTGTTGGCAGAAAATAGCAAAATGACGATATTCTCATTACAACCAAATTTTTCTCATAGATTAATTGGGTCAGGAATTAAACCAGACCAAACATACCCTAAATCAAGAACCTCGGAGTCAGATACATGGATAAATGCTCTTAACCAACTGAGCTACAAACCCCCTTGTAATACCAATAATATGTTATAGATATTACACAACTTAACTCTCAAGCATTTATATTAGTTAAGAATTTGTATATATATTACCATAAAGAGAAGAAAAAAAACATCAGATAACAATAATTATGATCCTATTGAGTAGAGTTGTAAGTTGTAAGCAACTATAATATTTTTCCCAAATTAGGTATTTAGCTAACTCTCCCTCTCCACAAGCATAAGCATAGCATCTTAGCATATTACCATATATGTACCCCTCCCTTGTCATAATGGCTGGCACCAATTTTTGGCATCCACTTGTTTTCAAAACAAACAACTTAACACGGGTTTTCAAATTCAAGGGTATTTGTGGAATTTAGAAAAGACTATGAGGGTAAACTTGGACCATGAAAGAAAGGGGTGGAGAGGTGGTGGCAAAACTGGAAATTTCTGGACAAAGAGAGTCCACATAAGACAACACTTGGTTCAACCTTCTCAACCTTGGAAACCAGGTTGGCATTTTCCTGTTACCTTCTCCACTCATTTCCTGTAATTTTTTATGAGTTTTAAAATTAACTGAACGTGATTGAGATAAAAAATATGGTTTAAAATCATTTAAAAATATTGAAACTCGTGGGAAATTAAACAACGGTTTGCCTATTTAAACCCACCTCTGCTTCTCTTATTCCTCCTCCCACTCCTTCATTGTTCAACACCTTTAGCATTGCTTTCTCTCCCAGAGTTCTCTCCTTGCAAGAAAGAAACTCTCTCTCTTTTTTTCTTTCTTTCTTTCTTTCCTCCCTTCTGCTTCTCTCTCTCTTACTCAGTCAATTTGGTTTTGGCATTTTATTCTGGTAAGTCAAATGTTAAATGTTATCTTAAATCTTTTGATCCAATGGTATCTTCATCTTCAAATGTTATTGCTTCTGGATTTCTCTTGCATTTCCAATATTTGTTATGAAGATTTGGGTTTTCATCAATCATCATCTTAATTCTTTGATGATCATATCAAATTGAGTACTTTGAGGCTCATCCAATGGACACAAACACTTTTGTTTCTTGATCCAAATTAAACATATGATTCTTTATAGTTCTACTTGGAAAGCTTTTCGAATGAGTTGTTCTTGTTCCCTAAAGTTAAGATACAGTGTGGAAACTGCTTCATGTATCACATGAAACTTTGCTTAACTTAACTTTGATTGTAGCTTTATGCATTAATCTATGCATTATATGTGGACAGCTGATCTTATAAAGTAAATACACCTTTTACTAGGTTTATATATCTAAATTTAAAACCCCACAAAGCCATTGGTCCCCCTCTTCATCATTCAATTTATAGTAGGGGCTTGTGGATTGTCCATTCAGAAAACTAAGAGCCTTATCCAACCAAGATTCTTGGTATTGGCCTCAGATGGTTCCCCTTCTGAAGACCCTTTTCTTCTTTTGGTGGTAATCTGAGTCAATAGGGGCCACTAATTATTATTATTTTTTTATATCAGCCATGAAAAAGTTCAGTTTGAGAATCAAAATGAAATATGATATAAGCTTGTGTGCGTTTAAGCTATCATGGAACTTAGTGTTCACTTATTTCTGTCGTCTGCTGAAGGTTTCTTGATCGAAATGGAATTCGACGACCGATACAGGCAAGCTCAGAGGACCAAATACGATTGCCTTCTGTTTGGTAAGCCTTTTGCTTTTGGAAATTTTTGTGTCAATCTGAGTTGCCTTGTAAAGCAATCATCCTGACCACTTGTTTGAACTTTTTCAGATCTAGATGACACACTATATCCCTACAGTACTGGGATTGCTACAGCATGCAGAAACAATATAGAAGGTAAATTTATATTCTTGTTAGGCCCTGAAATTCACATTTATTTTTCTCATTTTGCATTTATCATATCAGTAAATTTATATTTTTGGTGCTCTGTTTCTTTTCAGATTATATGGTTGAAAAGCTTGGCATTGAGAGGAGCATAATCCCTGAATTGGGTAACCTGCTGTACAAGAATTATGGAACTACAATGGCTGGTCTCAGGGTACTTTTTTTATACTTCCCCATGTTTTTTGCATTTTTATTTACTGCTGAACTTCTTGTTGAATTATGTATAACTTTGGGGTTTCTCCTTTTCAGGCAATTGGCTATGACTTTGACTATGATGAATATCACAGGTACTGGGAAACACTTCCATCTCTTCATTCTTCTATATTTTGTTGTATTATTGGTCTTGAAGGATTATTAACCTCTTGCTTTCCTATGTAACAGTTTTGTCCATGGAAGATTACCTTATGAGAACATAAAACCTGACCCGGTCTTGAGGAATCTTCTGCTGAACCTGCCTTATCGGAAAATCGTAAGCATCTTGTTACCAGATGATAGCCTAGTAAAGGCCAAAGGTTATAAACTTTCTTCTTTATGCTAACTCTTTCTGTTCATTTTTGTTTATGTGAAACAGATTTTCACAAATGCAGACAAGGTCCATGCTGCTAAAGCACTAAGCAGGCTTGGATTGGAAGACTGTTTTGAAGGGATTATTTGCTTTGAGACCCTCAATCCTACTCACAAAAGCATTGTCTCTGATGATGAAGATGACATTGAGTTTGTGGGATCTGCAGCTGAAGTTCCTGCAACAACAACTAGCAGCTCTCAAATTTTTGACATCATTGGCCATTTTGCTCAACAAAACCCCACTTCCAAATTACCCAAAACACCAATTGTGTGCAAGCCATCAGAAGCCGCCATAGAACGGGCTCTCAAGATAGCCAACATTGATCCTCAGAGAACAGTAAGATAACAAACTCTCTCTAAGGTTTTGAAAATCTGCAGGGCTTTTAGATTTAGTTACTTATGTTTATTTTTGGCTCTGGCAGCTGTTCTTTGAAGATAGTGTCCGCAACATACAAGCTGGCAAAAGAGTGGGACTTCAAACCGTGCTGGTAAGATATAGGAAACTTTTTTATACCACAAATAATGGTCCTTATTCATTGCAAGCAAAGAACAACAGACAATCTAAATTACTAATAATGCCATTCATTTTGTCACTATTGAATATGTACAGATTGGGACATCCCAGAGAGTTAAAGGCGCAGATTATGCACTAGAAAGCATTCACAACCTCAGGGAAGCACTGCCAGAGCTTTGGGAGGTTGAAATGAAATCTGAAGTTCGTTACTCTGGGAAGGTTGCAGTGGAGACATCAGTCACAGCTTAGGTTTTGTGCCAGCAAGCACTAGTTTGTATGAGGAAAGAAATCATGTTTGTGGGATCTTACCATCCCATTTTCTCTCATAAAATTTCCTTCTCTCATTGTGATCCGCTCTTATTCATAATAAAATATATATTTTATGTTTTCACACTGTAAATTTGAACGAATATTCATGTAACAATCCTCCTAATTAATCAATTTAATAAAATAACATTAACGTATATTACACCGTCATGATTAGAAACATTTCAAATAACAATTGACATAATCAATCAATTTAATAACATAACATTAACATATACCACACCGTCGGATTTTTCTAATCACGTACCTCTTACTCCTCTGCCTTTGTCAAGGGAGTCAGAATGTGATTGCGATTGCAATTATTAATAGGGAACTCCATGCTAATCACGCGACATATATAATAATAATAATAATATTAAGGGGTGTGTGTGTACGTAATTAAGTCGACATTTGTAATGAAAGGGACATACTGGAACACATAAAATTAAGAATTCAAATGCGTAGCATGATTGATGCGCAAGAAACAGTGGGAAAATGATTTGTCCAAGATCATAGGTGATTATAATATGCCCTTTACTGTTTTAGGCCTAGTGATATCATAGTCTAGAAGAGTCTCGAGACACTAGCAGACACTTGCTTTGGTTTGGCATCATTGACTGCAAATCACATGAATCCCAATTAACCCAAGTAGGAAGAAAAGGCGATTGGCTGTCCTTTTGTCATGTATAGCTGTGAACAGTTTGAAAAAAAAAAAGCATCCTTTTTATCAGCTAGCCTTGGTTTCGTTACTTGCTAGGTTGGAAAGCAACCCAGTTCTTGTTTTTTTTTAAAAAAGAGAAATAAACAGATCCATTCAGATCCAATCATAACAGAGGCAATTAGATTGTGTGGCTATAATTTACTGCAGCAAATTAGATTGTAATAGTTAGAGAGCTGTGTGAAACACGAGCCATACAAACAGACAGAACTGTGAGCTGTGGACATGGTTTTTTTTTGGGAAAGTTTGTAACTTTCAAATTCTGCTAAGAAAGAAAATAAACCCATTTGATCATTTGATCATTTTTCTCTAACATAAGTTAAATTATGCGATATGGGTTATGGGCTATGGCCATACAGACACAGCTATGAGCTGTGGACATGGTTGTTTTTGGTAAAGTTTGTAACTTTTATCTTCTGCTAAGAAAGAAAATAAAACCCATTTGATCATTTGATCATTATTTCTCTAAACATAACTTAAATTATGGATAATGGGCTATGGCCCTGTCATGACTCATATCCAGTGGCAAAGAGATAAGGCATTAAGTAGAATTGTAGAAGAGAAAACCAACCAACCAACCAGCCAACCAGCCAACCAGCCAACCAACCCAGTGCATTAACGGCTACCAGAGAAGAACGAAGCCCTCTCTCTCTGTCGGTCTCGCTGAGCTGGTTGCAAAATTGCAATTGTGACTGAGGGGGTGTATGGAGACTGGTCCGTACAACTAAGTTTTGGTCTCATCAGAAATGGCAACGGTGGCAGTGGCACCACGTGTCCCTTTGGTGATCTCAAATAATAATTGTAGATTTAGCAACAGTCGCAGCGTCCGTCAATGTCATAAATGTAGTTGGGTGGCACATCCAGAAAGTTGGAGCCTTTCTTTTCATAATTCGACCTCATTTTCTGCTTCATCCTTGTTTGTCCAGAGAAGGGTGAGAAAGGGTTTTAGGAGCATCGGAGTGGTCACAAAGGCGATGGCGGATTTGGGTCCAAGCACAGTCCTTGTCACTGGAGCTGGTGGTAGAACTGGTACTCTCCTTCTCTCGCCCTCCCTATTTTTTGTTAATTGTTGAAAGTGAAGTTCTGTTGGGTGTTCGGTTAATTTGTTTATATGGATTTGGTCTGAATTTTGGATGGTTTATTGTTTGTCTTTACTGGATTATTGGGCTCAGTGAGTCATAGACTCAATAAATTAGAGAGCTTTTTGGTAAAAAGCATTAGAAGATGTGTATTTAGTATTTAGGGTGTGAGATTTGGGGTGGGTCAATGAGAGTGGGCAGAAATGTAAGTGTAATATATAATTGGGGGTGTTTGTGTGGAGAAGCATGTGTGATTGAGTGGGGTGATGCCCGTGTGTTTTATTGTTGTGAATGTGTTTATTTTAAGTTGTTACTCAGCATCTATGGCGTTGACAAAAAAACAAAAAAAAAAAAAAAAAAAACTCTATGGTGATGAAAGTGTGTTTTGTGACTGTGGATTCGTTTATTTTGAGTTGTTACTCAACATCTATGGCAATGAATGTCGGAGAGGACTTTTCATGCCCTTATGTTAAAGGAAGAGTTTGTAATTGAAATGCATTATTGGGGGATTCTTGGCAGGTAAAATAGTTTATAAGAAGTTAAAGGAGGCAGACCAGTATGTTGCTAGGGGTCTGGTTAGGACAGAAGAGAGCAAAGAGAGCATTGGTGGAGCAGATGATATTTTTATTGGAGATATAAGGGATGCCAACAGCATTCTACCTGCAATTCAAGGCATTGATGCTCTCGTTATCCTTACAAGTGCTGTGCCAAGGATGAAACCTGGATTTGATCCAACCAAAGGTGGGAGGCCTGAATTCTATTTTGAAGATGGGTCAAATCCTGAACAGGTATGTGCCTTCATTTTTATGATTTTTGGAATCACGGTTTTATGTGGTTGTAGAAAAATATTTATTTTTGTAGTTGTGGTTTTTCCTCCTTGTTTTAATATATCGTTTTGCATCTTAGGTTGATTGGATTGGACAGAAAAACCAAATAGATGCTGGTGAGAATTTTTATCCTTCCTTCCATTTATTCAAAACATGGTCTATTTGGCTTGTACTTTGTGAATTGTATGGTAAATCCCATTTTGATTTATATGATGAATGTTAACAGCCAAGGCTGCGGGAGTGAAGCAAATTGTGTTAGTTGGGTCTATGGGTGGAACAGATATTAATAATCCCCTCAATAGCTTGGGTAATGGGAATATATTGGTCAGTAATTCCATTCTACATTTGAGTTACCTCCTTTTCTGCTAGCTTTTCAGCGTTCTGTTTGTAGAAATGGAATTTCACTTTGATTTATTCCTTCCTTCTTATAAGTTAATTATAAAAGTGATATGCAATATGTTCGCTATACAGGTTTGGAAGAGGAAGGCTGAGCAGTATTTGGCTGACTCTGGTGTTCCATACACAATCATAAGGTTGGTCTAGTTATATTCATACTTATTCAAGCAATATATTCGTAACATCATTGGCTGGTTTCCTTACTACTGTTACAGAAAATTTGAAGTATTTATATGACCTTAAACCTCACAATTGAAAAAGTAGGAATCCTAAGCGTTGTTTATGCTACTTAGCATTGGGTTTTTATTCTTCAACAAAATGGCACTTTTAAAAACCCACATAATCCTTTCTTTAGCTGCAGATACTAAAACTTATAGAACTAGTTGTGTGGTATGTGCATCAGTCAAGTGTACAATAGGAATTCAAATCACTATATTGTTGTACCTAGCAATGCTGGAAACTAGTCATTATACAACTGATACTTTTTGTTATTCTCTTTAACTATCCAATTAATCTAGACCACTATTAATGAATTAGGGCTGGAGGCTTGCAAGATAAAGAAGGCGGTATCCGTGAACTACTGATTGGAAAGGATGATGAGCTTCTGAAGACAGAAACAAGAACCATTGCCAGAGCTGATGTTGCAGAAGTCTGCATTCAGGTATTGTGTGTAGGGGCTGTGCAAATAAACAGTTTCCTAGTTTCATTTTTCTCTTCTTACCTCGAACATGGGTCTTCTGGTTGTGCAGTATCTGTTTTTTGGTTAATGGTGGTGCATTCTACTAATTTGTTTGCTTTTTGTATGCCCTTTTAATTTGATCAGGCACTACAGTTCGAGGAGGCCAAGTTTAAAGCATTTGATTTGGCCTCAAAGCCTGAGGGAACTGGGACACCAACCAAGGATTTCAAGGCTCTATTTTCCCAGATCACTACTCGGTTCTGATTTTCTGCAGATACCTTGTTGGTCTGGGAACAATATTATACCCTATCAAGTTTTATTTTAGAACATCTACTTTCAGTTTTGGATTGTAATGCCAAAGAGATGATATCCCTTTATGGGTGTTTTAAAAAAAATATATATAAAAAATTACTGGGAAAGAACGGCAGAAAATAAACTAGCATATTAAGATGTTTATCAGTGAAACAATGTTAAAGAGTATGCATCCCCTAGTTTTATATGGTCGTCTAGCATCTTATTTGGGTTGCCTGAGCTTGTCTAATAATAATTCAAATGCTCATTATCGTGAATGGAGTGTAAGATCAAGTGGCGGTGTTATGGTCTCACCCGAAAATTACTCAAAAGGTTTATATTCAATATTCAAAGAAAGAAAGAAAAAAAAAAGAGGATAAAACCCGGTATTTTTCTTTATTATTGTTTCTTTTTCCTCCTTAGTTTTTCAGTATCGGCTAGGCGCTAGTAAATGGGCCAGTTATGTGGGCTCTGGGTCGATGCCTGACTTGAGTAGCTCTAAGGTTCGAAAAATCGGCTTGGGCGCTAGTGATATGATAAAGTAGTGCAAAAAGGAAACGTGGTGCAAATAATAATTTAATAAACTTGCAAAACGACGCCGTAGCCGCTAGCGATATAATAAAGTGGTGCAAATATTTCAAACAAAGAAAAAGAAAAGAAAAAGGAAATGTGGTGCAAATAATAAACATGCAAAACGACGCCGTAGCAGGAACAAAAAGGGAAAGAAAATATCATAAGGCGCGCTCGAGTCGAACCGCAGCTGAAGATGGCGGTTGTTACGTTGGTTAACTACCATAAACCTCTGGCTATAACTGTCCAATCCCAATCGCAAAACCCTAGCTTCAATTCCCGCAGAATTAACCCCAATCAATTCCATGCCTGGAGGGCTCGCCGTCGCCCCATAATCAATGGACTGAATGGAGACACAGAATCCGACCCGGACAATCCACAAGGTACTCTCTCTCTCTCTCTCTCTCTCTCTCTCTCTCGATTTCCGTACATACTGAAAATGCTCACCAAGCAGTTCGCTTGTAAGCAGATAAGGAAGTGGACAATTTGGGAGTTAAAGCTGCATTATGTGTGCTCAAATTCTACAAAAGTACGCATCTTTTTTTCTTCTTCTTTCTCTGGGAGTTGCTTTTAATTATTACTTATCGTCAATTTAAACGTGATTAAGAAAGTCATTGACTGTTAATTAGTAATAATAATGGTGGGTATGACTAAATTAAGCAAATTTGTGAAAGTGCAGGGGAAATCTCACCTCTGTTGCTGAATAGTTGCCGGTATGTCCCAACCTGCAGTGAGTACTCAATGCAAGCTTACAAGAAATATGGATTTGCAAAAGGTTCAGTCTTGACAGCTTGGCGAATCTGTCGTTGTAATCCCCTTGGTAATTAAACACATTCTTAATTTTGCTGGGTTTCTTTTTATTCCTTCAAATTCTTTTGGGTCTTTACATTTATGTGAATTGTTCGTTTCTCATTTTTAGGTGGCACTGGATATGATCCTCCTCAATGGTTCGACGAGACAAGTTTGCCTGAAGAAGAATAGATGAATTATGTCACATTCCCTGTATAAGATTAAAAGTTCGTTCTTTTTTTTTTTTAATACAAAAGATACTGAGAGAGGAAAAATCGAACGAAAACTTCGGTACATGAATGAATGCTCTTAACCGCTAGAAGCCTTATGAGACGTTGACCCTACATTACATTATTTTATGGTTCTGCTGCCCCACAACATGATTAAAGTCGTTAAGTACCTGTTTATCATCCATAAAATATGATTTGCCCCGACAATTTAGTACCAGGTTGAAGTATGTATTAAATGGGCATAAATTAATAGTTAGTGGGACTCATGTACTGGTCCTTCCAATCCAATGAAGCAGCTTTGCATTTGATCCCAAAGACCAGTTTCTTTTGTGCGTTGTCTTGTATTGCCTTGCCTGGCGAATCAAATTCCATTTCTATGGTGGTAGTCAGACTCAGATACCAAATTCTATAAGCAGGCCAACTCCAGATGCCTCTGGCGGAGTATGACTTGAGCAAAAAAGAATATGGTATTTCAGAAAAAGTTTAAATCTTTTAAGGAAGTGGGTAAGATTGTTTTTAAAAAGCCACATAAGCTAATAAACAAGGGAAATCCCAATCACAACGAATGGTACAACTGTGTTAGAGAGAGAGAGAGAGAGAGAGAGAGGAGAGAGAGAGAGAGAGAAACACAACTGGTATGAAACTGCACAGTTTTCTGTTCTGCTTCTTAAATTGAACAAAGATTGTGAACATGGTGACAAACTTTTACCTTGCTCAAGGTAAGTGTTACAAAATTCTTCAAGACTTCAAGACTCTACAGGGAGACAAAGCACCAAACCAATGACCATCCCTTATAATGCATGATCCATAATTAACCATCAACAGTGAAAGTCAGCTACCCCCTTTACCTGCCAGATTATCAACAAATGTGAGGAGGGCAATAATAAGGAAGGAGAGAGAGAGAGAGAGAGAGAGAGAGAGAGAGAGAGAGAGAGAGAGGAGAGAGAGAGAGAGAGAGAGAGAGAGAGGATAAAAGATAACAAAAACTTAAATCAAGCAACACAATTACCTTGAATCGCTCCAGTATCTTTGTTGAAAGCCGAAGGGCTAAGAAGCAGATTACAAGCACTAATAACTGTGCCTTTTGAAGTTTCTTAAGCAGGTTTCCAAGTAGAAAGGGCATAGACAGTTCGTCCCTTCCATCCCTGCAACAGCCAGCGACTATCTTCATCAATGACAAAATCCTTGTGGTAACCAGATCTCACTTTCTCACCTGCCCTCTTCACAAGCCCTCGGTCTAAAGGTAGTTGCACAAACCCAGCCCTCAAGTTACGGACTTGCCATTGTTTGTATGTTTCTGGCCTTTCCACCCGCTCCCATCCTTCACAAGCTATAACATTTAATGCCTCCCTGCCAAAGATCTCTGTCTCAATAACATCCTCTCCCGGTCCTCTCGGGGTACAACAGTTTCAAGCATATCAAACAGCGAAGAAAAATGAAACAATGCCTCTCGGAACCTGGTAACAAAGAAGGGGGCATTAAACGCCCCGTTAACAATTCCATGGATGAAAAGGTCTGGATTAATTCTCCTTATCAAATCAAGAACCCTGTTTCTTGGACTGTCCACAGCCACACTTTCATCAAGCAAGTTCTTGCCCCGATATAAAAAGTTCACAACAAGAACCTCATCCCTGTCAATCTTGAGTTCTTCAAGTTTAATGGTATCCCAGTTCTTTGCAATAGCATTGTACTCAAATGGCACGTTGAACTTCTCAGCATAAGCTGCCAAACGATGTCCTGTTTCCTCAACTCGCTCAGCTGGCCGAAATCCTGGTTGGGGAAATTCGATTCCAGTAATCCGAAGCCTTGGAGGTCCACCATCCCTCCAGGAGATACGTTGAATAAGGGTGGGCCATTGGAAACCATAAAGGATACCGAAATCTATGACATGGACCCTTGTCGCATTTTGTGCTAGATTCATTATTGTCTTGTTTGAAACAAAATTAGATATCTTCTTAAATGGGGATGCAGCAAGGTATAGATGGTGAGCTTTCAAGAAATCAGCAGCAGAGGTTCTTTTGCTAACAAGGGCTTTATAAATCTGGCTACCAGTACCAGCCAAGCGTGCCTCAAGGCCATCAGCAAGGCAATGAGCAAGTCTCTGAGTCCCATCTCCAAAAGGAGAAGAATGCTGTCTGACCTTTTTTAGCAGTTCATTTGCGCTTCTATGATCATCAGCTGCAACTGCTTGTGCACAACTGATTAAGAGGGTTCTCAAATCCACCACCTCCTTTTTACCAGTTTGTTTCTTACCACGACCTTTCCCTCCATTTGATCCTTTGGATTGCCCATTCTGTGGCACGCTTTTGCTCATTCCATTCTGCAAGGCCTCGCGAAGAGATTCCAAGCGCTCCCGACCCTCCCCTGTGCTACAAAGCAATACAGTATCGAACAGCTCTGACCGCAGAGTAGATTCTGTAGAAACAGCTGCTTGCTTGCTACTCCTTGATTCCTCTACATCGTCATCCTCCCTATACAGATTCTTCCTTCCCCTTGATCCACTACGAGAATATTCTCCTTCATCCTTTTTCTCCACCTTGACAACTTCACCATTGGTCCCGACCTTTGGCACTTGAGCCGACAGCCCATTTGCCTCCAGGTTAACAACCAACTTAGTCTCACCAGGAAGAAATCTCCTAGCCTCCTCAACTCCCTTCTTGAACTGCCAAACAGATTGGCTCTCGGTATTCAAATCTGGCATATGAAGACTACTAGGAGAGTCCACCTGCCCATCCAGGCTACTGACCCTAGTTGAAGAGCCATAACGTGATTGAGAAATGCTATAAGCTGGAAGACCCTTTAACTGAGACAAATATCCATCTGGACTTTGAATCAAGGTATTGTCACTGAAATAGCCACCACTGTTACAAGTACTCGTGATATAGTTGCTCTCAGTTCCAGAAAAACTATCCCCTGGGCTCTCACCATATTGAATGGCATAATCCTGGTGTAGCTCTGGAGAAGGGGGATATTTCTTTCCAAGGACCTCATAGAATGACTTCTCAGCCGCTTGAAGTTCCAAAGACTCTTGAAGCATGCAAGTCTTGTCCTCCATGTCTTCTTCCATAAGCATCTGGTTTATGTACTTCAAGACTACATCCGAAAAGTCACAATCTTCCTGAGAATCGTCCTCAGGGCTCACACTTGCGTATGAAGATACATTATTCGGGGTAAGAACGGGTTGAGGGTAATTAAATTCCCTATAATTATTATCTAAGAAGGTATTACTATCGAATTGGGATTGGGCCATGATGTTCGGATGTGAAAGAATGGGTAAAACTCGGTTCCCTAATTGGACTCCATTGAAAGAATCAGAGAAAGCCCTAAGACGACGATCCATTGTCATGAACTTTGTAATTACTCTACAGTCTCTATAGAAACCCAACTAGGAGAGAGAACCCAAATCCAAAAAAGCTGCAGAATTTCCTTCCAAATTAGTTTCCTTCTTCAACCTAAAAAACCATTAAAATACCAAAATGAAAATGGGAACCTCCACAAGTACATCTACAAACCTTCAAACTTCAAAAATTCACAAACTAAAGCATCTTAAACAACAAGAAACACCAAAACTTCACAGCATAATCAGAGAAAAATCACTGAAACAAGTAGCTTTTCTCAATTATAAAAATATAATTAGTTAATTCAATATGAAGGTCAACTATGAACAGAAATAACTTCAAAAACCCAGGAATGCTACAACAAACAAAACCTCTAATCTACTTGGGTTATGTCAAACCACAAAATATCAAAAGCTTACCGCTGAGTAGAGCTAAGCCTGAAGCGAGCAGAGAGATTGCAGAAGAGAGAAGCAGAGCGAGCAGAGAGATGGAACACAAAGGAGAGCTCACGTTGTTCTTTCAAGTTTTTAAGGTTGTCTTTCTGGGTTATTAGACGAAGACCAGCCGTTGATTTCAAGCTTTCACCGGGTATAGCCTGTCCATATCATGAGACGAACCGGTTTCATCTTTGTCTTCCCGTGTATCATGACCCTCTGGACGACGTTGCCTATTCCTGATTGCCACGTGTCCATCAGAAAACGAAATATTGTCCCACGTGGCTCATTTCTCTTTCCACTTTTGCAGAACAAGCCTAGTCACTTCACCCCACTTTCACTTTGTTCAGATTTACAGAAATGCCCTTGTATTGTCAAGATTTTAGAACCTCATAATGAATGCAACGTTTCTATTTGAATGATCCAAATTTTTTCTTGTTTTATGCAAGTGATACTGAAAAAGGGGGTTCTAACAGAAAATCTCGGGGACATAGGTGGTTTTCTTAACCATTTGAGTTATAAATTTTTTACTATGAAGCTGGTGTAAACATAATTTGTCATTTAATCTTCTTATATGAGTTCGAAAAATGAGGATGAATCGTCTCTTATTTGAGTCATGCTATAAATAATCGCTTAAGAACAATTCCTCTTGTTTTATAAGAACCCAAAACGTTTATTTTGTTTTGTGAGTTCATTTGCCAAATATGGAAATAAATCCCACTCTCATCCTCCAGTCCACTGTCAAATTTTGGAAAAAGGCTCTAGATTTTAAGAGAAATATTTTCTAACTGACATGTTTTTTTGGTCAAGTCATAAAGATTTTATGTTCAAATAACCGTCACTGATAGTGATTTTCTTTTGTTAATGACAGTGATTTAAAAACATTTAAAATGTTTGACATAATTATTCTAATATAAAAAAAAGTTTGACAAGAATAGCAAGAGAAAGGAGTGTGACACATGAGCATGGGAATGGGGAGGCATATTTCTGATGGCAGAAAGAGCCATTAAAGCAAGGACGAAATTTTAATTCTGAGAGGGACAGAAAGTGCTTTTGCTCATTAAAAAAAAGTGCTTCCATCGTAGGTTGACTCCTTCAATTGGTTGTCATCCGATTTGCCATGTGTGATTTGTGTGGCTTTGTGCTGTCTTTGATTTTTGTTATGCCACTAACAACAATTAACAATTAAATAATAACCCAAGTTGAAGACTAATGTTCGATGGTCATTGGTCAAAAAACATAATTTAGTCCTGTTTCTGGTAACTATTCGATGAATTACTCGTAAGTTGCAAGTACATAGGACTCAGTTTTTAAAGAAGAAAACGAGTCCTCACCATTGTGTTTGAATGGAAAATCAAATTACCCTTTTGACTATGGTGGGCATGTTTAAGGTACTTTTAAACAATTTCAATTAGTTTTTTATACTAGAGATATTTTAGGAGAGGGAGGGGGTTTTCTCACATATACATTCTCAACGTGTCATGGAAGTTCGAACTTGAAACCACTGATTTGCAAGTGAAGATCCTTTTCATGGGTTGGCTTAAACAATTTTAATTATAAATTAAGATTAAAGCTTAAAAAAATTGATCAACCCAAGTTAAGCACATGCCACACCAAGGACCACCAATTAGAAACAAACCAATTGGAATTCCTTCACATGCTCCATTGTCTTTATAGAAATTAGTAAACCATGTGTTGAGTGCAGTGAGGCTTCAAGTTTATAGATCTTAGTTATGTATATGATATAGTGGGTAAGTGATTCTGTTGTTGATCAGGGCATACTAATAGTCTTTTATGTTGTCAGATTGCAATTAAGATCATTGATTAAGATAAATAGTGCTTAAGACTTATGGTGCAGTCTGCATCATCAATGACGGCAATTGCAAACCGATTAGTATAAGATACATGAACCCAAAATAAAAAACTTAACCAACGCAGAAAAATAACAAAATACTATTTGAATGACGGATATAAAAACTCAGAAAAAAGACGGACAAAATTGATTTCAAGGAGAGACAGAGAGGATAGGAAATATAAGTATCTTCATGCACTGGCATAAAATCTTGGCAGAGAATCAAACAATTTGTCATATTATATATATTCCATGTGATGTCTGGTGGATTTTATGAAGTCTCAGAGCATACTCCAGTTGCTGCATAAACAATCATTTACATATCACAAGACTCTTCTTAACTGGGAAAGGATAGATTGGTGTCTTGTGGATCAAGTGAGAGAAATAGCATATTACATCAAGTCTCATTTACATGACATTTTTCTAGCTGTTACATTTACATACATGATACAGATACCCTCTTCTTCCCAGTTCTTTTTTATACAAAGCATAGGCCTCAGACTGCTGCTTTGACCTGTTGCTTGGAGCGCCGCTGAGACCAGCAGGCATGGGCAGCTAGGACCCTGTCCAGAAGCTCCTGCGGAACGGGCTCTCCCCTCCTTTGCTGGGGGGAGATTCTTGCTGTGTGTACCAATGTTTTCCACTTGTCCTGCACCACTCCCAATTTTCCACATTTTGTTAGGAGGGCAACAATGTTGTACATCTTCTAAGGCCATGGGCTATCATAAAGACTAAGCTGATATAAGGCAGCGGCTTAACTGCTTTAAACCTCAAAACTGAATATTCAAAGTGTAAAAGGGTGTTTAACAATATTCAAACTACATGAGGTTGAAAAACGAACTATAGATGAATTCAGGGAAAAAATACTAACCCGAAAAATCCATTTGACCTTGTACTCAAATTAATAACTCACCTTCAAATCCACATAAGTTCGATGTTTTGCACCATCAAAAGCACGCAACTTAACGTCACGCCACCTGCAACCCAAGAAAACTGTCACATAGTCTGCATCATGATACTAATATTCCTTGACCATAGCGAAGCGATAATGATCAAACCAACCTTCCTGTTCCGAGTTTCTCAACAGCTTGAACCAATGCTTCTACTTCTGGAACAGAGAAAGGTCTCCTGATCCGGCGCTGTACATACTCTGGATGCCCAGATTTCCGATGAAAAGGAACCACAGCCAATGCATTCATGCTAATTGGTGGAACTGCAACCAGAGCTTGGGATGCTTGTGGGGTTTTTTCAGTAGAGGTACTAGGAAGAGAGGGAACTGCGTTGAGGTCTCTTTTAACACAACCACCAAAATTTATTACTGGAGGATTCGGGGAGACATTTGAAGTCCCTGGTTGTGACACCAAAGATGCAGAATGCCTGACAACAAAACATACCCTCATGAATATAAGGCAACCAGATTAACTCTTAGATACCGAAACTAGGAATAATGAGAGTATGAGCTGCAAGAGTGGGGAAAGAACCACTACAAGATGTTCCAATTCATAAGCTAACACTTACTAAACCATTACCTGGTTAACTCCCGAGATCTGCCAGATGGCAAAGAAGGATCTTTGCTGCGTGGAGAATACGTAAGCTTTGCACGTTTTGGCTCCAACATAAAGCCCAAATTACGACTCTTCTCATCCTGAGAAATCCCAGTCTGAAGTAGAGTTTTGTTGTCATCTCTGACCTTTTTTCCCCGGACCAGGATGCCAACGTGTAATCCATCTCCAAGTATGGATGTTACTGCCTCCATTACTGTCCTCTACAAAAAAAAAAAAAAAAAAAAAACAAAAAAAAAAAAATACATCATATTAAATTAAATCAAAATAATAGCATGAGATTTCTTGAACCGTATTTGGATCCATTTTTCTTCCCAACATAATTAAGAGGTCAAATGAAATACGCAAAAATGGAAAAAGACTGTATGATAGAGAAAGATTGCATACCTTCAGCATATTCTTAATCGTAATTGATAAGTCTAATTTCCAGCTATGAACTACCTAGAAAGCAAAATGCCTCCTTATTCCTGATGCCCCAAAAGTACAAACGCAGGGATGAAACTTAACATTCCACCCAACCAACCTTGATTGGTCTAAGGAATTGCAATCACCCAATCATCTATGTCAGCCATGCTAAGTTTTCCAGCTTAAAAAGTATCGAAATAATGTCAAGAACTACTTATTTGATAAGTTGAAGTAACCTGCAATGGCTTTGGTGAAACACATTTGATTTGACTAAATGTTTCACATGACATTCTAAAATCCACACCATATCTTTATCCCCCACCACCACATCAAAAATAGAGTTAGGCTTAAATGTTAATTGTTTCTTGAAACCTAGGGAAACAATATGGAAGCAAAGTTAAAATATCAACAGCTCGGAAAAAGGTAATAACACAAACCTTCAATGAACCAACAGTTGCGGTTGCAGGAATTTCAATAAAGAGATCAGGAACCTTGAAGGATTTAATACTAAGCTTCACTGATTAACAAAAGGAAGAGTGTGTAAGAAAATTATAAAGTAAAATGGCAATATGTAGTATAATTCCAGACAACGTCAATAGATATTCTTACCATTGCAATCACTGGACTTGAGTGGTACTTGCCCACCTGTTGTTGAGGATGATGGTCCAATTTCTGCATTTAGGAGCTAGGATTGTTAAGCCAAACTTGATACATCCCTAAAACCTAAACCTTCAATGTAAATGGAGAGTATAATGTGCACTGTGCACATGTGTAGAAAATGGAAAGCGGACAGTATGCATCATTGAACCTGCGCAGTAGTTGTCACTATTTACTCTCTTATCAGGAGAATTAAATATGCTTTCGCAGTTAAACCCTCTATCAGGTGTAGTGAGTGGCATCCGATTAAAGAACTTTCTCTTTTTGAAAGGATAAATCTTCTGTGATCTTTGATGTGTATAACAAGTTCTCCCGTGGCGGTAAATTTGCCTGATCTTCCCATCTGAAAGCATCAAACCACCATCAAAGCATATTTATCATAACAAACATAAAATCCAGAAACGTTTAGTCAATACACCAAAAAGGGCACAAGAGAAAATGTTTCTATCCTAAGCCAAGGATATTGATAGGAAACTAATATCAATTGCACGGTTCGTGAAATCCAACAGACTAATCATAACACCTACAACTTACTTTACATTCAAAACAAGAGTGCATTACAAAGCCAATTACCATTTCTAGAATAACCCCCAATCCTCATCTCAGGAGCTACTCTCCAGTGCCTGGACGCAGCCAGATTATTTATTTTCTCATCACTGGCGTCTGGTGGGTGATCAAATTCTTTTACCACGCTGAGGGGTTGGGCATACCTAACACAGTTTTCGTCATCATCTCTACTATCTACTTTAATATTAGCACAATGGCAGAGTAAAGGATCATGATTTTTGCAGTCCCCTGAAAAGGAAGTCTTTACATCATGCCCACAACTGACCAGTTCAGGAGGCATCCCTTCCACTTTCATTATATCCTCAGAATTGCCTAAAATCTGGGTTCTTTCATCCTTTATGCTCGTATCCTTTGATGGTCCAGTCTCTAGCTTCCTCTTAAGTACACCCCGTGGCTTCTCTTCAACAGAATCTCCAGATAAGGGAGAGTCACTGAATACTTTGTTAGAATATATACTCTCTGAATGATCAAAACTTTTTGATGCTCGGTTGATCTCATAACTAAAATTTTCCTGAGAATGTGAAACCCCATTCAATGTATAACTTTGTTGGCACTCTTGCATCCTGCCCACACATAAAAGGGTTTGCTCATCACAGCTTCCGCGCTCACACGGGTCTTCCTTTGACAAGTTTCCTTTCTCCTGTTTGCTCTGAGTGGTATCATCAAAAATGAAATGCACGTCCTTTCCACAAGAATCATTTGTTGGCAGAGGATGTTCGCTCTCCTGCAATAACTTACCAGCTACACTGGCCAAAATCTCAAAAGCACGAATCTGATTGGCCTCTAGTTTCTTCTTGATAGGTCCCCTTCCCTGAACCAAAAATATTAATAGATCACAAGATCAGGACTCCTTGTACACACAAAATAGAATGTCAACAGGCAACCCAAAAGATTGGTCATGGGAGCCTTTACCCTGGCTGATCTAGAAGCTCGAGGAACCTCAGGCACCTGGTAGCCATTGAAGCCATAGTCCAACCTCCGCTGCAATACCATATCTCAGACTTTCATCGCAAGTAGAAAAAGTCATCTGCTAAAAGTAACAAGCTTCTTTAATCTCAAGGCCTACAGAACAAGACCCTGTTAGCTAACCAAAATTAATGCAATCAGTTCAACATCACAAGATAAAAACAATGACATGAAATTCACTTATGCGTTGAGGAATGGAAAATATAGAAATTTGTGAAAAACAAGTAGCAGAATTGGCAGCCAGGAAATTCTTGCATCAAATGCATGTGAAGAAAGAAAAAAGGTAAAATACCACTGCATGGGGTGAAGCTGGGCTGTATGATGTAAATAATAGACTAATACTGATGAAACTAGAACAAAACTTGTACTTCAACCAAATAAATATCGCATCAAGGTTAAGAGGCCGGATCAACAAAAAAGGAACATATATGAAAGAAATTGTTGGGTGGTTTATAACTTAATACGAAAACGAATTTATGTGTCCTAATCCCATGAATAAAAGAACACCGACCAAGAACACTGGGACACAAAAACATCAAACAAATCGTACTCTTTCTTTAACAACGGGTACATAATGCAGATAAGATCTTATATGCTTTTAAGTGGTCTTGTACCAATTGCTGCAAAACCCAAAGTTCTAAAGTCAAAATGAGATCTGCACTAAGAGAAGACCAACTTTGGGACCAAATTTAATTCAGTGAAGTACAACTCAAAAAACGGAACAACAGAAGATCATAATCAAAATAAATTCCAAAAACTCTGTGCAACCAAATGTAGCTTTTCTGCTTTCCTTCCCTTTCCCCTGGGAAATTCGTTCAGTTTCATTTCTGACCAATCATCTTCATGACTACTTCCAGATCGGCAAAATCTAAGGAGTGAACAAAAATATATATAGACCTACATATTCTCCTATATAAAGTAAATAAAACAAAGGAAAATCAAATGCAGAAATTACTAGAATGGTATATGTGTGAGGCAATGCAGACAAGAAGGCTTACAGTTAAAAGGGTAAAGAAGGCTTACAGACAAAAGGGTAGTTGGAAAACCTTGAAATCATCCCATTGCAGAATACAATATATGTCAACTTGTTCCTAAATAAGACCCCTCAGTTTCTACAAATCATAACAAAGTTAACACCTTTTTTATGTCACGAAGGCATAACTTAACATATGTATTAGTATATAAAAGAACAGGAAGCCAACGTTAAACCCTCTGACAAAATGTAAAACGGCAGATCATCATATAGTTCACTGGTTCAAACATCATATTTATATTTGACAGAGAGAGAGAGAGAGAGAGAGAGAGATAGAGAGAGAGACTTCTATATTAAAAGAAATGAAAGAATTACAATTCCACCAGAAAGTAAGTTTACATGAGAATGACGGGAATTTGGAAGACAAAAATTCGAAGAAATTCAAATGTGCAAACACACAAGAACACATCAGGGCAAGCATATTAAACAGAAAAATATGAGATTTTAGAAAAATACACGCAAAATTTGATCTGGGTTCTCATTTTCATGTATGAAAATATAAATCCCTGCCTGAAAAGAAAGGATTACTCTTGTTTTTTCTTATAAGGGACACAGAAAGCAGTGTCTAAAATACACATAATATTCTCACCTCACCTATGAAAGTGGGTTCTGTCTGATCACCAAAAACCCCCTGAAAACCACCCAACTTGTTTCTTAAACCCCCCAACTGTTTATAAAGTTTGAACTTCATCCCCATAATTGAGCTAACCGGTAACTGGTGGGAGTTTACCGGCTACAGCAGTTAACAAAAACCTCTTGGACCAGTTCCTACGTTTGAGCCACATCAGTCCTGTTCTTGACACGTGTAAGTCTCTCCATAATTCTGGGTTGAATCTTATCTCGTTCACATAAAAACAATGCACTTTTTCTGTACGTACGGGAGAGGTTCAATCATCTTTGCTGCTCTTCCTAGGCCCTTCCACCGTGTTCCACGTTCCTTGTCTTCTGTTTTTTGACCAACTCATACCAAGGCTTTTGTGTGTATAAAAATACCTGAATTATTTGCTCATATAAGAACTTGTCCCAAAGTAATAAAAATCTGCACAACTCCCAACTTATAACTTGTTGATTCCTCAACAAATATGTTCTCATTGTTGATGTATATCGATAATCTTGTTGATCAAATTTGATTTGAACTCGGAATCTTTTTCAACAAAATTAAATTAACGCGTTTCAACAAAATTAAATTAGCGCGCTTTAAACATAATTGTGGACTACCCCACACATACACGCGTGGTTGTGTAAGTTGGTGAAGTGTGGAGTCCAATTAAAGGGGCAATGAGAGCTTGCCAAAATTATTAAAACTCAAACGAATTATATGGACACTATGATTGTCTCTCTAAGATGAAAAAGTTGTAGACATGTCTCTCTCTCGTTGGGGTAGTTGGACAAAATTTATGACATGAAAGCTGAAGTAGCATCCAATTTTAGACGGAAAACAAATATCCAATCACTTCGTATAAACCCAAAAAGCAAACCCACATTACAATGGCATGAGGTCCATGAATTCACGAGATGGGATTTCATTGGAAGAGGTAAAGCTAGCATTCCAACATGCTAAGAGAGGCAAAGAACGATAAGTTGAGGGATAAGGGTGGCATATTTTTTGTGGTGAGAGAGAGAGAGTGGATAAGGGAGGACCAAGTGAAAAAGGTCTGAAAGGGTCTTGAGAGTACGGACAGGAAGGAAATTGAAAGAGAACGCAGGCCACAATGTGACCTCTTTTTCGCATCGGTTTACGTCAGCCAACTGAAAGACAAACCCATGTTTCTCTGAAAAAGAGGCTCGCCAAGAACTTTGGAAGCAGCCCACAGCCTTTACACGTGCGAGCCACCACCACCATCACAACAGCACATAATTATGCGTGCCTGTCTCAGGACCACCATCACTACCATCTCTTTCATTGTATTCTAAACCCTAACTCACAGATACCTCATTAACAGAGCTATTCCGTACGATATTCAGAGAAATTGTCACACAAGAACGAGTCAGATTTCCAACCTTCAATTGCTTTTCATAATAAAAGATTGCAAAAGATCTACCACCACAACACATCAATGTCATAGCTAGGAAAGCCTATCCGTCTTATAATTCCATCATGATACTGACTCCCAAGGGGAGCGAGCGAAGGTAAGAATAACAAATAAATAAGCGAAACTATTATACAAGCAAAACAATCACATGATACACCTCAAGCAGCAGCCAAATTCTCATATTGCCAGGGGTTGAACTCTATTGATTTGACGTCAATCGCTTCAACGCTGTCTGAGTTATCTACTGCAGCCCGATGTTCAGTGTATTTTCCATTGTAACGGTACACTTCCATGTCATCCCACGTTGTAGGACAGATTTCATCTGTTTTGTCAAACCATCTTGGAGTAAACTCCTGTCCCTTTGCCACTCGATTTTTCTTCTCATCTCTCTGTCTCTCCTCCAGACTGACAAAAAGTAGGTAGACATATTTAAGATGTCAGTTTTTACCAATGATTTTCATATTTCAATTCAATCTTCTTACTGTATTTTGTGTGTGTGTGTGTGTGTGTGTGAGAGAGAGAGAGAGAGAGAGAGAGAGAGACCTGCTCTTTTCAAAACCCGCTTTGGATAGGTCACCCTGCTCCAGTGCGTATCTATCAGGACGCAAGCGAGAGTCTGATGCCAATAACTTCTTAGGAGCAGTGTCAAAGCTATTTATCTTATGCGCAAAATGTGTGTACTGGAATTTATCATTTTCTGGAACATCAGCAACTCTCCACACCTGCAATGCAACATTGAATAATTTCCTATGAGTTTACTGAAAGGAACAAACAAAGAAAAAAGTTTGTTGCTAGGTCACCATAAATGGACAAAAAAAAAGTTCTCAACTAGTACGCTAGTCCTCTGATATGACAAATAGGAAGGAACAAAATAAAATAGTTACCAATCTTCTCAGTCTTTGGGGAGATAAATAACATGGCATCACGATCATGAGAATGCACTCAATACAAAATTCAAAACTGGCCATGAAAACAATAGGAGTGCCTATGAACTATAAAGATTAGTTGGTTTCTACAAATTCATACACCAACTGGACGCCAGATATGTAAAGGACAAATATAGCTATCAATGACCTCAGGTCTGAACCTGCAATTCCACTTTGCAAGAACCATACAGAAGTCCACTCCAGGTTTTCCTAAATAAGATTCTACAAGTTACAAGATGTAGCTGGTAAAACCTAACCTCTTTCAGTTCAGTGCCAGGAAGTGGTTCCCCTTCTGAGTCACAGGGTTGATAACTCATTGACTCGTTCCATTTTCCAGTCATCAATATTTTAGGCTCCTCGGCAGAATTATAAACATACCCATCTACTTCATAGCGACCAGATCTGCAAGCACAATATTTTATCAGATCAAGCGTGAAATCAACATAGAGCATACACTAGGATAACTAAAGATTAAAAAGCCTTGAACCCAAACCAAGTCATTATCCCAAAAGACTGGAGTTGACTACATATATCTCTTTCCACATTAGTTTTGGCTCTCAATTTGGGGTTTTTCCCCTGGCCACTCAGTCTGGTCTAAAATCTTGGTGTTATCAATTTTTGTTTCGGATCACTGCATCCCAGGAGTATATTGTGCCCAATCAGGAGTAGGTAACTAATAAAACAACAAGAAGGTAGGTTCACAATGTTACAGTTATTTTTTTTTTAATAGAAGCCTAGAAGATAGTTTTAGACCTGAAACTTCGATTGTATGACCAAAATACCTTCCCACAAGATGTTACTCAATAAGCAGTCATGTGATGCAAACAATGCTACAAGTGATGAGCAGTGAACACTACAATAGAAAGGTAGTCATACCCAAACCAGCCGCATGGTTGAAAATATAGCACAACTTTGTCCCCCGTGGTCAAATTGGTCAGAACCATATCTCCTGGTGAATCAACCCATGTTCGTCCAAAAATTAAGTTGTTAACTTTTGTTGGAGGGGGTGCCAAATCAAGGACTATGCCATCTTTTTTGAGGGTCAAACGCGTTCTGCATAAAAAACAATTAAAGGTTACACAAGTTATTACTAAAGAGTACTACGCAATTTCATCTCTTGCTTAAACACAAATCATTAGATGAGGAAAATGTTTTCATTTTCAATCTCATGATAAAAGGTTACCATTACAATTTCAAAGGAGTTAAGAAGATACAAAATCACTTAGTAACAAAATTATAGCCACAGAGAAAGATCAAATAATGTTACCTTCCGACTGGATAGATATCAATTGAGTTCCCTAGAAATTTGGTTTTCACCTTCGAAGTTATGTCGTAAATGAAATGCTCATTTTCAGCATGACCAGCACTCATAGGAGGGTGATGACTGACCTGGAAGGAATACAAGAACATAAATTCATTTAAAAATGATAATGATAAGCATCCCAGTATATACCAAACAACTTGAGATTCATGCAAATAAATAGAAAGTGCTTTTATTTTCATCCCAAAGCACCATAAATTATAACTAAACAGATAATTGCTAGTTTTGGTGCTTAGTACTTACCTGTTCTGATATAAACGTAATGCCACCATGGTTAACCATCTCATAAGTCTCACCAAGTATTGGATTGAATGGCTTCCAGGTTCGTTGAAAGGCAAAGTAAACAGATATAAAAATGAGGCTGCAACCAGCAACTGTAAGTTAGTCATCATACAGTGCATGAAAAAACAGAAAAGGAGAGGGAAGTGAAGTGGAAACAGCAATGCCTATACAGAGCAGAGATACAGAAAATACTTACAAGCATACACCAACCTCATGTATGGATCCTCACATTCATCTGCCAGATCTAACAGATGGGAGTATTCCATCAGCTGTAACATAATTGGGCAATTATAAGATTCACTGAGGAGAACAGGATCGGATTGAACAAAGCTTCTTATAATGCCATTCAATTACAAATAACACAAACCTCTGCCATTTTCTGTAGCATAGTCATTGGCTCAAAAATAAGCACTGGAAGGGTCACCAATGATGTGACGTCAGAGCCTATATACTTCTGCATCACCTTCCAGTAACCATCCCGATCCTAAAAAAGAAAGAGGAAGAACTTCTGAATTGAGTATGCATGAAAGCATTAGAAAGTTTTGAAAAGAAAAAAAAGAGTAGTTTTTATCAATACAAAAATAGATTGTCTTATTATCCCTATAGGAAAAGCATCAGTTTCTGCTTATAAGATCAACACAAGGCATGCACAGAAGCTGCCATACAAGGAATTAAGGAAGAAAAGGTTTCATTTTAGTCAACTAAGAATGAACTGATCCAGCTTGTCCAAAGAAAAATTAGAAATGACATGATGCCTGATTCTGGGTGTGCACCATATGGTACTCTATGATGCCTGCCTTCAAAGGCCATTAGACACGAGCTAATATAAGGGCTGATCACCATGAGAAATGCAATCTTGACATATGTTTTGCAACCCTAACAACTATATTGGGAACAAAACCAATATGGAAACGTTTTCTCCATTGTCATATAGGGGAGTTGGGTAGTTCCATGGCAGAAAAGTAGTGTACCTCCTGCTTCCACCTTCCTTTCCTTGCTTCGTCTTCGAGATCTTCTGAGCTTCCATCTGGGTTGATAACCTCCAGCCCCTCATAACCCACTATGCTGTACAGTGAAAATACCAAGAATTGTCACAATCGGATTCTTCAAAACATAGAAAACTAGCTTCCCAGCATGCAGACATTAGATTCAGAACTTGGCAGTACTTCTAAGTAATTAAACACCAAGTAAATGCCACAGCCATAAAAAAACCACTTAAATTAATCCACATCAACAGAAATTCCAAATTAGTAAGCGATTCATTTCAAACCCAATAGAACATAGAAGCCAGATTCAAGGCCTTTATAGTAACAGCTAGCACCAGCAGTGCTTCAATTGACACCAAGAGCAAGAGAATTGAACAGACACAAATCAAAATCCGATCTCCATGAAACCAAAAACTGTAAACGAATTACAGAACCAGCTCGAAAGATGAAATTAAAGAAGGATTTGACTGATACCCGTTGACGGATTTGGTCATGGCGCTGCCAAGATTGGTCAAAGTGGAAGCCATCGAGGCGAAGAAACCTCCACTCTGCTTCGGATCCTTGGGAGCCATCTCCGATGTAAGCTAACCCTAGTTTCTGATTTTGCTCGCACAGCAGCTTCTGAAGAACAATAACAAAGCGAGCGATCGAGCAAGAGAGAGAGAGAGAGAGAGGTAGAGAGAAAGAGGCAGAGAGGTTAATTTAGAGAGAGACTTGACGAGGGTGAGGTGGAAAATTTGGATTTAAATGTTTATTTTAAATAAGACCGAAGCGATTAACAGCGAAGATTAGCAACGAGTCGTTGGCGCTAGTTCTGTTTGAAGTCAACAACGGAAGGATATTTTCTCTTTTTTTTAAAAAAAATTTATGTTTTGAATTATTTTGAATGTTGTGGAGGAAACGCGTTTGGGAGAGAGAGTGGGGACTGAGAAAAATCCATAAAGGCGGCGAAGGCAGGCATCGAATCCGACGCCGGCAATACAAGCAAAAAGCAAAGAGACGCAAATGCGTTTCTTGGACCCGTAACGCGTTTGAGAAGAATCGCTAGAATCGCTGGCCTAGTTGTCCATTATTATCACGGTAACGTGTTATTTGGCCACGTGGGGGCCACTCCCACTTGGTTCTTCATTTTTTTTTAAACGTGGCGAAAAAGAGAGTTTTTGATCATCATCAGATTCTCATCACTAAAAAAACTTTTTTTTTTTTTTTTTTTTTTTTTTTTTTTTTTTTTTTTTTTTATTCTTTGTTCATATTTGATTTCCATTTAACCACATGGTTAATGTCAATTTGCCTTCATAATTTTTTTTAAAAATTTGGAATTTATTCCTTACCGTTGTTTGTCCAATAATGTTACATACTGCGCACCTGTAACACTTTATAAAGAAATTTATTTTATTTGTAATTCGAGTTCATACTTAAAACTTTCCTTTAAAATCTAATTTATAAAGAAAATGCGCTAAAGAACTCATATACCGTCCAGAATTCCCGTCATAAGCCATTCTTTTGATATGTGACGTTGGGTTCTAACAGCTTGTTATGTAGTACAAAGCCACCTATGTTTTCACATGTCAATATTCCGTTTGAATCAAAAGGCTTAAGCTTTAAGAAAGAAAGAAAGAACGTATCCAAAAAAATATGAACATAATTGTACTATCTCACACCTATAAGAAAACACTAGGTATGAGGGTTATAAACTTATATACAATCATATATTTATCGATAGGAAATTTCCTCTCCACAAGTAGGCATTGTATGTTTTTTCTCGTACGATTTTTCTTGATTGTGTGCTTTCTACTTTCGCTATTGTACAACTTGGATGATCAAGTTTTATTTGATCTCATCGGCATCGGGCTGGGCTGGAGAGTTGGATTGAATTTGGGCTGGGAAAACAAAAAATTGGTCCGGGCTTCAAATTGATTAATGTTGAATGTTAGCCCACTTAGTATAATTTTGGGTCAAACTGAAACACTGACATCTGACACCTATAATATTTGTTAGGGTTGGTTTGGTTTGGTGGCTCATAAAAAACACACACTTCCTTCTGCTCAAAACTCAAACCTCAAATTGAAGCAATACATGTGTCATGTATGTCCTCTTCTTCCCTATTGCTTTTAATTATATTTTCTCCAAATGGTTGGTGAGCAGCAAATGACCGATTGAGACATTTAGTATATTTAGTAATTCTGCAATTGAACCATTATGCTATTAAATTAGTAAAATATCAAGTAATAATTAGCGGTGGATTTAATTGACATGTATGAATAATCTGCTTGAAATAAATAAAGAGGTGTACTGTTATTTTAATTTACGTGTTTGTAGCAGCACGATTGGGTTCTTCACATGCCTGCATACTTTATAATTACGTTTTGTGGCATCAAGCAATTGCGGTTTGTCAATTAATTAAATTGAAAAAATTAATTTAGCAATGTCAGTTTTTTGAATGTCCATGCATGTGCAGGTTACGTGACAAACAAATGAATGGATATATAAAATAAAATAAAATAAATCAATATGTATTAGGATCGAAACCCCAACTCTAAGGTTTTGATCCTGGGTGCCATGGAGGAGGGGAAGTCACCATCATTATTGTGGGAACCCATTTGCGGCAAAAGAACAGTTACACATAGGGAGATGATTTTTTTATCCTAAAAAATGTTTGATTATAAGGATTTTCTATCTAATCAATCACAAAGGATAGAGAGGGGAAAAAAAAAAACTCAATTTTCTAATCACCGTCTGTCACGCTTTCACACTAGATACAGCAAAAGTAAAGAATCGTATTAAAATCAAGCTCTCCATATACAACGCATAATGATTAAATATTCAATCATTACTTTTTTGCATGGAATTATTCAATCACTTTGACCTGGACAGCTGCAACATACGACAACGAAATGAAAGTAAGAAGAAGGCTATGTTTGCTTTTGATCAAAATGCAATATATATTTTTTTTTTTCCAGAAATCAAAATGCAATTTGCTCATTCACAAATGTTTAATCTGTTCTAATTTTATTTTAACTAGTCTTTTCACAAGCGTAAATGCTTGTGAGAGGCTTTTTTTAAAAACAAATTAAATTTATTTTAAAGATAATAGGTAGTCGTGTTTAATAAAAATATGATCTATTATCTGATTGTTTTTAATATGAAAAAATATGAATTTATCATATTATCCTTATTTAATTAATAATTTCAATTCTTAATATTTACATTAACAAAGAATATTTTCTGATATTTTAAATATTTCATCATTCTCTCTTTTTTGCTTTATATATATATATTAATTTTTCCATTTTTGTAACGCGACGTCACAAGTCCAAACGAACAGTGCCTTAAAGCTAAAGAATTAGGTAGGCGCCACGTATGTGTCGGCCAAATGAAGCAGAGCAGTTCAATTCAGGCCAACAGCTTCTCAACTGATGAAAGTTGACTAAAGGCAGCCTCATTTCCTGACTTTGCGCTCCTAAAGCTCTCACCTTTTTCATTGTCTCCTTCTTCACATTCATATCCTCTGCATAAAAAACCTTTCATCAATTTTAGCTTTCAACCTAATTCTTTGATTCTTTGCCCACTTCAATGGCGGCAGAGCCTGCATCTTCAGGACCCCAAGTGAGAGTGAACTCCAAGCGGAGCTACAACGTGGTGCACCCAGTGGACATAGAGACACCTCCTCTAGCTTCTCCAGCTCCAGCTTCATCTCCTGATGTGTATCGAGAGGTCAAGCATTTCAAGAAATGGGTTGTTTGGCTGATACCTGTTTTTGTTGTTGCCAATGTTATTATGTTCATCATCACCATGTATGTCAACAACTGCCCCAAGAACTCGATCAATTGCATTGCCACCTTCTTGGGTAGGTTCTCCTTTCAGCCTTTTAAGGAGAACCCTCTTCTTGGACCATCATCTTCCACGTGAGTTCTTAGTTTTTGATGATCCTGTTGGTTTTCAGATTTTCAATTGGTTCTGTAAATTTTGATCTCAAATGCTGCAGCTGACCCTTTAGCTGGTTTTGTGTGTTTTTTTATATAAATAAATTGGTGATTTGATGGGTTTTATGAGTTTATAATGGGGTATTTTGCTGAATGTTGATTGCTGCAGGCTACAGAAGATGGGGGCTTTAGATGTAAATAAGGTGGTTCACAGACACCAGGGGTGGCTTCTCATCACTTGCAATTGGTTACATGGTGGTGTTTTCCATTTATTGGCTAATATGTTGAGCCTTTTGGTTATTGGGTATCGGCTAGAGCAAGAATTTGGCTTCGGTATGTATTTTGAAAATCAGTTTTCTATCTAATTGTTGTGATGAAATTTTGTCTGCAAATTCAGAGAACTTTCTGATGATTAAAAGCATTGTCACCATTCAAAGGCAAATGGTTCTTCTTTCACAAGGAAACTTTGGGTATATGAGACAAGTTAGGCTTTTTCATTGTGATTGAGCCAAATCTATTTGATGATATAGCTCTTCTTATTTCCTTGTTCATGTCAGTATACAAAAACTTTAGCTCATGCCCTTTGTCTAATTCTTGTGTGTTTCTCTTGCAGTCCGGATCGGGTTGATATATGTCATCTCTGGACTTGGTGGGAGTTTGTTGTCATCTCTTTTCATCCAAACAAACATCTCTGTTGGTGCTTCTGGTGCTCTTTTTGGATTGCTGGGAGCCATGCTTTCTGAACTTATCACTAATTGGACAATATATGCTAGTAAGGTAATTGTCAAACTGCTTGTTAAAGGAGCTTCATCATACTTCAAAAACTTAGATCGGTCACATTCAGGATCCAATATCTAATTCCTTATTATTGTTCAGTTTGGAGCACTTTTCACCCTCCTGATCGTCATAGCAATCAATTTGGCAGTGGGAATTCTCCCACACGTTGACAACTTTGCTCACATTGGAGGATTTCTTTCGGGTTTTTTTCTCGGGTTTGTATTTCTTATCCGCCCCCAGTTCGGATGGGTTAACCAAAGATATGGTCCTCCAGGATATGCATCATCTCAAGCTAAATCGAAGTTCAAGACCTATCAGTGCATTTTGTGGGTCCTTTCTGTGATCATTTTAATTGTTGGGTAAGTCAAGCCGTTCCATCTGAAGTTAAATCGAAGTTCAAGACATATCAGTACTTGTAAAAGTATATATGAAAACAAATCTGCTTACAAAGAGTATATAACATGCTGACCTTTTTCATTAAGCATAATTTGCTCCTCAGATGAACTAGCTCAACAGTGACATATCACGCTCTTCTACCCAATTTAAGTTCTTTTTAGGCGAGATAAAGCTCCTATAGAACATCAATTTTTTCTAACTTACCAGCTACAGCCCAAACTTTTGTTGTGCTTGTATTGAAAATGAGTTCTTACATGTCCATCTACATTGTTGAAACCTAGGTTGTAGGTGCTCAACCTAATCGTGAAACAATGTTTTATCTACTTCAAATATCAGATTCGATGTAGAGATTCCCATTCATGGCAGAAGCTCTTTCTTAGTTTCTTCTACCTAGGAATGAACCCTAAAGCAACCAAAAGTAACAAAGAAACTTGGTCAATGTTGAAGATGCCTACACAGAGAAATATAGAAACTTTCCAAAATGTGGCTATTTCCCTAAAATTTATCTAGAAGAACTTATCTAGGACCCTAATTTTTATCCTTGTTTTTCCTCTTGGTTATATGTTCTCCTTCTGTTAGTTCATGTTATAAATGGCGCAACCAGGGATGTCATACAAACTTGAGTAAATTGGGTTTAGGCCTGCCTGAGAAAGTTTCTGTTAACTTGGAAATTTATTAAATGAATAAACTAAATACTCTTTTGCTGATATGACAGGTTTACTGTTGGCCTGGTTATGCTTCTTCGGGGAGTTGATGCAAATAAACATTGCTCTTGGTGTCATTATTTGTCCTGTGTCCCTACTTCAAGATGGAGTTGCAAGACAGAGCCTGCATACTGCACGGTAACTAATTCCGAAAACTCCCTCCATTTCCCCCTTGCATACTATTTAGGATTTGCATTCAATTTTACAAGACAGATCACTCTTCTCATATTGCATCACTTTATGACTGGGTAAAAAGGCTTCATGTGCTGAATATATGATCACCTGAATCTTCATCTAACTAGTTGTTAAAAATTTTGGAAAGAATACGTGACGGCAAGTTTCTGTGTGTCAAGGGGAACTGGTTTTATTAGCAAAGAGGCAATTGTACTCGTGATTAAGAACAGTATGTCTGATATTTTCTTGTGATAACCGCATGAATCTGACTCTCCTGTGTTCCATGACCTCATTGCAGTCAAGCCAGACGGGCAATCAGCTCTTGTTAACATGCTCAAGCAATGGTAAGAACGGCACGTATACATTGGCAAATGCAAGCAGTTCTCAGATCCAGGGGCTGTGTTCTCAGCTTTGCAGTTGATTTTTGCGGTAGAGATGAGGGGGCTTAAGGCGGCACGAGCTGCTCGCATGTATAAAGATACAATTTACGGATTTGTTTTGTTATGATACCCTTGTTATGCATGTATTCATTTCATTCTGTAATATTTGATTCTTGATCTTTACTATGAAATTTGATTGATTGCTCTGTTTTTCTTTACAACATATAGATGTAGGAAGTACCAAGTGCATGTGAAAATATGTAGCCGTACGTGTAGACTCTCACACCGTGTGAAACTGCAGAGTTGCCAAAATATGTATGTGTTTCATTTCAGATTTTACCAGGCATACCATTTTTCTGGAGTTGTATCACTTTTTGACTGGGAAAAAAGGCTTGAAGAGATGACATAAGTTAATTAATAATTTTGGAAAAAAATAATTAAGACGACCATGATCCAACTGCATCATTATTTGTGTGTGTCATGGTAAGTCGTTGCAAATTTGCAGTCAAACAAATAGATAAACCAGTATGTAATGTAACATGCTCTAGCAATGGTAAGAATGGCCACACGTATACCTTCCAAGACGCAAGCAGTTCTCCGACATCCAGGCTCTTATGTTACCAATTTACTAACATAACACGTACATTTATTTATCATTTATTTACTATTGTATTATAATTTCATAACATATCAACTATTTCGTTCATTTATATTATAACATTTGAATTAATAACACCACATATCAGTGTAACTTGCTTGCTCGACTTTTGGTTGATTATATACCAACCTAAAAGTTAACACAAAAATCAACTACAACATTGAGATAAAAACACATTTTCACTAGTAAAAATCCTCCAAAAAAAATATGATTTGCTTGTTTAATTTGAGTTCATGACTTTTTCTATTAAATTAATGACAAAAAATAAATAAAAATTTCGTTACATATTGTGTGTGACAAAAACAGGAAAGGGCGGGTGTTAGAAAACAAGCTTTCGCAGTCACAGGATAGCCATTATCAACAAACAAGCAGAGTAACAAAAACTCTCCCTCCCATTCCCCTAAACCTTTCATTTCGTTCGCCGGACGGTGATGGCGGTTCGAGCCGTCAGCAGCTGTTCAATCTTTCGCTCCGCTTCCACTTCCTCTTCGTCCCCTACTCTCTTCGCCTTCCGCTGCTCCCCATGCCACTTCAGTCGCCGCTTCTCCCAATTTAGCATTCGCTTCCCGATATTTCGATCCGATAAGTTAGTTCCTGGCCATGGCGGCCTTCAAAGCAGCTCCGTTCACAGCCTCGTCGATAGCGTCATGGAAGAGCTCGGTGCCTTGCGCCGACGGAGACGAGTTCGCGCTGCCGCCAAGTAGCTTCCCTCTCTCTCCCCCTCTCAGAATCACATTTCTTCGGAATTTTTTTAATCATCCTTAATTACGAATTTAGAGACTTAAATTAATGTAATTTATGCGCTGTTTGGTTGCTGTGAAAGAAAAAAGGCATATATATAATGCAAGTATAATGAAATTATTTAGTAACTGTTTTGCAGGGTGGAGCTGACAAGCAGTGGAGGGATTGCAGAAGATAAGCTTGTGAACCGAACGCTGCAGCAAGGGTTGCTACTCGAGTTCAAGAAGGATTCAGAGAGAGTATTGCTTGCTGTTGCCCAGAGACCCGATGGCAAGAAGAATTGGATGGTTTCTGATCAGGTTCTACTAGAAAAACAACTAATGCGGCTTATTAATAGGTTGCTAGGTGTTGAAAGCTCACTGTGAAACTTTTTTAAACTTAAATAATAATAAAAACTATGCACGGGATGTTATTGTTTCCTGCTAGTCTAACATTTTTAGTTTTATGGTGGTTGTTCTTATGCTATGTCAGAATGGTGTTACATCATCCATTAAACCACAACAAATCACATATATTGTTCCTGGTGTTGAAAATTTCGACCACGCAGAGATTTCAAAGTTTGTTCAGAGAGCTCAGGAAAACTCGGTTGGTTCTTGCCCAAAAATAGTCGCAGATATGAATTTTCTTTTTCTATTCTGGTGGTTTGTGTTTTTTGGTAAAGAATATTTTTTTAATCTGGTGCAGGACTCAGCACTTCTAGAATTTGCTTGGGTTGAACTCCTCGAAAAGAATAAGCGTGTGACGCCAGAAGAATTAGCTGAGGTACTACACTTTTCAAGTTAAATATATATGTATGGCTGTTCCTTCAATGATCCTAGCTCATTCCACAGATGATCTTTGGTAGTGTGGAGCCTCTTGAATGCTACTGTGCTCATGTGATGCTTTCAGAAGATGAAATATACTTCACTGTGCTAGAGACAAAAGGTTCTCGCTCTATATATGGACCTCGACCTGCTGTGCAGGTACAGCTATGCTTTGGTTTAACATCTTCTCTTCTTACAGTTGGCTCGCCTTGTTTGAAATTGCTTATCTTTATGGCTCCTAATGTGGAGATGTGTTTCAAGAAAGGATATTATGTTTGAAGGAAGAGTGATTCTCCTCAGATGATGTTAATTCCACTCTATATTGATAGTTTTGTATTAGATGGTGAAGAAAACTTATAACAATTGAAATTTTTGTAGTCTGTTGGTACGTTGAAGTTGATCGGCATAAGATGGTTTGGGCCGTATGTTGGCAGATACCAATAGGACTTACCACTCTAAATTAAAAAATCTTTTGTTTTACTGTTTAGGCATCTTCACATATATATACATACATATATATATATATATATTTATATAAGAAAAAGAAAGAAAAGATATTCTTGACATGTATTAGAAGTTAATGCAAGTTTGATTAGTAAGTTGAGTAATCCATGATAGCATTCATCTTGATTGCCTTCTTGCTTTTCCAATAATTTTGACATGAATTTTTGTTTTGTTTGAGAAACTAGGTTGAGGAACTTCTCCGTAGGAAGCTCGCAAAGGAGGCAGCTGAGAAAGAACTGCAGGAGTTTGTACAATTACTGAAATCTGCTAAGGCAATGCCTTTAGATGCTAAACCTCCCAAATCTTCTTGGATGGTTGAAGAGAAAATCAGACAGAAAATTAAGTCTCTTGAATCGTATGCTATTGATGCCTGCACAAATGATGACCAAAGGAAAACGGCTGGAATGGTAACTAAGTCTGACTTAAATGATAGTGTTTAAGCTTACTGTGATAATTGGTACTTCTAAGCTCTGAAAATGTATGGCTCATCATAAGAGAAGATCTTCTTGATGATGTTATGCCCTATTTCTCTTTGTGTGATACATCATATTCATACATGCATATCAGCTTTGTTCCTAATTTGTTTATCCTTTTGTACATACCTTCTTGTCAGATCCTAAGGGCAATGGGGATGATGAAAACAGCATCATCAGCTCTAAATCTCCTCATAAATATTGGGTTTTTTCCTGTACATGTGAATCTTGACCTGTTGAAGTTCAATACCCGTACTGATCACTCAGATGAAGTTATATCAGCTGCAGAAAGTCTTCTGTCAGATTCATATGATCCAGATGAGGTTAGCCTGCTCTCTGTTATGAATATAGTTATACCCATGGGGCAAGATGTGATTCAGTATTAAGATTTCGGCTTGCATCCTTAATTTTATAGGAAACCTTGTATTATTATTGTAATGAAACTTTTAATGGTTTTTATGAAAAATTACACAAACACACATCTATAAAAATGAAAGTATAAGGTTAGCCTGCTTCCTGTATTATAGTACATACAGGGCAAAATTTAGTTTAAAAACCTTACAAAAATTCTGCAAATGTTCTTGTTTTAGATTGAAAGGAAAGATCTCACTCACTTGAAGGTCTATGCTATTGATGTGGACGAGGCTGATGAGGTATGTTTTACACATGCCTAGTGATGTTATCTTCTGCTGTCAAAACTGTAAATTTTTGCCGCATCAAAATTTGATAGATCTTCGTATGAAATTTTTAATTGTAACATGTTAGCTTGATGATGCTTTGAGTGCAACGAGGCTGCAAGATGGACGCATTAAAATATGGATTCATGTTGCAGATGCAACTAGGTTTGTTCAACCCGGGAGCATAGTAGACAGGTAGCTCGTGGAACACTACAAGCCTTATTGATACGTGTTTATGTTTCACTCTTTTCTGATAAATTCATGATGTATAGGGAAGCAATGAGAAGAGGAACTTCTGTTTTCTTGCCCACTGCCACTTATCCTATGTTCCCAGAGAAACTTGCCATGGAGGGAATGAGTTTGCAACAAGGAGAGAATTGTAATGCAGTTACAGTATCTGTTGTGCTGCATTCTGATGGCAGGTAAAACAATTTTTTTTCTTTATATGTTTGGTCCCCCTTTTGAGATCTCATCCGAATCGGTGCTGTTTTATAGTTTAATGGAGTTACACAGAGCTGTAACACCCTTTTTTAGGGCTTTTAGACCATTGCTTCCCTCCTAGATTTGTATATTATGAATTCAGAATTATCTTGGTTTTGAAGGTGGTGGGGTTAGTTAGATTTTTGAATTAAAATGATTCCATATTATTCTACAGACTGAAATAATTAAATCATTGTGGCTTAAAACAAGATCATTCTAACTGAAGGAGGGGGCATCACAACAGACTGTTGTGGGAATTTCTTTGAAGCATTTTAGCTTTTGCTAACTTAAAGGTTAATTTTCTCCAAATAAGATAATTCTACAGACTATGATTCAAAGATTATGTAATCATCTAGAACAAGTGGGGTGGATATTTCTTTAAAGCATTTTAGCTTTTGCTAACTCAAAGGTTAGTTTTCTCCTTTCCAACCAAATTTTACTAATGAACTCTATTTTACTCTCTGTGTGGTTCAATAGTATTGCAGAATATTCGGTGGACAACTCAATCATTAGACCAACTTACATGTTGACGTATGAGAGCGCATCGGAGCTTCTTCATTTAAACCTGGAAGAAGAGACTGAACTGAAAATCCTGTCTGAGGCTGCAACTCTCCGTTCAATATGGCGTCGCCAACAGGTTGGAGTTAATTAATTAGACCAAAATTAATTCTGAAACGTTCTTGGTTGTATGATTCAGAGTTCCAGTAGCTTTCCTTGGTGCTTCGTGATCCTGTTAGTCGACAATTATTTTCGTGGTTGTGCTGTCCATAACATGGACCCTATGGATATTCTACTATTGATATGGATCCTGCTATGTGCAAAATCCTTAAGATAATGAAAGATCGAAAAAATCCAAACCCTTGTCATAACAATTTCATTCATAAAACAAGCATGTATTTACTTTTTTAAATAGGAAATGTTGATCTAAGGTCTCAAAAAAAAGAGGAAGGGGGGGGTGGGTGTGTGTGTTGTAGCATGATTAATCAGTAACCCTCCAAAATTCTTCTGTGACAATAACTATATGCTCATTTTTCAGGGTGCAATTGACACAGCCACATTGGAAGCACGTATCAAAGTGGTTAATCCAGAGGATCCAGAGCCTATTATTAATCTGTATGTTGAAAACCAGGCAGACCCTGCAATGCGACTTGTCACTGAGATGATGATACTCTGTGGAGAAGTTGTGGCCACATTTGGTTCTAGCAATAACATTCCTTTACCCTACAGAGGACAGCCCCAATCCAACATCGACACATCTGCATTTGCACATCTTCCAGAAGGACCTGTTAGAAGCTCTGCTCTTGTTAAACTAATGCGTGCTGCTGAAATTGATTTCAGGAAACCTATACGCCATGGAATTTTAGGACTTCCGGGTTATGTTCAGTTTACATCTCCCATCCGTAGATATATGGATTTACTAGCTCACTATCAGGTGAGTTTCTTCCATGCAAGTATAGTTCTTAATAAACTACAATCTCAAATGTTGACCTTGTCCTTCTGCTGTCAACAAAATCATATAATGATCTTGATCTCTTGTCTGCGGTTTGCAAGCAGACAAAGCTATGTGCTTCATGAATGAAGGGTAATGAGTTAACGTATCACTGCTATGTGGAGTCTTTTGTTCAAAAATGAAGAACGAGACTTTTTGAAAGGAAAAAAAAAGAAAAGAAAAACAGATGTGTTATCTAATCATATTTATGTCTATGTTGCCCGTGTGGAGTTTAATCTGGAGGGACAATTGGTGCTTCACCATATCTTATGAACAGCTTTATATAAATTAGGGTCTTGCTTAATTGAGCACATGGTTAATTAACTTTAATAGTTAAATCTTATGAATTCCAAAATACCAAGGTCAGAAAGTTAAGCTAAGCTGGCAGGCTTAGGTGCAATGACTTCTGCATGTTATATTACTACTAATACTTTGCTCAGAATTGTGTTTTAATTCTGTATTCAGCCAAATTGTTGAGCTAATGTTGCTAAGCATTGATGAAGGTATCTGTTATGTAGGTTAAAGCATTTCTCATCGGGAAATCTCCTCCTTTCTCAGCTGGTCAGTTGGAAGGGATGGCATCTATAGTGAATATGAATGCTAGAGTAGCAAAGAAGCTCTTTAGCAGCAGTCTTCGGTATTGGATATTAGAATTTCTGAGAAGGCAGCCAAAAGAAAAAAGATATCGTGCATTGATTCTTAGATTCATTAAGGATCGGATTGCAGCCATATTGTTAGTTGAGGTAAACCTGTAATTATGTCTGTTTAATTGTAAATGCTGCTAGTCATGTCATACATTATTTGTAGCACAAAACTTTTAGGATTGTAAGACACAACTAAAACTGTAAAACTGTAGACACTGTCAACCACACTTGCTATTAATGAGATATTAAAATAAGCATCCCATATAGTCTATGCAGATCTTTTGTGAACGTATATGGTACATGTCAATTGAAGAGCCTCTGTCTTTTGATTCTCTACCAATTCTAAGATGTGTGGTAGCTATAGTAAGTCTGTAGCTGGATCTGTATTGTCATTTTCTTTTATGTTTTTTCCTTCTCTCCTGCTCTTAATCCTTCTTTTATTTGGGATGAGTATGCCATTATTAAGCTTTATGGCTTGCACTTACGTTGATTATGTCAAACATGAATTTTTCAGGTGGGACTTCAATCTTCCGTGTGGGTATCTGTGGGAGCAGATGTTGGAGATGAAGTTCTAGTTCGGGTAGAAGAAGCTCATCCACGTGATGATGTGCTTTTCCTTAAAGAGATTGTCATTGAGAGATAAAGATAGATTCGTTTAACTGGATCTTGTCACTAAGAGACATTTTGTCGCTGGTATGACAATGATCTCTATGGGTAAGCAATGCTCTCTTGTTAAACCTGCTGTATAATTATGCTTCTGTATAGGTGACTGGGCTCAACATTCCCCTATTGTGTGACAATATTTACCACCATGTCATATTGTCTGCAACCTTCGGGAACCCGAAAGCTACCCCTAAGCTCACAGAGTCATAATTCAAATTAGATCAAATATCAGTGAGGAATTATTGTAAGCATTGTCACCTGCAGCAGTTGATGCCCGAGCTGTACTGCATGTCAAACCTTCTCCAGGAGAATTTCAAATACGAGGAATAGGAATTGCTTCAAGACCTTGGCCCCGGTTGTGGCCTTCACTCCACTTGTTTTTCTGTGGACTATTTGGCATCCAAGAAGTTCGTCTTTATTGCTCAATATGGTGCTGAAATGGTAAGTCAGACCATTTCAAGGTGGTTTGTGTATTTCCAATAGCAAATTTTGGTTCATTTTAGAAGTTGGTATTTGTATATCATGTGTTCAATCAGAAACTATCTAAATCAGGTACCGAACCTCGTGACATATTAACATGGAAAATGATTAGTGAACAAGGGAATTTTCACTTTGTGGAATATGAATCAGAAGTTTTGAAGATGAGCAAGGCAGACACAATTATGTAAATTTGAATAGATGAAATGCTGAGAAATTTTGATATATTTTCGGATCCTTGTAATATTGAATGCCGAAAAAGTGGTGCACTGTATTGTTTGTGGAATGGTGATGAATTGTCAATTTGCAGAGTGCCATGATTTTGCTATCTATTTTTCTTTTCATTTTTTATATCAATTTTACTTGTCGTGGAAACAATAGCTGGTTAGTTTTACAGTCAGTCACGTGATAAGACAAAAGGAAATTTACCTTTTAACTGCGTACGGCAACGGAGACGTGCTCTTAAACGTCTGTGCTGCGCAATGTTCAGTCGAACACTGTATTACTTTATATTGGGAATTTGCAAAAAATGCATTGAATTTCCCATTATTTTCACGAGACTCACTCCACATGATCCTTCTTAATAGTTTGTCTGTGGGTTTCACATGTTTTAGAGGCTGCACTTGATCGGCACTGAAAGGTGCAAGATGGTGAAAAATTAATTGAACTAGGGTTTTTTAAGTTTTGTGCTCAACATGCCCAATTCATGCGGAGAGTTCGCTTGCAATAATACATTTTTCTTATTCTTGACAATGTGATATTCTAAACTACTCTAATGTATGTGGAAGGAAATTGAGCTAGAGTGCAAAATGATAAACACACTGTCTTGGACAACTAATGTAACCCAACAATAATACTTGGCATGAAATATTAGTGCACTAACATTAACACATGGTCCCAATGGCCGCCAAATATAAAACACTTCTTGTTGTAGCTGTGTTGTTCCCCGATTTTGTGAGGCTTTACCTTACCTGTTTTGACCCCTTTTGGGCATAATGAAGGGGTTATTAGATGGGTTGGTTGATGTGTCTTTGTTCCCCAAACTGGGGCATGATGAATTAGCTAGCTAGCAAGTAAGGGTGGGCATCTCATCCGAATTATCCGCGTACCGACCATACCGTATCGGCAGTTTGATTTGGTTTGGTTAAATAATTATTTTTTTATTTTAATTATTCCAATCCAATCCGTACTGAGATATTTGATTTGGTTAACAGAAACAATATTTCTAACCCGACGGAAACCCATACCGATCCGATATTTATATTTATTCTATTATTTAAATACAAAACAAGAAACCAAATATAAATACAATAAGCATTTTGTATCACTCCTTTATCACTGATGTATCACTTATTTATCATCATTCTATCACTGCTTTATCACCATTATATCACTTCTTTATCACCCAGGTACTGTAGCACTTTTTGGTCAGAGAAGAATTTATGAATTTTCGAATTTTCTATGTTTTCCAGTTTCAACCTTTATCCCGTTTTTTACCTGTAACTTTCCAACTGTTGATTCAAATTTTATGTTCTTTATATGGTTGGATAAAGCATGAAAAACTAAAGAACCCAACGCGGAACAAATGTCAAAATCATTTACATAAATGTAGATAATTCAGTAAAAATAACACTCAAATGTTCAAACAACAAACAAAAGTGGCTCTCAATACCCAAACCCTAGCCGCTCTCTCCCTCTGTGAGTCCTAAAGGAAAATTCCATAGAGGGGGGAGGAGGAAGAAGCTTCATTGCCCCTCTTCCTCCTCTCTTCTCGTCTTTTCCTTCTAGGTTATTGAATAAGTCCACTGGGGTGGTTTGAATAAAAAAACCTCTTGTGGTGGTTTCTTCTAAGCCATGGTTAGATCGAAGTTCCCCATCACTCCTTTTAGTCTATATTTTCAATCAAATCATACTCCCAAAACCCGCTCCCTAACGCTGCTCATGTTCTTTAAATTTGATTTTATATCGTCTTTGACGGAGGTTGCTGCAAATCACCCAATTGTTCTTTGGCAAAGTTATTGTTTTCATTTATTTGTTCGTTCTTATGCACAGGTAGATCGTTGGAAATCATATTTTCCCCAGATCTGTTACGGATGCGGTGATGGGTGTGGCCGTGACAACGCTTCTTCAGGTGGTGGTGGTAGGGTTTGTTTAGACTCATGGGTTGATTTAGAATTTTGGTTATGTTGGGTTTCTGGGCTTTGTTTGAGCTTATTGCTAATTGTGGTGATATGGGCTAATAGTTTTAGTGTGACTTTTGTCCGTGTTAGTTTTGCTTTTAGCAAGTTAGTTTGTTGCCCTCTTGGGATTGGTTTTTTAGATGTCTTGTTGATGTCTTGGATTGTACCATTTTGAAGTTTATCTAATTTTTTTTTATTTTTTTTTTTATAAAAAAAAAAAAAAAAAAAACAAAAAAAAAACAAAATACATCTCGAATAATATATTGAATGATATAGTGACTATAGTTATTTGATTCCATACTTGGATGAATTAGACTATTGGATTTTTATATTTTACAATGATAATTTTGTGTATTTGTTCAAGAACTTATGTTATGTGAAAGTATTATAAATTTTATTTTTATTAATATATTTTTATTACGGTACTACCGGCATACCGAATCAATCCGAATCGAATAATAGGTTAACCGATCCGAAGTCTACCGAAGTTTTTAATTTGATTAACGGAAGAAAAAATAGTCTACCGAAGTCTTTTGTTTGGTTAACGAAAGAGCCTTCTATCGTTCCAAACCAATCCGTATTCAGGCCTACTAGCAAGCTATTAATGCAGTTAAGAGGAGGACCCTCTCATTTCCCAAGGTGTCCATTAACTATAGGGGATGTCATGGCTTTTTCAGCACTAATAACTGGGTCGTTCTATGTAAACAATAGTTCGACAGAAAGTAAAACAACTGCAACACATGGCTTAAAGATCAGAGTGCACCGATGGATGGGTGCAAGAATCGATTCAAAAGAAAACAAAGGGCTGGCAGGATGTTTGATGGGACTTGATAACAGTGGTAGGGGGGGCTAAGGGGCCAGAAACACTGGTCCACAAAATTAAAGTTCCTAGAATTAAGCACATCTTAAAAGGGCCAACATAAAATTGACATCCTTTTATTTTTAATTAATTTGTTTGTAAAATCACATCAGAAGGTGACATGCGCATAATTAATCTAGTAAATCCTTGAAATTAAACTCATATTGGTGTGAATATTGTTGATTTATTTCGCCATTATAATTTCAATAATTGTCTGACTGGTACAGGCCAAGCCGGAAACACTTGTGGCACACCTTATAATCAAAACGAACTTCATATGCATGCATTTCAAAAAGGAAATAAATAATAAATATAAAAAGGTGCAATTGGCAGAGGTTGCGAGATTGGACGAATTAAGTGATGTAGAGAAGTGATAGATCACATGGGGATGCAGAAATCTGCAGAATTGTGATGGATGATAGGTCAGGGGAAAGGTATGTTGCAGAGGACCCCTTGCACACTCTCCATTGGTGCCTATTGTCCCCTTCCTCGGGTCATGAACTTTACACCCACATGACATGCTCCTATCGATCTTTCTTCTCACACCCCCGCCCACTCTTTTGCTCTTGGTTTCATTTCACACTCTCTCATATGAGATATATGCAATGATTTGATCAATTTCTTCAAGATTTTAATGATACAAGTTTAGACCTCAGTGATAATTCTTTTGGCGACATTGTAATTGGTTCTTAACCATTAAATTAATTAGAAACTCAAGCATTTATATATGCTTTAATTGCAAGTTTCGATTGTCCAATGATACATCATATATGAGAGTAGTCTAGCTAAAGCCTAAACTTGAGTATGGCAAAGCTAGGAAGCAATCATATGTTACCTTCATATACAATACTCACTCATCTTTAAAAACTCAATAAGCTTTTGGTGTCTAATTAGTGTTTATCTAACATAATATCATAACTTTGATTCTAAGAACTGTACGTGAGGGAGAATGTTAACTTGCCATACATTTTTAACTCATTTCGTATCAATAGGTGATAGGTATAAACTAGAATTGCCAACATAAGTATAAAAAAAACATATAACTAACTATCATTGAATTAATCAGTCATCAATCTCTCTCGACGAAGTAAAATTTGGCTACGCTTTGTATCTTCTTGTGAAGATTATTGTGTTGAGTAGTGCTATATAGTGCACTTTTTACATAATTGATAAAAAATAATCTTAATACTCAAGCATCATCATGATATGGGCGACATATGCATGCATGAGATGATCGTGAAGAAAACATGACATTTCATGTAAGCAATCACATACATCATATAGATATAGTAAACGCATGAGGAGTAAAATTCTATAGAATCTTCGAACCCTTCTGTCCACAACCACAAGTTCATGGGGTTCATGTTCATCTGAAAAAATAAAAAAGGGAAAGAGAAAATCTACCATGATATGAGCCGACACATCATGAGAAATTCCCATGTTAAATGTCTACATGTATTCTTCCATTCCATCAACAACATGCAATGCAAGTGAGAAAGAGTGGTCAATAAGAAATTCTTGAGTTATTTTTATACATGAATAAATTAATACAACTCACAATATAGAATTAGCCGTACACATTGTGTATTGTACAAGTATTTTTAAAAACTCATACGATCACAAAGTCAAAAATTCGACAAAGTCAACAGATGAAGCCAAATGCATGTTACTATGTTCTATATACCGATTAGCAAAATACTAACATGTTGTTTAATGATAAGGTGATAGCTAACATGGGACGGGAGTCGATCGACCCTTTGCTTATCAAAGGGTACGGACTAAATTAGAGGACTGTCCTTTGCTTAAAAAACAGCAGAATTAATTTGAACATGCTCACTCTCCTCCGGATCATACGTCAAATCAAAGCTCCAATAATCTACGTGAGGACTTCATCTTTTATATGGCCCCTGGCCAACCCATCTCCTCCTGTATTAAATATATTTAATAATTGAATTCCAGCCATGGTTGGGATGAGGGGGCCCCGTATTTCTCTGCCAGTCATGGCTCTGGGCTTTTTCATAAATAATTGTATTGGTACTACGGATCATATTGTTGGTTGCATGCATTTAGAATTCCTTACTGTATTGTAATCATTTTTTTCATGAGCTTATGTATATCATAGAGGAAGAGGTGCCAGACCTCAGATGTTTTTTTCGATACAAGTTATGGTCTAAATTACTATTGGAAGAGAGGTTTCTTCTCTTTCACACACACACTACCAAGGTATTATGACGGTTCGAACGTCTACAAATTAAGCTTTTTTTCATTAGACTATACGCCATTAGTGTACTTCAAGATTTTTATTATAAAAAAGGCCTGGAATTCGAAAAAAAATATAAACAAAATACGATTGTTCGGTGCCTACTTACTCATCAATAAACAGCCCATTAATGTTATTAAATTATTAGATCCTTCTACTAAGAACAAAGCCCATTAAACCCGAAAACAAAATAAAAAGATAGATTATAAGTTAAATTAATTGTAGGAACGTATTCATTAGTTTAATCTTTTGTTTGACTTTGATATGATGGGATTATACAAAGATAATTAATTTGAAAACCAAGTTTTGAAGCAAAGTAGATGCAAAGCCCCATGAATCAATATTCGATAGACATGATTGGAGTCTTAGGCAGATAAATAATGTAATCACTTATATATATGCAAGTGGGTAAAATGTTGGTGTACGAAGAGAAAGCTCATGATTAGGGTTATCTTATAGTGGAGTGCAATTATTCTCAAACCCATAAAAATACAATTGCCCCAAGATGAAATAATATTTTCTTAATCTTATGTGAAAATATATAATCATTTAATTGCAAAGTAAGCATAGTCAACCCTTTTAGGAACTACCCACCATCTACTTGATAGATGAGACCCAAAAAAATATATATATGTTTTGAGAACCCTGAACTGTGCTTTGATTTATTCATCAATGGTCTTTTCAATATGCATGGTGACAGTTTTTAACTGTAATGGTCTTTGAGTTTATACTTAAGTTTCATTTTGGTTCTTCAATTCTCACACGGGTTTTGATTTTGTTCATCTGTCAATAATTTGGATGCAAAATCAACGAAAAATGATACGGAATGACTAAATTAGAACACATAAAAGAGTTTACGAAAATGAAACTTGAATATAATTTTAAGGACCATTGCGATTAAAATCTGTTATATGTAATTCTGTGTTAAAGCAAATCTCAAATCGCCAAAGCCAATGAGTTTGAATGCCGATTTGCTATGAACACATCCAATTAGTCTGTATAAATTAAGGGAAACTTAATTAATGATGGTAATCATTTTAACTGGGGTTGTACAAATTAAGCAAAGCCGATCAATGAGACGTACATTTGAATACAAACAAAGAAAGTTGTACCCTAGCTGAGTACGTACGCAATAAGCTAAATCAACACCATAAACATTCACATGCCTCATTAATCCCCATCACAATTTTATCTTCAACAACGTGGAAATTGTAGAACATGTATTTAAATACATATATATATATATTTATTCATATAAATGGGGTAGGGATCAAGACGATCTCGGTGGCACGTTCACATGTCTTGCTATGCATGGCATGGGGTTGGTGCCGTTTGGTTGAACTTGAGGCACCTTCATAACTTCATTGCCAGATTTTGTGATGACCTGGCAGATTTGCTAGATCTGGTTGGTCGGTGCATGAGTGGGACCGCCCTTTAAATTTTAACACCTTACGTATCAAAAAGTACTAGCTGCACCCACCAGCCCCTCACCTTGCACCTTTGCTTTTAATGGAACACACAAAGCAAGCACTGGTAGACTGGTGGTAGTGCTGAGAATGAGACTGATCGAGATCAACAAGATTTGTTAATTACCACAATTATATTCAATATTGATGCAAATATATGAAAGAAACATGCGTGCCCCTTTGCATGACACAATTTCCATGTGTACCTTTATGAGAATATGATGTAATTAAACTCTAAAGGTAAAGAAGGAAATAAAGAAGAAGAAAAACAAGAACACATAACATGCAGGTTAAATGGGAGTCATTGGAATTTCGCATCTATTTCTGTTTTGTATTTAACATAAAATTTGACGGAGTTAGCAGAAATGACGAGTATTGCAACATGAGTCTTAATTTCAGTTCATGAATGAAAATACAACTCCGACTATAATCAGGAGACAATTGCAACAATTAAACCTATACATAATTTAATTTGTCAAATTTAGTGTGTGGTATTATCATTTGATCATGTTACTCTGTTTGGCCATTTATCTCGTGAGGCTAACATGCCTATACATATCCAATTTATTTAGCCAATGTATAAAATATAGCGATGGATAGCAAACCCCATAATTGGGCTGAATGGAAATATTGCAATGCCAAATGCACGTGGATGTCACATGACATGATGAGACAAGTTTATAAGATACTTGGAGTACAAACAAATATACATATATGTGGAATAGGAAATTAAATAGGGAAAAAGGAAGAGAAGGGCTTGGTATATTTGGGAGGGAGGAAGAAAAGGGAAAGGATGCCATTAGTAAAGGCACATGGTGTGTGGATTGAGATGGAGATGAGTCTTGAGGAAGAAAGAAGCAAAAACCCTAAACAATAATAATTCCATTCACATGCAAATTGAACCTTTTTGGTATGAGCAATTTGCCAATTGGGGTTTTCAAACACTCGCAGCAACAGACTTTTCTCTAGCCATGAACTTTGAATCATCTCATTTCTCCGCCCTTTGACTCAGGGCTTATCTTCATCTTTAATGGCACACAACACCAACATGACACAAGCAACTTCTTCTTCTTTGGTTTGAATTAAAGTTGCCTCATCGATTTCCAATAAGTCTTTATCACATACAAAAAATATCTAACATGTTATATTATTATAAGGTTAAAACTCATTTTTGGTCATTTTAGTTTGACACTTCAACCACTTTTGACTTTATAGTTTCAATTCTATCATTTTTGACCGTGTAGTTTCAATTTGTAGCAATTCAATGACAAGTTAGTATTCCTGTCAATTTCTTTGACGATGCAAGGGGTAATTTTGTCAACCCGAAATCATTGAGCATAAAAGCTCGTCTGAAACTCCTCTAATTTCATATTAGGGCTTGAAATTGGTCATTTGAATTTAGGATTCTTCAAAAATTGGGATTAGTGATTGAATTTCGAGCCATAATATGAAATAGGAAGAATTTTAAACAAGCTTTTAAGTTCAAAGGTTTTGGGTTGACGAAATTGCCCCTTACATCGTTAAAAAAATTGAAAAAAATACTAACATGTTCTTGAATTACTACAAATACGAAACTATAATTGTAAAATTGACGAAATTAAAATTACAAAGTCAAAAGTAGTTGAAGTGCCAAACTATATATACTAAAAATGACTTTTGACCTTATTATAATAGCTCGATGCAAAAATATCTCTTCAACACAACGTAAGTCGAACAAAAAGTGAATATCAAAATATATATCAGAAATGCGTAACCAAAATAGGTTAGGTCACACTAGCCGTCAGTTCGAGATAATATAGCTTTTTGAGTCGGTTTTCTCCAATTTGAATTTTTTATTTATTTTCAAGAGAGTATATTTATAAGAAGTAGACATTTAATTCCCTTTTATTGGGAATTATTTCCATGATGTTATAAATGGAAAAATATCAAAATCCAAAGCAATTAAAACCGTGGTTTCACAAAAGAGGAGAGCAGACAGTTGGTATTGGTGGATGTGCCATGTGTGCAGAGCCCAATCATAGCCGAACAACTCCATCTGCAGCACCCGGAAAACCCTGACCCCGTTCTGTAGTATGCACGAGCCACCCCTTTCGTGGGTCCCATTTACGGTTAAGGCCCATGGCCAAACGAGCCACACAATGGGCCCCTCGTCCTCCTCCACCCCCGCCCCTGCTGACGTGTACGGACCGTGGGTCCCACGTTTTACGCGCTTTGGTAATTTGTCTTGTTTTTGGGGAGAGCTCACCTTTCTGTCCTGGTTTGTTGAGGTGGTGGTTTTCGGGTCTTTGGATTCCCGCAATTTCATATTTTTTTATCGTTTTTCTATTTTACGAAATTTTCAAATTATTTTTTTCACTTGGATAAGTACAGAAAGGGGGAAAGATGCCAAATTTGCAAACAAATTGCAGGTGCTGATGGCTCAGCTTCTGATCCGAGCAAAATGAACTTCAACTTAGTGCTTTCTTTTTATGTTTTCTTCTTCATTAATTTTTGAACAAGTTCTGTGGATATTAGTTGAATATTTTTGAATTTTATGATACTCCAAATTCATGTTGTGTTGTACTGAGATTTCCCAATTCCAAGTTGAGGAATAGTTCATATACTAAAAAGATAAGAGAGAGAGAGAGATATATATATTATATATTCTCAAGCCTACTTTGAGCTAAAAGAACCAATTAGTAGTTTCATTACCTTTTGGTTTTTTTAACTGATGGCAACGCTTGCATTAGGAAAACCGTGGATCAAACCGAGATTTTCATGCTTGTGGTGTGTTGTAGTACGTACGTGCCACTACACAACTTAGAATAACTAAAGTTAAAAAGAGAATAACTGAATAAAGAAGATTAATAAATTGCGCACTGCATCTCTTTAAAGTTATTATCGTAATTCTCAAGCATGCAATATGTTATAATTAAACATTCGGAAAAATTTCAAATATCGTATTGATTATTCCTTATTGCTTGACAATGTCTTCGCCTAACAACCTAAGATAATGAGGGGACAAAACAATATGGCATAGGAGGTGCAAATTATGGCTCAACCAAGGCTTTTATATATGCACATTCTATAATCTTCATTCCTATACTACATAGACCCAAGAATTATTGCACCGTTCTTTTTCTTTCCATTAAATTATTAAAAGTGGGCACTAGAAAATTGCTTGTAATGTGAGATATCTTCCTCTTGGCCAAATTGAAGGGTTGTGTGCCTTAATACAATATTAACTAAGAAATTATGTCGACCCATTGGATTAGAAATTATATCTTTCCATCAACAATGTGAAAATCAAAAGGGTTGGGCCTTAACTTCACCGTTTCTTGCTAATTGTTTTAGTTAATCAGGGACTAATTAAGATGCATCGTGTGGCTCTCCCTTCCATTTGGTCCTCAACTTTACCCCAACTTGACCAAACAAAATGAACATGGAGCGAGCCCATGTGTGGTGCACATGCACATCGAGTCATGTTTCCCCAGTGAATGGCGACCCAAAAAAAACATTACTTGGAAAATAAGAAAAAACACAAATAATTTAAATAATTTAAAATAATTTTTTTTAAAAAGGTCTTGAGAAAGGGCATTAATTATATCCAGAGACCCCTGAGGCCTTGCTCACAACTCCATAAGTACCCCCACCCTCTTCCCGCTTTCTATTCGCCCCCAACCCAATCCTATACATCACACTCTCTCTCTCTCTCTCTCTCTCTCTCTCTCTCTGCGGCAATGGCTTTCGTTCACATGCTCTGCATTGCTTCACTACTGTCACTTTTCATGGCGGCCAACGCCAGAATCCCAGGCGTTTACACCGGCGGGCCATGGGAGGGCGCCCACGCCACCTTCTATGGCGGCAGCGACGCCTCTGGAACCATGGGTACGTAACTTTTTCTTCCACCACACTTTGTTCTCTTTGTTTTCCAAAAACCGTATCTTACTTTCTCGTTTCTTTTCAAAATCTCAGGCTCTTAGGCTCTTAACAAACCCATTTGTCTCTGTTTTGCAGGCGGTGCTTGTGGGTACGGAAACCTCTACAGCGAGGGCTACGGCGTCAACACGGCGGCCCTGAGCACAGCTCTGTTCAACAATGGCCTCAGCTGCGGAGCCTGCTTTGAGATTAAGTGTGGAGATGACCCCAAATGGTGCCACCCAGGCAACCCCTCCATCTTCATCACTGCCACCAACTTCTGTCCTCCAAACTACGCTCTGCCCAACGACGATGGCGGCTGGTGCAACCCTCCTCGCACCCACTTTGACCTTGCCATGCCCATGTTTCTCCAGATCGCTGAGTACAAAGCTGGTATCGTCCCCGTCTCCTTCCGCCGGTGAGTACGTCAAAACCCACTCTCACTCTCAGTCACAGTCTCTGGTTCTTCATCTTTGTTTTTCTCTGTTTTTTGTTTTTGAATTGACCGAAATACCCTTGGTTTTGTATTCCTTTTACGCTTTCTAAATTCTGTTTGGTTGCCGAGAAACCAGGCAAGAATAAAGCCTTCTAAGCCCCTCATCCGAGTAGTCAGTTAGGAACATTCTCGTTTTCTTTAGAACCAAACAGCAGAAATTTTTTTATTTTCTCGCGAACCAAACAGCCCGAATTGTCAGAACCTTTCGTGTATTAGTTGAGCCTCCGTCACGTTTTACGTCGTTTACCCAGAAATAACCAAAGGCACTTCCGTTTCCTCCTCCCCGCTTTTACAAAAATGACTGAAGTAGCCTCACCCTTGTTGTTTGCTTTAGTGAAGCATGTAAATTAGTGAAGTCCTGAAGGGCATATGAGTGATTTCATGAGGGTCTAGGGTTGTTACAGATATTTCACGCCGTTCGACGCGTGTATGGAAAAGGCGCTAACTTTATGGGGACTTTGCGCCACTCCCGCATCGGAAATTACCAATCAAACATTAATCTAGTGTAATTAACTGCAGTAATTAACTGAGTCACCACAGTAATAAGTTTGACTGTTTATTTTTTACAGAGTCCCATGTAGAAAGGAAGGCGGAGTGAGATTCACAATTAACGGCTTCCGTTACTTCAACTTGGTTCTAATCACCAACGTCGCGGGCGCAGGAGATATCGTGCGGGTGAGCGTTAAAGGCGCGAACACTGAGTGGATGCCGATGAGCCGCAACTGGGGACAAAACTGGCAATCCAATGCAGACCTGGTGGGCCAGACCCTGTCCTTTAGAGTCACGGGCAGTGACAGGCGTACCTCCACCTCATGGAACGTGGCACCCGGTCATTGGCAGTTCGGACAAACTTTTTCCGGGAAGAATTTCCGGGTTTAAAAAAAAGTTCATCCACTGCCTCTTATCTTTTATTTTTATTATTTTTATTTTGCTTTATAACTTTTATTATCAGCTCAATTTCCCGCCTTCGGTTTTCCCTTTATTTTCCCGGAAAAAGTTGAAGTGGTGGGAGTAAAAGTAAAAGTAGATTTGGGTGTACTGGGCTTTTGGGTAGGATGAAGATGGAGAGTAAAAGTGGGTTAAAAAATGGTGGTAAGATAGGTAGAAAAGTGAAGTGACTCTTTTAAGTGTGTGCTTTTTTGATGCTTTTCTTGTTATAAGTGGGGGCTGGTAAAATTTATGTAATCCAGCAAAGATGGTATATGTGGTGCTGATGTTGGAGCTGAAGCGGCTGCAAGAACATGCAGCCCGCAGCTCTTTCTATATCTTTTATAATATATATATCTTTTACTATATGATGTGATGTGGCTTTATAATATTTGATTTTACATTTCTTTTGGAAATTGTCCATATATTTCATGAAAAAAGATGGTCACAATGTCGAATGGAAATGAATGTGCGGTGCAAGGGGTATGTAGCTCAACATGATTTATTTTTTTCTAGTATCGCTTGTATTAAAAAAATGAACATATCTAGCAGATTGGGCGGAGAAAGACTTGCATCAGATTGCAACTTTCCTTGCAGAGGCACATCATCTGCTAAATATAGACATGTCAACACAGATTTACTCCCTCTGAAAGCTTGAATTTTCAAAACCCTAACCCAAGAAAGAGGCTATATGAACTTACCCACTTGGTCCACCCAGTTAATTGGTAACATTTAATTTATTTATATATTTCACACTCAATAAGATAATGCACAGTGCCTTCATTCTTTTTGGTTGTATAAAAAACATTCATTAGATGCAATTTTACAGAAACTAGGCCATCAACTGTATATCTCCAATAATTTTCAACTTTCTCGAGTGAAGCAGGTCCTACAAGAAAATAACAAGAGTTTTATATTTGATTGGCAGTTTGGCACACCGACCAGTCTGGGTAGATAGATGTGAAGGGGGTAGGGCATCTGCCAAAGGCAGTAAGAACTGTCTATATTTTTACTCTTCTTTTTTTACCGTCCCTCTTTAATTTGATGCCAGTCCTTATCCTTTGAAAATTCCTTCCTCGTCGTACTGCTTTCAGCTAAAGCTGCCTCAAGCATTAAATATTTTATTTATTTTTATTGGTTTAATTTAAAGTTTAAACATACCACTCTGAGCACAAAAACATGTTGCCAAATGTTCCTATCCGATGGTCACACAACACAACTCGGCAAATGTCATAAATGTCCTTCAACTTCATGGTACCACTCCGTCCTTGAGGGCAAATCAAAATTTCTTTCTTTTCTTTCTTGCAATCAACTTCTGTGGGAGTGTCCTTGTTGGTGTGAGCATGTGATCTTGTATGAATGGACGGTCCAGATTCCATCCAAAATAAAACCTAGAAGATGCTCAAAATTGGAGCTTTTGATTCTGCTTCCAAACTAAGCTCAAATGGAAGCCTCAAAAACCAAACCCTAGAGGGGGCGGTGCTTACTGCTTAGGTTCTATTTAGATAGTAGAGAAGAAACTGTTGAAGCCCCAAAAAAGTGCTTGTGGAATTTATACCTTATCCAATCCACCACATAACATTATCACAAACTTTCGGTGAAACAAAAACAAGAAAAGTCACCCATTGGAGCCAAAAAGACAAAGGCAAAGTCTTTGCAGTTTTGGACGTGAAATGTTCGAAGATTATTCTTCAGACTACTGCTGCTGATTATAAATATCTTTTTCAAGGAATCTTATACAAATGGGATTTCTGAGGTTATGGGGACAAAACTGTGGAAGATGATTGATAGAATTTGAATATATACTTTGGGCATCATATCCAAGACTTGTTTTTTCAATTTTCAGGCCGACTTACGCCAATGCTTAGAGGCCACAAATTGGTCACAAGCTCTTCATTCTGTTAACTTGTGTCCAACCATTTAAAATCTTTGGAGGAGAATTGCATAGATTGACACCCATTTTTTTGTTTTGTTTTGATCACCAATCAATAGTTGGGGGGGGGGTTTGGCTTACAATGGTGATAGGGTAGGGTGGGGGGGTGTTTTTGGCTTACAATGGTGATATTCTAAATTATTCTAATGCACGAGGAGGAGGGGTTCAAACTCTGGTGCAAAGGGCCGGATACGTTGCCAATGAATAGTGGATTTCTGAATACATGGCTTGCCATTCTCAGAAAATGATGGAGTTTGTTGGTGGAGAAGCCCTACATGCAACAGACAGAGGATAGATAAAGCATAGAGAGCCCAACCTGCTAAAGGCACCAAAGGGCTGAGCCTGATTCTATAATTTATTTTTACAATGGACCCTTTAAAAGGTATATAGGTCCAAACTGAATATATGGGCTCAGACCCAAAAAAGAAACTGAGTATATGATGGGCTTAGGCTTCAGAGCAAATTACTGAAAAGCCCAAAAATAAAAAACAAACTGAAACGCCGTCTGTGGGAATCGAACCCACGACCACGTGGTTAAAAGCCACGCGCTCTACCAGCTGAGCTAAGACGGCTGGACGTGTACTTAAAGCAAGTAATGCTATTTATATATTGATTTGATAATTAATGAATAATAACTAACAACATATATAAACTGAAACCACGTAATTCTACTGTTTACACTTGGAAATAAACTGAAACGCCGTCTGTGGGAATCGAACCCACGACCACGTGGTTAAAAGCCACGCGCTCTACCAGCTGAGCTAAGACGGCTGGATGTTTACTTAAAGCAAGTAATTTTATTTATATATTGATTTGATAATTAATGAATAATAACTAACAACAGCTGGCTCATATACACACGTGATTCTACTGTTTACATTTGGAGGAATAATTTGCCTAAGAATTTAAGGTGAAAGCTAAAGCAACAGAGATCTCTCCAGCAAAAGTCTTGTCTTGAAGGACAACTCTATACTTCGCAATTCCAAGTTCAGCCTTTCCTTTCTCTGTGCCCGACGCTATCACATCCTTCACATACATCCTGCAACACAACAAAAAGAATAGTTTTATGTTATACACATATTAAACTTACAAATCACTTTAATGCATATGTACATCTTTTATACGAGTGAGAACTCATCCATGATACGATATGGTACAAAAACTTGTAATTTTATTCAGAAAATACAAATTATTGTTATATATATATACATATATGAGCAAATCATGTACGTACTTTGATTCGCCAATAAATACATCGTGGTCCAAGAGCTTCTGAGTGTCCATGATACGAAACAAAAGCATGTATTTGTGATTTTCGCCATCAGGATACTCTACATCGAATCTGAATTTTTCATTCCAAACTGGCTTCGTCCCTTGTCCTGCGTACGTTTCAATTACATATTAGCCCCATTACTTTCATTTGTGATCATTTGGATGTAAAACATTCGAAAGGGGTGTATATGTATGTAGTCTCTATCCTTCTCGGTCGGTCTATATAGAATTAAAGTTGTAGAGCATAAGTCCGACAAGAAAACATGACTTTCTAATATAAATGTCATGAATAATTAGATAGGCCCCTGACGCCTGATGCTGACCTTTGGCTATGGTGCTTGTATGCTTTTGATTTCCATACTGAATTACAACGTAAGGGTTCATCTTCACTGCAAATTTCAAGTACATATGAACAAAATAATTATCAAAAAAGATTTCCGGTAATAAACAATACTGAAATATGAAGGAGTTAAAGGATACCAATAAAATCCATGTTCTTGAGGCTTCGCGCTTCAACCAACGTGACCTCCAATGTACCAGCTACCATATCTCTCTCTCTCTCTCTCTCTCTCTCTCTCAGATGAGCAGATATTGCAGATATTATAAAGACTTGAGGGAGAGAAGTTCAACTTCAAACACAAAGCTGGTTCAAATGGATGTCTCTTTTTAAACTTACAAGTCTTTGGTCGTCTCATGCAAATTGGTGTTAATATATGTCTAATTAATTAGAAGCTACGCCTTCTTCTGCGTGTACATTTTTAGGGTTTCTTTTCCAGCTGCGTTAAGTACGTCAGAAAACTTAATGGGATGGGATTATTCCTTCTGGATTTGGGATTTGCTGCTGTTTGTTTATGATTATTATTATTTTTAAATACTGTGGTCAACCAATCAGAAGAATTTGAAAGCAGGTAAGGTAAATGTATATACATTGTTTCATTAATTAATCGTTTTAGAATTTAGACGCAAACACAAAGACCTTCTCTGCCTTTAATTAATTAATTGCCACCATCTCTGCCTAATTGTTTATCCCAAGCTTTGTAATTTGAAAACTCCCACCTAACCCATGATTTGGCCAACCCAATTGGAAAATAAAATCGCTTTTTTTTCCAAACACGGTTTTGCTTCATGCAAATTGCAATTGATTTAGTTTAAATTTGTTACTAAATTAAAATAAATTTTGTAATATTGTTGATTTTAATGTTAAGAGAGAGAGAGAGAGAGAGAGAGAGAGAGAGAGAGAAGAGCTGGAGCTCCAAGGTGGTGACGTGTAATTGGAACCAACCATGCATTGTGATATGGACTTGGATTGCAATTTGAAGAACATGCATTCCATGCACCAAGGAGTGCATGATGACCAAGACCAAAGAGGATGGCTGTAGAGTGGTTATGACTTACTTAACTCAAGCTCAATCAACTTCTTTGCTATACTTTATTATCTTTTGAAAAGAAAAAGTAAAGTTAACCCTTTTTTGAACTCCAAGTTTAGTGGTAGAATACATGAGGGCATAACATAATTAGTAGGGGTGGGCATGGTTTGGTTAGAGCTGGTCACTCACTAAATCAAAATAAAGAATGAAAAATAGACTTGATTTCGATTCAGTTCTACCGGTTTTCGGTTTGGGTCTTTGCTCAATATTCTTTTGTCTAACAACCCTAAGACCATATTGAACCAAAAACAAAAAACAAGCCTAAGCCCTTCATTTAATTTTTATTTTTCAAGAATTTTATAGTGACAGTCTTGTATATAGTCCTTAGATAAGACTTTATCTCTTTATCGTTGGATCAAATTAGTTACCTTGATCCAACAATTAGGAGATAAGACCTCACTTAAGGGCCATATATAAGGCCCTCATTAGAGCGATTCCACCCATTTGCCATGGCAAATGGCAAAGGGGGGCTAAGGCAGACACTATTCACGTGAATAGTGGCTTCCATTGCAAAAAGCAATGTGTGTTTCCACCCATTGCCATGGCAATGGGCAAATACTATTCACTTTTGTTTTGTTTTTTTAAAAATTAATTGATTTAAACCTAAACAATTAACTTGGAGAATATTTTTTTATTTATGCTTTGTTTATGTTTTATTTTTAGTTATGCTTTGGTTGTGGTTTTATTTATTTATTTTAATTATGCTTTGGTTGTGGTTTTTCTTTTAATTATATTTTGTTTGATGTATGGAATGTGTTGAAATTTTTGTGTAGAAAATGAAAAATAATAGAAGGAGAAGAAATTATATGAGGATTTTGTGTTGAAAGTGAAGAAGAATGGTAGGTATTTATAGAAAAAAGAATTTGTTGGGGAATTTTTAAAAAAATTTTGAATTTTTTTTGCCCAAAAAAAGCCTAGTCGTTGGATTTGAAGAGGAAAAAAAAAGCATCAGTGCACTAGAACACGCCATGTGGTAGAAAAAATTTGAATTACTACGCTGATGTCAGCAGCCTTCGAACTCAGCCTTGGGCTGGTTTCGCCTACGGGTTGGCCCAATCTCGTGGGACCCATGGCCTGCCCTCGCTTCACAACCCGTTGGAAGCTGCTTTTTGGACTCAAGCCTTGTCCTACTAGGGTTGAGTGTTGTTGCTGGAATCGCTCTTATAGAATGATTATTTTATTTTTGGTTGTTGAGGCTTCAAGTATATTAATCCCATGAGTGTCTAATAAATGCACAACAACCCAAATTTAATTACAACTAAATTGAAACAAAAAAAAAAAAAAAAAAAAAAAAACAAAATCCATCATGTATATATAATTTCAGAAAAATAACATATTCAAAGAAGAAGAAGAATGACATAGTAATAGTACATTTTCGCACGACCCTTTGTATTTGATAAAAATGAATTGTAATCGTTAGAGCATCTCCAACCAAAATGCCAATTCCAATGTGGCAAATTTTAACCCAATAAAAAAACATTTTAAGCCTTCCAACCGCGATACCAAATCCTAGTTGGATTGACATCCTTCATTTTTGCTGTCAAAATTGAAGCCAAGATGTTGAGATGTCTTTTTATTTTTTATTATTATTTTAATATTGAGCCCACTTTCTTCCCTCCTCTTTCATGTAGAGTTCTTAACTCTATTTAATATTTTACTCTTAAATATCGGGCCCATCTGCCTTTAAAAATAATAAAATAAAATGTATATTTGACATCTTAATTGGATAAAGAGTTTTACATAAGTATAGATTAATCACAATTTACTGAATTGTGCTCTCACTAAATGAGAATTTTCACCAAAGACACACCCTAATATGTGACCTTGGCAAGAGTGCCGTGCTTTCTCTCTAAAAGTTGTGAGTTGATGGCCAACAGAGTTAGGCTAGGTACGGGTTAGCTGTATGAGATTGGATTAAGTGCGAGTCCCCACAAGCTATCTTAGATTTTGCAGAGGCGGCCGAATTTTTGGCTTTTGGCGGCAATAAAAAGAGGAGGCTAGACACACGACTTCATTGATTTGAGTTTCTAGTTCAAACCATGTCCTTAATCCAAGAATTCGACCAAAAAGAATGTCCTTGATTCAAGAAGATCTTTTATCTTGTAAGTGCACTATTGAAATGTTCCTGACAAACAACCAAACATGAAATCTAAGCCCCATGATCTTAGAAAAGTAGAGGATTATCTCCAAGACGGTCCCACAGTAAGACATAGTGCTATAGAACTAGTGGCAACGTACGTGTGGACTAATTTTCATCGTTGATGCACGCAAGATTCATAATACATTAAAAGTAAAGATATATTTTGTATGCGTATGCTTGAGTGACTCACATAGTATTCTTCTTTACGAATAACGGATATGATGTTATTCAAAGGCAGAAAAGTGTTTATAACTAAATACTTTCTGACCAAATTATACGATTAATAAAGGTAGCATGTGAATTGAAGGTGAGGACATTCACCTCAGATGCCTTTATCCACCTTGGTAACTACCTTCCCTAATTAGAAATTCAAATGTTCAAATAAACCAATCGCAGTACGTGATTTTGTTTTTTACCTAATTGAATAGTTGTTGCAGGCATATGAGTGAAGGTACTACTCAAGTACATCAAAGCTTTATCTAATGAATTTGTGACCCTTTTAAGAAACACTAGTGTGTGCCACCCAAAACAGGTTACTAACAACCAAACATCATTGACTAAAACAAGACTAACACTACAAGCATAGATACAGCTTATTAATGTACGGACAGCATTAACTTCACTATATATAGACCACTAGTCTTCTATGCATATAGATCCTACCATCTACCATCTTTTATTTTCTTTAATTAACCAACTAACTCGTACTAATCAACAACCAAATCCTGTTGTACTTCTACCCAAATAAAATAATAATAATTCTTTTGTGTTGTGACTCAATTAAGAGTAATGCTAGAGAAATTACATTTTTAGATTATTTTAGTGAATTTGATTATGCGGTTTATGAAGTTTATTACTGAATCGATTATGAGAATGACTAGTCGGTAATTGACACGAGATGCGATAGAGACTTTCTTATAAGGACAGTGCTTTTGTCACTTGGGTATCTCCTTGTCCCCCACATTGGAATTATCAAATTTTCCCTATTCACATATTATAATTCCAACTGTTTATTTTTTAAATAATCATTTAAAGATCCTCTGTGAAAAAACAATCAACCAAATTTGAGATCTTTTAGTCACTCATATGTATTATCCTTCTTATATCTGGGGTAAATCATAATGTAAACACAATAATCTAGAAAGCAGGGGCAAATTAGACATTTGGCACCAGCTAATGGGAAACGATGGGCACCATGCATCATGAATATGGGCACCCATATCCATACCATAACCAGCAAAGGGAAAAGCTTATAAAATCTTTCAAAAGAGAAGAAAGTTGTGTATAAAAAAAACAAACAGGTGAGAGAGAGCTACAGTGAAAGGAGCTTCTTGTAAAGCTGAGTGGCTCAGAGAGAGAGAGAGAGAGAGAGATAGCTCCATAAAGCACCCATCCATTCATTCGTCTCTCTCTCTCTCTCTCTCTCTCTCTCTCTCTATTCTGCTGTTTTGCTCCATTATTTTTGTACAGTCAGAGTCTTTCAGTGTACCTCACTCTCTCACTCTCACACACATTTTGCACCAACAAAGCCTCTCTCTTTCTCTCTCTAAGAGGCTCAGAGCTGGCATGGGCCATTGTCAGGTGTCTGCTTTTCACTACCCCTCCACATTCACCACCTTTATCACTCTCTCACTACCACTACTTTAGAAACTACCCTTCTCTCTCTCCCTCTCTGTCAATCTATGCATTCATCAATCACATTCATGAATGGGCTGTAAATGACAATTATGGAAATGGGCTCTAGCTCTATGACCGATTCAGGGAGCTCCTCCTCCTCTTCCCCACCTAACTCCTCCACCGAGTCTCTCAACGGCTTGAAATTTGGCCGGAAAATCTACTTTGAGGATGCGGGTCTCGGAGCTCCATATAAATCCGGGTCTGCTGGGTCTTCTTCCTCTGGGGCTACACCGCCCAAGAAGCAAAGGGGTGTGAATTTGGCTCAGCCGGGTCAGCCACCGAGGTGTCAGGTTGAGGGCTGCCAGGTAGATCTGAGTGATGCCAAAGCTTACTATTCCAGGCACAAAGTCTGTGGCTTGCACTCTAAGACCCCCATGGTCATTGTTGCTGGTCTTGAACAGAGGTTTTGCCAACAGTGTAGCAGGTCAGCAAACACTTGTGCCCTTTTAAAAAAAAGTTATTAAATTTGATGATGGTTGGGGTTTTCTTTCTTTATTATTTGCACAGAGAAACATTTGCCCATTTGCAGTTTCAACTTTTAAAGTTTATCAATTCGGTGATGAATTGCATTCTTGGTGGTGCTTGGTGGGGTTCTAGCTTTTGTTTCTAGTTGTTGATGATTTTTGTTGTAATTTAGCTATGCTTTCCAATTTGTCAATTTTCTATTTGTTTCAAGTTTCTATCTTTGGACTTTGATTTAGCCCTTTGGTCTTAACTGGTTATCTACTTTAATGCTATTTTTGTTTTGTTTACATGGAAAGTTGGTATATGCCATATGGGGTTGTCTTGGGTATCTGTTGTTTTGAATTTTAATGTTCACTTCTTTGCTGTTTCTGGTAATGAGTCTGGACATTTTCACTGTGCATGGCGGTATAGTTTCTTGTTTATTTTTTTTTCTTTCTTTGGGTTGCATAATCCTTTGGTGGTTAATGCTTGTCCTCTGTGAAATTGTTCCTGTTACTGAATTGTGTTCTGGTTTGTTGGTGCAGGGCTTGTTGGTTACCTTAATAGAATGAATGGGTAGGGGGCTGGTGTGTGTGTACTGTGTTTTACTTATCTTTTGGGTACATACTGGGGGATGAGTATGGCCCAAATTTTTCTCTAATTTTAGATGTTTTGTGCTTTTAGTCGTTAACTTGAAACTTGAAGCTATTAAGGAACTGTTGGGTCCTTTTTGTTGTTGTGGAGCATTTCATCCAAAAGGGTTTAATGTAGTATAATGAATTAAAAAGCTTGATATATGTGCTTTCCGTTATGCACTAAGGGAATGAGTTCTTTCTAGTTCAAGGATTTGATCTACTACAGTTTTATCATTATTTTAGAAAACTGAGTAACCAAGACAAAGTCATTTATGATTGATTGTTACGACAATCATGCCCTGAGAACTAGGTTTATCTACCACCTTTTTAAGGGATTTAATGAACACGTATGAAGGTGTTTTCTTGAGTTTTACAACAATAAATTACCTTAGAAATCAGAATGAACATAAGACTGTTGACTTCACAAATGGAAATAAGTTAATTGCATATCCTCAAATTTTTATTTTTGAGATTCTCAAAACCAATTAACTTGTGGTGTGGCATATTGAACTAAAGTATTACCCATGGGGGTCTCGAAAGCTGTCATTTGAATTTTCTGTGGATATGCACAAGTTTAATAAAACTTGATCAATGCATCATACAGTTGCCACTAATCTATCTAAACATCTGCCTCCCAAACCAGACTTCAAATATGGCTACACAATCCCTCACTAAGTATTTCCTAGTGTTTATAGGTGATCCTACTATAATATTGGTCTTGTTTTGGAGATTTTCTATGAGGAAGTTCATCATGGTCGGATGCTTTTAGACCATATGATAAAATGTAACTTTCAATAGTTCACTAGAAGGCCATTGATTCGAGAAACTAGAATAAACCAAGGATCTAAAGTCGTCAGAAATGCTGCAGTTTGATGCTTCACTTTCACGGCTTGTGTGCCAAATGAATAAGCTTGCAGCAATAGTGATGAGACTTGAGACTTGGGTTGAAACAAATAACAAATGCTGTTTCTTTGAAATCCCATGTCTTTTTGGATGTGATAACCTTTATGGAAACCATGTCATTCTTAACTGATTTGCTTTGCAAGTGTAAGATAAAATTTAGCATTAAGTATATATGCCTGTGGTAGTAGATGATTTTAAAGATCATCTAGTCTCTTTGATGTTTTTGATACTTTGGAATAAAATCATTAAAACATGATTTCTTTTTCATTGGCAATCTATTATGTGATGGTATGTTCGCCTTTAAAATTGAACATTACATGCCTAGTTATGCTGCTATACCAAGTTTCAAACAGTCTTATAAAACTAGGCATGAGGTGTGAGCTATACGAGTATGAGACAGAATTTCTAGATATAAATAGTAAACTTTGCTTCAGGAATTCTCTCTGTTGAGTGACAGCAAACTTGTACATTGTATTGTCTCTTGAATAGTTTGTTCTTTAAGATCTTAAGATGACCCTTTCAAACTAGCAGCGTATGCGTAAAAGGTTCACAATCACAAGTTAATGATACTTCCCTTTGCTTTATTTTGTTCATCAATAATAGTTTATTATATTTGAGTTTGGTAGTTGAAAAATGGTTTTGTTTCTTTCAGTACTTCAACTAGGATGTTTTTCGATTTATATTTATGAGTATTTTTTTATTAAAAAAATAGGTCTTGCTCTTTCTGCTGTGGTTTTGTCTTCTAATTAGGTTTGAACTAGAACATTTCAGTGGTAGCATTCAGTGAATTTCAGGTCTCATCAGTTATGGCATAACCTACGTATACCGTTTTTAAAAAGAATCCAGATCCTCTGGTTAGCCAAACTAAACAAGCAATTCCCTTAATTAAATGTCTGCTTTTGCTTTTGTTATTGTACAAATTTCTTCAAGCCTTTAGTACAGGCCCTATTTTGATGGTGAATAACTTACCTCACAATTCCCAGATTTCATCAGCTTCCTGAATTTGACCAAGGAAAGCGTAGTTGCCGTAGACGCCTGGCTGGTCATAATGAGCGCCGCAGAAAGCCACAACCTGGATCCATGTTGTCTGCGCGTTTTGGCCGACTTTCTTCATCTATCTATGGTTAGACATCAGCTCATCATTAGTTGAATTTTCCTTTGAATATCCCTTTAAAATACCTGTTTGCACTCTATAACTGTCAAATGTGTATTTTTCAGTTTCCTCTTACTGTACTTATAAAACTGCAATAAAATGTTTTACTTGAAATGATAGAAAACAGCAGCAGAGTTGGAAGCTTTCTCATGGACTTCACTGCATACCCCAGGGTTTCTGGGAGGGATGCATGGGCAACCACGAGAACGTCTGAGCGGGTACCTGGAAATCAAAATTCCAATGACACAGGGAAGTTTCTTCAACATCCATGGCAGAGCAACTCTGAGATTACTCCATCAGGCCTTTACCTGCAAGGTTCAGCGGGCGGGACTAGTTATCCTGGTCCTGGAATTCCTCCGGGAGAATGCGTCACAGGAGTCACTGACTCAAGCTGTGCTCTCTCTCTTCTGTCAAGTCAACCATGGGGCTCTAGAAACCGAGTATCGGGTGTTGGGATGAACACCGTGATAAACACTCAAGGGCCACCTGTGGGTCAACCGATCACTCATGCTGGGACCTCCAACCACTTTCCGACCACTTCGTGGGGTTTCAAGGGAAATGCTGGTAGCAGCACACACGAGATGCTTCCTGATCTTGGTCTCGGTCAACTATCGCAGCCTCCTCTTAGTACTCAGTACTCTGGCGTGCTTGAGTTGTCTCAACAGAGCAGCAGGCGGCAGCAACAAATGGAACTTGGACACACCAGGGGCTATGACACCAGCAGTCAGCATGTTCACTGGTCGCTTTAAAATAGGCCCCTTGGTTCTCCAGTTCTTATGAATGCCTTGTTACTGCGTCTTAAAACTTTGGAACCTTTTGAAGGTTTTATTATGTTTTGTTGGGTAGAAAAACCTAAACTGGCTATGCTTTGTGTGTGTGTTTTGTTAAGACTAAGAAGATCAGAATCTAAGGTTAGCATTCAAGGCTTGAAGTGCCTACCTAGCAATGAAGCTACTATTTTGGAATTTGGAATCTTATTATGATTATTGATGGTTGGTGAATTTCTTTGAAGCACTTCGGATAAATTTAACACGTTTCAGGGGAAAGGAAAAAAAATAAAGCTTTGTTGATAACATAATCTTGGACATATTTGCCGTAAGAATCTCAAAGTTTTGTTGATACATCCGTTCTTTTATCTGGTTGAGACATATTTGCATTGGGTATTTTCTCTATTTTAATTATAGAGAATGAGGGATAGATAGGGACACGAAAAAGAAGTGAATCAGAAAGGGGATAAAGCTTTAAACCCAGAATGACTTGTATGATTATGAAGGGATCATCTGTAGTCCGTTTAGGTGAGTTGAGTACCGAAAATTGTCATCGTTCAAGTAGGGAGTCTACGTATAGTCGAAAAGGGAAGAAGAAGAACACAAAAAAGAAGACGACGAGGATGGATGAAGAAAACGGCAAAAGAACGGTAAGTGAGAGAGAAGTCTATAGGGAGTCGTGGAAAACATAATTACAGAGGGAGAAAATGGAATGGGAAAGTCAATCAAAAATTATGATATTGATGGTTTGTGAATTTCTTTGAAGCACTTTGGATAAATTTACCACGTTTGATGGGAAGGAAAAAGGCCAAAAAACAGAGTTTTATTATTTAATTATTTAACTAAATAAATAAAAACAGTGGAAATAAATATTATGAGGAAAATGGAAGGGTGTCATGAGCAAATAACTGGGTGTGGCATTAAATGTTAAATCCTAATTTATCTTTTCTTACAATAGATCCCAAGTTAAATTCAAGAAAATGTCTATTTTAAATTACCACCATAATTCCGTCAAAAAAAATTACCACCATATTTATAACTAACAGCACAAATTAGCGCTAGGACAAACAGAAGTAAACGACAATCAGCTATTCAACGGACCGGAGATTCACCGGGTTCCTTCGCTCCGTCCAGGACCACGGCCACTGCAACGACGTCGTTTCTGTAATTTAATATCTCTGAAGGAAAATGTGTCCAGTGGCACGTGCGAAGCGGTTTTGATTTGTGTTGACGTGGGGTCCAGCTATTCAACGAAGGTCAAGCTGGTTAAGACGTTGCTACAGTCTCTCTTTCTCTCACACTCTCTAGCTCTCTGCAACTTACACAGCACGCAACCCTCTCTCTCTGCTTCACAATCTCTCCTCTCGCGCTCTCTCTCTCTACGACGCTTCCTCCAAGGTTCGTCTTTAGCTTCTTTTGATTTTCCGCTTTAGAAATGTGTTATTGATTGCGTTTCCTGTTCCGTTTGGTTTCCGAGAAAATGGAGGAAAATAGGAAAAATGTGCATTTCTAACGATTGATTGTGTATGGCAAAACAGGAAATTGATTTTGTTTAGCTTCGTTTCATTTCTAACGAATTTTCTTTTCGTTGATTAACGCAGTCTGAATTTGATTTTCGTGAGTATGGCAAAACAGAGTGTATGGATGTGCTTCACATTAACTTTCATCTCGGCTATTCTGGCTTTCCAAGCGGTGGCATTCACTGCTCCAAGTGATGGTAACTCTTACAATCATTATTTTTTTTGGTCTTTTGATGGATTTTATGTTCTCTGATGAAAGTAGAAAAAAATAGAAAGAATCCGAAACTATGCATTTTTTGGAATCAAGTTTCTGTCTGTGTTGCGTGAAATCTTTTTGATTCTATGGAGTTCGTTGATTTTATAAATCTCCATCATATTTGTTCTTTAACTCTATGCACTGGAGTCACGGCTCTTCAAGATTTTTACGAGGCTCTTAACAGCCCTCCGCAGCTGAAGGGATGGAGATTGGATGGTGGGGATCCTTGTGGTGAATCATGGGTTGGAGTGTCATGTTCTGGGTCATCTGTAATACACCTGTAATGCTCCTAGTACAATAATTCTTTTGTTGTTGGCAATATTAACTATACTTGGATTATGTACTAAACTTAATTCCGCTCTCACCTTATGCAGTAAACTTCAGGGGCTGAACCTCTCGGGGTATCTTAGTGCACAGCTCTATAATATGTTCAACCTGAAGACACTGTAAGTTTTTTTATAATTATAAATTAAATTACTTCATATACGGTTTGTGCAAACCTTTTCATCTGGTTTCTTCTTATAGGGATGTTAGTTCCAATAACATTGCGGGTGAAATTCCATATGCCTTACCCCCAAATGCCACTCATATGTAAGCACGATTCCTCGTTCATACAACTGGTTTTATTTTACATGTTCTACAATTTTGATATTTATGTTCATTGCTTAATGACGTGTGCAGCAATCTGTCATGCAACTATTTGACCTTTATTCCTCATTCTTTACCTACCATGGAAAGTCTCCGACATTTGTGAGTTGCATACTGCTTATTTTTACTGGTTCTGGTTCATGATTATTCAACATAAGTTGTAAACTTTTCCTTTCTTGCAGGAATCTAAGCCACAATTTGTTATCTGGACCTGTTGGCAATGTATTTACAGGCCTGCAGAATTTAAGAGAACTGTATGCTTCCTTTCACAGTCCTTTTAATTTTTTCCATGCGCTTACCAAACCTCTAGCAAAGAAAGAAAAATCTATTGAGAAAATAACTTACAATTTAATTTCCAAATGACCCCTCTAGGCAACCTTCTTATAAGCAACCAATCGAAACAAAGAACATCAAAATGCTCCCACTGGTCCTGGGCATCCAAACTGTCTAGCTAAATTATGCGAGTAACAAGTACGTCTATGTAAATATTACTTGACAATTGCTTGGACAATAGCTCTGCTGTTTTAGGACTTGCTCCAATAATATATGTCTTTATTCAATCTTTTCTTTGAACACTTTACTGTAACTCCGAACCAGTCAACCTCTTGTTCCCTTAAACTATAGCACTGTTCTCATCCATAACTATACAGGGCTTTAAATTAAGTCCAATATCCTCAACTTTTGCTGTGAAAATCTCATACCTCATAGTATACTATGAACTCAGTCTGCAATATCGTTACTATAGTATGATTCAGCTTATCTTCTCTGGTTATTGCACCACCATCAGGCAAGACATAAAAACAGATGTCAACTTCTGAGAAGTTTTATATCACCTCTTTTGTAAACAAAATTTGTACTCCATAGTCATGTGCAAATATCTCAACATTTTCTTTTCTGCTGCCCAATAAGCTTGGCCTGTACACACATTAAGCTGCCTACAATTGAGGCCTAAGGCTTATCTTGCATATGCAATCTGTCTAGTGCATGTTCATCACTGAATTTATCTCAATCTGATATTGGTACATCATAATCGGTGCAACCTTCCATTTTAAATTTCTCAAGTACCCCTTTTCAATATAAAACCCTTTGAGATAAAACAAGCAATTCTCTTTCTCTGTCTTTGATAATATCGTTGTTCAACACATTAGAAGCCTCCCGCAACTGTCATGACTAAAGATTTAAGCAACCTTTCTTGGTATCATATAAGACTGAATTGCCCTTTCCCATTTGGCAAAATAGGCCTTTTCCTCAGCAATTGCGTACTCTTTGGTTTTTCTGGAGCTTGCTCTCTTATTGCCATATCAATATCCAGAAGTCCAGGAGCTATCTCAAGATCCCTTTTCCATTTCTTGTAGTTGGAACCAGTCAGGGTTTCGATGGTGTTTAGGTTTGTAGTGTTCATAACTTGAAATTTAAAAACAGACAACCATACAAATAAGACTTTGATCTAGAATGATATTACAATCATGCTAAAACATGCTTTGATCCAAAACTGAAGTTGTATTTAAAATATGCAATTATTCCGTAAAGCAAGATGTCATGACAGAGAGCATGACCATAAAAGTGAAGAACAATATGAACTGGATTTGAACAAAGGCAGAGAAAACTGATTTCTGCAGGGATTTGTCATACAAAATGATATGCCTTTCTTACTTGTGAGTTTTGATTTCTGCAGGGATTTGTCATACAATAACTTTACTGGAGATCCCAATTCATTCAAATCCTTGGCAAACCTCACTGGATTGTGAGTTTGTGTTTTGCTTTAGTTAGTTTTTTTCTTGCTTGTCATAATAATGTGTCAGCGATTTCGCATGTCCAATGGGTGCATCTGCCTGCAGGTTCTTGCAGAATAACAAATTTAGTAGATCAGTTGCTTATCTAGTTGAGCTTCCACTAACTAATCTGTAGGTCACTCTATCTGCCCTTTGCCAGCATTAGTTTTCCTTTTGTTTTTTTTAATTTAAAAAATCTGATTTTCTTCTTGATTCTTAACAGGAACATCGAAAAGAATGATCATCATATCAATTTTTCCAATGTCTTCCAAGAAGAACACAAGAGTAAGATAAAAAAGAAGATATATCTTGCTCTTGTGTTCACTGTGTTTATTGGGGTTGGCCTAGTATTGGCTAGCAATAAGGGGAAAAGGAAACTGACTGACGAAGAAGAATTAGGACCTCAGACTCAGAGGTTTACAAATGCATCAAAAGACTTGGATGAGAGGTTTGAAAAAGGTGGATTCATGAAGCAGGTGGAGTGGCAGGTGGTAGAGGGGAAAGATATGAATGAGCTGAATAAAAAAGTGAATAAGTTGGAGAGGAGGAAGAAACGCCCCTCACCGCCGATGAAGAAAGGAGTGCAACTTATTTGTCAACAACCCGATGAAGATTTTAAAGATCCCGATCCCGATCCTGATTCCAAGATGGATTTATTCCTCAAATAGCCCCTGAATATCTTACTCAAGTACACTCTCTTCTTTGTGATGGTTAGATTTAGTCCAAAAAAAAATCTATCGGTTTGATGGGAGAGTAGATGTTAACTTCATATTAAAAAAAGATTATAGAATATCTCCGCCACAAGATTTAGGCCTCACACGCGGCCCAAAAGTCCCCTTACACACATGCGTGAGCTGGGGCCTATCTCGTCCTTTGTTTGCATGTGGCCTGCACATCAGCCCAAAAGCTCCTAATTTTTCCCACAATCAAACCCAACAATTTTAACTCAATCATAACTGTAGTTGTTTTCTCCATCGTCTCCATCTCCCTTATCTTTTACATTTATTCTCTGTACAAAAAAAAAAAAAAAAAAAAACGGGGTTTTGAGAGTCCGAGAGATGGCGTAGGAGGGACCCATAATAAAATCTATATAAAATCTTATATAATGTGTCTCACCACCATTGAAGATATGCTCTAATTAAAGCTTCAAGGGAGCATGGGACTAAGGATTGCATTACACTATAGTGATGTACCTCAACAATTATATCTCATCCACACTAATATATTTACAACAACTAATGCATTAAATCTATCAGATTTCACAAAAATGTACTAATACCAGTTACGTAAGTGCATGTACATGAAATGCGAAAAAAAAAACAGCCTAACTAGATTTGATCGATATCAATTCACATATCATATGGTATGGGACAAGTTTTTTTGATAAATACCACGAGGTGTCCCCACACCCGAGATATATGTGACAACTTTGATCACCTAGCTATGTACATATTATTAATTAGGTTTAGATGGAGTAGCTAGGTGAAATATCTAGACTGGAACTAGGCTCTCCACATAATGTACTCCTCCATAAAAAAAGTCAGTTTGGCCATGATTGAGAAGCTTTTTTGTGTCGCTTCCATGGTCATACCCAAACAAGTTTTCAGCCGGCTCAATTGGATCATCTTCATATTCTAATCGTTTGGAGAGAATAAATTGATCCTTCCAAACTCCTACGATCCGTACTCCTGCAGCAAATACTTCGGATGTGATTCTAAATTGTTGAACCCAAACTGGCTTCTTAGATTCTTGATCATGAGTGAGCACCCAAAGCACTCGCTCCAAATCGCCATTTTCTGAATTATGCGTACATCTTAGAATTGCAACTGAACTATTATTCCATGCTTCCAAATCAAATTCTCTACCAAGACGACGCCATTCTATTGGTAGTGGTATCAAATAAAAAGCCTCTTCATGTAAATTGAATGACACAAGATAGTACTCCGCCGACGTTTGCTCTACCAACCAATACATCATTCCATTCACGGTAACCGAAACAGATGTTAGACAAACTTTAAATGATGGAAACTCTAATTTGTCTCCGACATCTTTCCATGAATTTGTACTTTGGAGGAACACTTGGGCTTGAAAAATAACTACTTTTCCACTATCATCGTCTTCTTCGTCGTCATCTTTACTGCCATAAGCTGCCGGGAAAACTCTCACCACTTTGTATTCACTAATCTCTGGTAAGAAATCAAAACCTAAAAGAGGATAGTTACACTTACAAGAATCCCACCGTTTACGTACTCGACGACGCCCTTGGATGCCTTTGCCCTCCTCCTTCTCCTCCTCCTCAAAAGGATTAATTGGTGGGAGATACCTAAATTGTTCTGTTGCCGGGTTCCATACTACTACTAATTCAGTACGCCCAGGAGGAGCAGGAGCAGCATCCTTCACCTCCACCTCCGCAGTACTAGTATTATACTTCTCATTTTTTATCTCATTCTGAATGAACAGAACACAACAAACTAAACCATTATTAGATCCCACGAAGGCAAAATATTTCCAGCGGCTAAAGATTTGCGGATTTTTAGGGGGACGGAAAGAGAAGGGCACAGGAAGTGTTGTTTCTTCCTCACGAAGCAATGAAAGCTTGATACTTCTTTCATTAGCGCTTATCTTTTCTCTCGAGACAAGGAGAAGACCGGAATTCTGAGCAGAGCGAGAGCGATGAAGAAGGACATGTCTAGCAATGAAATAAGAAGATTTGGTGAGACCATACCACTCTTTTGAGACGCATCTAAACCTGAGTACAGACTTGGCAGGCAGTTTTGAGAGAATTTCTAGCAGGACGTCTTCTTGTATGACCTTCCTAATTTTCTTTTTCGGCTCTGAAGTATATAACTTTATTCGATATCGTTTTCGACCACGAACTAGCAGCTTCACCACACCACTTGATTCATCATCCATTCTCACTCTTGTTAATTAGCAAGGTTATCAAAATCGTAGGGAGAGCCAAGGGGATAATTTTTTTTATAGGAATTGTAGCAGTAACTTATTTATGTGCATACATGCCTTTCTCCAACAATATATAAAGGGCAAAGTCCTATTTCAACTAGGATATGTATAAAAACCCACTGGCTACCAGTTTTTTTATTTTATTAAAATTTTAAAGAATTTATTTACCCTATAGGAATAGGAATAGGAAATGGACATTTCATATGCAACGTGGAATCCCTGTAAGCGTTGGAAATCTTTCTTTTTTATTTATTGTTTATTTTTTTTTTTTTTTTTTTTTTTTTTTTTTTTTTAAACAAACCCCAGAGAAGTGGTATGTGACTACCGGAATCCATCGATATAACAAAATAAAAAATAAAAAAATCTAGAGCACGACTGTTTCTACCTCCATGTTCTATAGTACCCCACCCACATTAGATTCTCACGCCCTATAAACTTTTTTAAATAATAATTATCTCTTTCCACCATCCATTTATCCTAAAATAATGTTAATTTTACTACATTTTTACACATCCTTATACCACTTGATCCTTCACATAATGTAGCACGTGATGTGTTCATGCCACACCATTAAATGAAGTAACAATTCTAACTTTTTATTATTTTCTTTATATAAGCTTTAGTTTAAAATCAATAGGAAATTTACTATTGTGGTAAATGATAATCCAATTTCACATAATCTAGATAAGGTTAATGACTAAAATATAGTATCTAATTTTACAATAATGAATTAAAAAACTTTACAATTACACATGTAATGCTCCTAGTACAATAATTCTTTTGTTGTTGGTCATACTCATATTAACTATACTTGGATTATGTACTAAACTTAATTCCCCTCTCACCTTATGCAGTAAACTTCAGGGGCTGAACCTCTCAGGGTATCTTAGTTCCCAGCTCTATAATATGTTCAACCTGAAGATATTGTAAGTTTTTTCTTAATTTTTTTTAGGCTAAATTGTAGCAATGGTCTCTAGACTAAGACCAAACTTTACTTTTAATCCCTTATATTGCTAAATTGTTACTATGGTACTTTAATTATGCCTCCACTTTTAGAAATCGTCTTTTCTGTCATATCAGTCAACTTTTCCATTAAAAATGAGGACACATTTGTCTTTTTATGTGATGGATTGAACAGAGACGCCATTGAGAATTTTTTTTTTCTCTTTCTTTCTTTTTCATTTTTTAATTATTTTGTTGTTCGGTTTTATTGGAGGATTTGGTGTCTGATGTGTGTGTGGGGGAGAACAAATCTGGGTGTAGGGTCTTATGTGTGTATCCGGCGGGAGGGGGAAGAACACATCTGGGCGTGGGGGAGGAGAGATCCGCTAATATTGTCCCTAGTCCCATTGATTTTGTTGGGTCAATTAAATCTTGTGAGGAAAATGGGTCCAATCTCCATTTTTTTTAGAGAGAGCAGATGGATCCTATCCCTTATATCGAACACTGAATCCTATCCCCAAAGGGAATGACACTTTGATTACTCAAATCTTAAAAAATATATATCAATCGGGTGTTTTTTTTGGGTGGGGGGGGGGGGGGGGGGGGGGGGGGGGGGGGGGGGGTGTTGGGAGAGGAGGAGCAGGGGGAGAGAGGAGGAAGGGAGGAGGAGGAGGAAGAAGAAGAAGAAAAAAAGAATGGGGGAGGGGAGGGAAAAAATTCCCCAAAACTCTAGAACGACCATCGTATTGCAGACTTTGATCCCCCGCAGAAACCCAAGACAAACAAGTTCGCTATAGCCTGCGCCATTTTGGCTTGCACGACTTCAATCTTATTGGGTTATGGTAATTATCCTTTACACCCCAGCTAATTAACATTGAAATCGGGGTGGGAAGAAGAAATGGAAGGGGGAAGAAATTTCCCATGGGAAGAATGGGGAAATAAGAAATTGGGGGAGAGAGAGAGGAGATTTATTTTTTAAATTTTTTGTGTGAAAATACATTTTTGCCCATACCAAGTAGGACTTATCCATGCCAGGTCATCATTTTTAATGGAAAAGTTGACTGAGATGATGAAAATGACGATTTCTAAAAGTGGAGGCATAATTAAAGTACCACCGTAATAATTTAGCAATATGAGGGACGAAAAGTAAAGTTTGATCTTAGTCCAAATACCATTGTTACAATTTTGCCATATATATATATTGTATGGGGATTCTTCATTACGGGGTACGAATATGTGGATTAGTTATGAGGAACGAAAAGTAAAGTTGGGGCTTAGTCTAGGGACCATTGTTACAATTTTGCATATATATATATATATTGTATTGAGGGATTCATCAAATAAATATTTGAGGGACGCCTTTTAGGGTACTCTACAAATTTTTTTTCAACAATCCAAACAATCTATCTTTTAGGTCTTCAGTCATAGATTGTCTTTGCAAAAAATTAGACAAATAAGAAACTATTTAGACATCTAATTGTGTTCTACAAAATCAATGAACACGGTGGTTCAAAAAAGCCTATAGCTAGAATTAATTAAGAGTAAGTTACTACATACATACATGTACATGAAATGCAAACAACAGCCTATAACTAGAATTAATTGATATTGATCCACATATATGTGTGTATATGTATGTATGCATATATCTCCTCGTACGTATGTCCACTTACGTATACGTGTGAGACAACATTGATCACATAGAACTACATACAGATTAACTAATTAGGTCGAGACAACTTCGTGTTCCGTTTGGTTTCCAAGAAAATGGAGGAAAATGGGAAGAAAGTGCTTTTTTACCTCAATTTATATACTAACAATTTTTCTTAGCTTTCAGCTCATCCATCTAGATTGGAAAGCCATAGTTTTGTAATGTAGAGTTTTTTTAGCCTTTCTATTTTGTGTGGTGGCCTTCTTAGCCACCTCTTGTTACGCTGGTGTCTTGTTCTTTTTTGAAATAAATATATAGGATAGAGACCCAAAAATTCCCGAGGATGCCCTAATTAAAGCTTAAAGGGAGCATGGACTACGGATTGCATTATACTAGAGTGGATGTACCACAACAAATCTCTCTCATGCACATTAATATATTTACAACAACTAATGCATTAAATTTAACAGATGTCAAAAAAATGTACCAATACCAATTGAGAGTAAATATATACACAGTGGCGGAGCCAATGCATGCCCATGGAGAGCATGTGCCCCTCCTCAAATATTGTTGTATGGATATTTAATTATAGTAATATTATGAAATTTCTTTTAAATTCTTAAATTTCCCTTTTTTTCCCTTTATTTCCCCTTTTATTCTCAAGTCTAAATTTCTTTTGAGTTGCATATATTTTATTATTATGAATGAATGTTAGGTTATTTATACAAAAAGTAACAACAATGAAAGTAAAAAGAGTTTGAATTTTTAATTGTGCCCCCTCTCACATAAATTTCTGACTCCGCCACTATATACATATATATATATATATACAGAGAGCTTCCATTGAGGGATCCCTCAAATAAACTTATTTGAGGGACACCCCTTGTAGGGCCCACTCCAGATTGTATTTCACTAATCCATACCGTCTATTTTGTAGATACTCATTCAAAGATCATCTCTACAAAAAATCACTTGAATCCGATATCATTTGACCATTCAATTGAGTCATTGAAATTTTAGTACTTTCTTGAAGCGCCGTGTTCATTGATTTTGTAGGACACAATTGGATGTCGAAACGGTTTCCAATTTGTCTAATTTTTTGTAAGGATGATCTATGAATGAATACCTGAAAAATAGATGGTTTGGATCATTGGAAAAAAAATTGTAGGGTACCCTAAAAGGCGTCCCTCAAATAAAATTATTTGAGGGATCCCTCAATAGAAGGGGACTGTATATATATATATATATATATACGGTTTGGATTAGTGAAATACAATCCGGAGTGGGCCATACAAGGGGTGTCCCTCAAATAAGCTTATTTGAGGGATCCCTCAATGGAAGCTCTCTGTATATATATATATATATATATGAAATAGCAATTTAGAGTAAATTACTACATACTTACATACATGTACATAAAATGCAAACAACAGCCTATAGCTAGAATTAATTGATATAGATCCACATATGTATGTATATATCTCCTCGTACGTATGTCCACTTAAGTATACGTGTGAGACAACATTGATCACATAGAACTACATACAAATTAACTAATTAGGTCTAGACTGGAAGTAGGCTCTCCACATAATCCACTCCTTTACAAAACCAGATTCGGTCGTGGGGAAAAAGCCTTCTCTTTGTGTCGCTTCTAGGGTCATACGCAAACAAGCTATTTCGTGATCGTTTGGAGACAATATATTGATCCTTCCAAGCTCCTACGCACCGTAATTCCGAAAATACTTTCGATTTGGTTCTAAATTGTTGAACCCAATCTGGCTTCTTAGATTCTTGATCTTGAACCAAGACCCAAAGCACTCGCTCCCAATCGCCATTTTCTGAATAACTAGTCAAAATGGCAGCTGAACCATTCCATGGATGTAAACAATATTGAACAGTAAGACGACGCCATTCTATTGGTAGTGGTATCAAATGAAAAACCTCATCACGTAAATTGAATGACACAAGATAGAACTCGCTCGACGTTTGCTCTACCAACCAATAGGTCACTCCATTCAAGGTAATCGCATCACATGTTAGACAAGTACTTTTACATGATGGAAACTCTAATTTGTCTTTGACATCTCTCCATGAATTTGCACTTTGGAGCAACACTTGGGCTTGGAAAATGGCAACTTTTCCATCAGCATCATCATCGGAATCGGGATCATTACCGGGATGAGGTGCCGGGAAAACTCTCACCACTTTGTATTGACTAATCTCTGGTAAGAAATCAAAACCTAAAACATAATTCCTGTGACGATCCCGTTGTATGCCTATGCCTATGCCCTCCTCCTTCTCAAAAGGATTAATAGGTGGTTGCGGGAGATACCTAAATTCTTCTGTTGCCGGGTTCCATACTACTAATATATCAGTATGCGCAGGAGCAGGAGCAGCATCCTTTTCTTCTACATCTCCCTCCTCCTCCTCCTCCACCTCTGCAGTTGTACTATTCTCTTTTTCATTCTCATTCTCAATGGGCAGATGACAACAAACTAAACCATTACTAGATCCCACACAGCCAAAAATTTTCCAGCGGCTTAAGGTTATCTGTTCCGGGATGGGGAGGAAAGAGATAGGCAAAAAATTTGATTCTTCATCATCAGGATGCAATGACATCATTAGAAGTCTGTCAGGTTTTTCATTGGTGAGATATTTCGAGACAAGGAGAAGATCATGATTCTGAGCGGAGCGAGAGCGACGATGAAGGTCATGTCTAGCAATGAAATAAGAAGTTTTGGTGAGAGCATACCACTCTTTTGAGACGCGTCTAAACCTGAGTACAGACTTGGCAGGCAGTTTTGAGAGAATTTCTACCAGGACGCCTTCATGTAATACCTTCCTAATTTTCTTCTTTTCTGGCTCTGAAGTATATGACTTTATTCGATATCGTTTTCGACCACGAACTAGCAGCTTCACCACCGTACCACTCGATTCGTCATCCATTCTGACTCAGAACACGCAGCAGATTTGTAACAGATCGATCGATAGAAAACGTAGGGGGAACCAAGGGGATATATAAAGGCAAAGTCCTATTCCAACAAGAACAAACCCTACTGGCTAGGCTACTGGGACCAGTAATTTTGTTTAGAATTATTTATCCTATAGGAATATGAATATGGATTAGAAAAGGACATGGAATCCCTAGTCTACTAGTATACTAGCTTCCTGATTAGATTAATAAAAGATTTCCACATCAGCAAGCGTTGGAAACCTTTTAATTTAATTTATTAATATTGTTTATTTTTTAGGGTGGCCGAGTTTTAACAAACCCAGAGAAGCGGTCGTCACTTTCGATTCTTCCTCCAATATTTTCCTTTCCCACAAACAATTGATGCAACACGAGCCCATTTTGTATTATTATTGGGATTAACCCTCTGAACCTATGTCAACCTTCTTTTTTTCTTCTTCGTTTCTTGTTTGTTTGTTTGTTTGTTTGTTGTTGTTGTTGTTGGAGCAATTCTTCTTTTCATTTTCCCTAAAGTTAATGTTCACGCAGTAAATCCTTCAGTGCATGCACTTCGGTGCAAGTGCGGAGCAAAGAATTTTTTTAACGAATGGACTAATTAAAGTTAGCTTAAAATCTAATGATCAATTTTTTATTATTTTTTTGTACTTATCGTTTCTATAATCGTTTTATAAATAAAAGTATACATTAAATCGTATAAATCACACTAGTTCCTATCTTCATTAACTAATTTTTAATAAACTTTACCATAAAACCAAAACATATTAAATGCGACCAAAAAACACTTCAATAGCATAATTAAAAGTGTACCTCTTCAATTTGTGTCATGCAATCATTGAAAGAATTGAAATTTTTTGTTATTACATTTGAATCCGTAAATATATATTTTAGAAACTCGTTCTTCATTTTGGTTGCTAAGAGTTGTTTTAACGAGTTGGAGAGATAAGGGTAAGGACTTTACCCTTCAGTCGAAGTCGAAGTCAAAGTGTTTGTTGGGATAGAGGAAACAAAAAGTGGTGGTCTCTGTAGGGGGAGAGGATTATCAAATTGATATGTTATTTTTATTGTTGCCCTACACTAAATTGATAAAGAATTGGACTTTTTTGAATTTTAATAGGCTAATAAATACTATGCTATATTTAAAACAACTCAATTATAGGCTTCATTTTTTACCCCCAAAAATTTCACTGTTCTACAGCCCACCTAAGCCATTGGAGTAGTTCTGCCAGTGCTTCGGTGATGAATCTTCTAGAAAACTTTCCATGTCCTAAGAAGGATTGGATCTCTTTCACTGATGATGGAGGTGGCAAGCTACGTATCACATCAACTTTGGGCTTGTCAACCTCAATGTCCTTACTTGAAATCACATACCCAAAAACACGGAAAGGCTATAATGAGGGCTTAAAGTGAGGAGGTTATTTGAGGAGGTCAAATCTCACCATCAACAAATGTAAAGAAATCATGAGACTTAAATATTTTAAATGTTTTGACGGTCGGATCGGTCTCCTCAAATAACCTCCTCACTTTAACTCCTTATTGTAGAAGCTCCCCCCAAAAACAATTCCTTGTTGTACTATAAAATGGCACTTCTCCCGATTAAGGATTAAGTTGCGTTCCTGGCATCTTTTCAAAAATAGAGACAAACTGTTAAGGCATGAATCAAATGAAGTCAACTACAAATACCTTGATGAACTTTTCTACCATATCAAGGAAAGTACTTATCATGCATCGTTTGAATATTGCCGATGCATTGCATAATCCGAAGGGTATATGCTGGTAAGCGAATGTGTCATAAGGACATGTGAATGTTGTCTTGTAATAGTCTTCCTGAGCTATAACAATTTGGTTGTATCCTAAATATTCAACCAAGAAACAGTAGTAATTGTGACATGCAAGACATTCAAGCATTTGATCCTTACCGGTAGCAGTATTTAACTTCATGTAATAAATGCAAACATGCCATCTCGTTTGAACACAAGAAGGAAAAAGTTCATTTCCCTCATTTTTCACAACAGTGATGCCCGACTTTTTCGAAACTACTTGGATCGGACTTACCCACTTACTATAGAAAATAGGATAAATGATACCCACATCCAATAGTTTAAGAACTTCCTTGCGCACCACCTCGATCATGATTGAATTTAACCTGAGTTGAGCATCTATGGTGGGTTTGGAATCATCTTCCAATATGTGCATGCGTTCTGTTGGGCTTATCTCCTTGCTGTCCGCAATACTCCTCATCTTGCTCACTGAAGTTGCAAGCAATAATCACGGACATTGTCTTTGATTCACCTAAGTAAACATACTTAAGGTGTGATGGTAATGGTTTGAGTTCTAATTCTGGTGCTCTGACAAGAGAAGGAATAAACTTTTCAGTATTGACAGGTAAAGGCTCAAAGGTAGGAGGATACTTACATGACACGGTTGGTAATGCGTCGAGGAATTGCACAACCTCATGTATCTCATCTTCATCAATGTCGGAGGCTTGAGAATTTTGTGTCAAAACCCTCTCTAATGAATCCGTACCATGAACTTTATTGAAATTAGTTTGTACAATTTGATGTAATGTATCAATACAAAAACATTCATGCTCTTCATTAGGAGTTTCAAAGCATCAAACCTTGAAGGTTATGGTTCCCCTTGAACTTTCATGGTCAAGGTTCCTGTTTGAACATCAATTTTGGTACCTGCGGTGGCCATGAAAGGATGACCAAGAATCAATGGAAGATCCATAGCTGGAATAGAAGCTCTTCTATTTCTAGAATTAAGAAATCAGCGGGTAAGATAAGATCATTCATTTGCACAAGCACATCTTCTAGGATTCCTCTTGGGTACCTTATGGAATGATCTGCCAATTGCATGCTCATATAAGTTGTTTTAAGATCACCTAATTTCTAGACATGACAACATCGTACACGACGTGAATTTGAAAGAAAAATTTAGTATCTAGGTCTAAGTTAATGGGTTGTGTTGATAATTGGTTGACTCGTTAGCCATCCGTTAAGCTAACAGGTCATATCAGTGTTATTCACGAATCACTCGTTAATTCATTAAGGACATGGATATTTTTGTAATTTCATATATTTCTTTTTGTCTTTCTCTCTCCTCAAACACCCCCCAATCTTCTCTACATTGTGGCCCAAAGCTTGGGAGCTACTGTTGGTGTTGGGTTGGTAAAGGCCTTCCAGAAGCACAACTACAAGTCATTAGGTGGCTAACAGCGCCAACTCGGTGGCTCCTGGCTACAGCAAGGGCACAACTTTGGCTCACGGACGACGACACGATTGAGATGACGAAGAAATTTGGGGAGTATGAGAGATGAGAGTGTGATGACGGCGGTGATGAGGGTCTGGACGACAACGCACTGTGCTAGTTGATTTTTTTTTATTGTTTAATTTTTCAGTTTAATTTTTTATATTATTTTAAAATTTAATTTTTAATTCTTAACGGGTGAAACGATTGTGTCATGTGATTCGTGAATTGCAACGGGTCGTATTCGTGTTTGATTTATTTCACCTGTTTTCCTAAAGTGTCGTGTCGTATCAACCCGTTAAGAAAAACAGTTTGACACAAACACAACACGAATAAACGAATAAGGCATTAGATGAAAAGAAACACCTAAATCAAGTAAAGTATTTTCAAATCTTTGATCACCAATGACACAAAGGTTCGTGTTTAAAGCCCATTTATTAAATTATATTTTTTTTAGAATAAAAAGTAATACATAATATTATTATATTTATATCTTAAATTCAAGAATATCTCTTTTCTCAAATAATTTATATAATATATTAAAATGGTTTCTTTATATATAAAATAATGATTTTTTTTTCAAGTTTCAATTTTTTAAAACTCAAACAATATTCTAGCCATTTTCTATTTAAATATACTTTAAATAAAATTATTGGCCTCTTTTTTCAACAAATAATAAATCTTGTTAGTATATACGTAATTATAAAAAATATATAAATGAAGTTGGAAAAACTAAATTACAAGCACGACTCGATCCCATATGGGCTAAGGCTGAGATTGATGATTTTCATAAATAGACGGGCCAGGCAGGACTCGTTTATTAAATTGGCAGACTCTAAATAGGTCGGTTTGGCCCAACACGACCCATTTGACACTTACACTGCTGAAAGTTTGGGTATGGATCAGACTGAAAATTCAAGATTTGAGGTACAAAGCTCAACCAAAACCCTAGCATTCCAACCGAATTACAGAGAAGATTGATAGAGAGAGAAAGAGAGAGATACTATAGAGCAAAGATTAGAGACAGAGATATAGATTGAAGAGAGATTGAGAATTACAGAGAAGATTTGAAAATTTATTGCCAAAATTTCTCACTCCCAATCTCTCTTACCATTCTCAAGCTACCTTTTCCTGAATATTAGGAATTTACTCAGGCTCCCATTTTCTTTTTCTTTTGTGTTAATTCTAGGGCCATGACCGTACATGACATCAAAATGCCCTGTCTATAGACAAGTCGATAACTCAAAAACCAAGCAGCTATTTTTTGTCTAAATCTACCCAGTTGATGGTCTTTTCCCTCTAAATTTAACCTAGCTGGCAGATTTGGGCTTTTTATCTATCAAATTCATCCAAAAGGCTAATAAAAAAAGGGATTTCTCAAAAATATAATTAAATAAATGACAGATAGCTAATTTTGGGTTCTTTTAAATCCAAATTAGATGAATTTGGATATCTTCATAATATTCATACTAGAAGCAGGTATATAAATAAATAAATAAATAAAAGTAAAATAAATATTATGAGCAAAATGGAGGTCAATGGCATTATTATTATTTTTTGCAGGTTGTTGCTAGTTCCCGCCAGTGTTCTCACTCGCGGTAAAATTTTGATAAATAATAAGGTCGTTTATCCTAAAATACCCCTACATATCAATTCAATCACTTTACTAACATACACTCTTTCTCGCCCCTTATCTCGCTCAATTTTTTTCCCTTGCCATAGACCTTTTAATTTTGGGATCACAAATTTCTTTCCACATCCACTTTTCTTGCTTAGTGGCATAGTGTATTACACATATGCATGTCATCACCGATTTCACATGTCCATTGGGTGTATTTGCGTGAGTTTATGTTTTGTTTTAGTCATTTATTTCCTGCTTGGCTAGTTATAAAGTCATCTTGTTCTCATTTCTTGCTTGGTATAGCTATAAAGTCATCTTATCCTTATTTTGAGGGTGCAACCACCACATTTGCTAGAAAGAAAATATTTTCTTTCCTTTGTAGTCGTTTCTTCTCTCTCCTCTTCGTGACTATTTTTCCCTTCTCATTATCTCTCATCTTCCTCTTTTTATTTTCTCTCTTCTTCCTCGCCGCCTCGACTCTATCCTCCTCAAAAATAGAAATCGTGCCGCACCAAATCGTTCATTCGGTGAACCAACAATGTTGATTTTTTGGGATGACGATTTGTTGTCGGTGTTGAGATTTGCTCCAACAAAGATTTTGGTTTGGTCCTCATCTTCAGGGCTCCAGGGTTTATTTGACTTCCGCTTTCTGGCACAACCTTATTTTCATTTGGTTTTCTTTATTTTGTGAAGGCTATTATCCTCAATAAAACTTGAAAAATGAAACTACCATCACCGTCTCTCAGAGATAATGGAGACAATGAAGTTGATATGTTCAATTTTTGCAATGTTTTCCGAGATGAACATAAGAGTAGGATATATCTTGCTCTTGTGTTCATCATGTTTACTAATGTTGGCCTATAGGATAGAAACCTCAATAAAACTAAGGAAGAAGAATTAACACCAATATCTCAGAGGCTGCAGCAAATGAACTGCATCAGAGGTTTGAAGAAGGTGGACTTACTTGTCAGCAACCCAATAAAGATTTCAGAGATCCCGATCCCAAGACCTAGTATGCAGTGGTAACACAACACTGCTTCCATACTTCTCCCACTTGGCTTTATTGGTTTATCTTTGCCTATAGTAGTCCATGGGTATCTTACTCAAATTACACTTTATTGCTCTCAAGGATGTTACTTGACCATCTTTTATTCAAGTAAATAGTCTCTCTTGTTTTAATTACAAGTTTTGGTAACTTCATAAGAGAACGACTTTCCTCCTCTTCTTTGTCATGGTTAGATGTCAACTTCATATTAAAAAAGAGTTCAATTTCAGTTTAGTATCCTGTGATTTCACTCGTAAGGCATGTTTGCCGCTGTGATCTCAATTTTAACAATTAAGTACATTGTATAAGTACAATAAAACCAACAAATAACTAAAAAACTGTGACAGCCCAGTCGATTTTGGCTATGACTCAAGTCTCTGGTTATTAGCTTGGGTTCGGGTCCCAGGAAAGCATAACTAGGAGGTACATTTGCGGGAAAGAGGAATGGTTGTTACAATTTTGATCCATTCGAATAATATAAAAAAAGAGTGAAGGAAAAAAAAATCCAATATCTAGACTATGCCTTCATGGAGGATTTTAACAAGGTCACATAATTTCTAAAGGAACCAAAAATACTCAATGAGCTCAAATACATATTTATACACAATCACTTCATACTTTACAAGAACAATCTTGGGTATGTACAAATTTGAACTCTCAAGACTTTACTCAACACCTTCCCTTGTATCTTGGGCAGCATGAAAAATTTCTCTCAAGCAAAAAGTGGGGATGCAGAAGGCCTGGGATAAGCAGTCACTCTGGAAGCATTAGGAGCACCATTAGAATGGCCATGACTAGTTACATGGTTCTCTTTCTGAGTACTTTTCTGCATGTCCTTTGTCTCCTGAAGCTCCTCCAGTGTTGTTACCACTTCGTTCACGTCGGGTCTGTACTTAGGATCTATAGAAAGACATTGAAGTGCAAGGTTGGCAGCCTTTTGAGCCCGATTGAGTGAGTACTGGCCTTCAAGTCGAGAATCAATAACACGAAAAACCCGGCGTTTGTTTCTCAGGTATGGTTTTGCCCACTCCACCAGGTTGTGTTCTCCAGTTGGTCTGTTCTTATCTATAGCTCGTCGTCCAGATAACATTTCTAGTAGAACAACTCCAAAACTGTATATGTCACTCTTGGCAGTAAGATGACCTGCCGAATAAAACATGCAATTAATTGTAAGCACTAACTGTACTTTGGCTCTATAATACCAAGCTTTGGCAATTGCACCCGCATTCCATCAATGGTCAACAATTGAACGTAGGTTATTTGACAGATTATTTTTGGGCTTTTGATGTTGGAGAAGTTACTGGGAATTGGTGTACTTCATGGAATTAACTAATGGAACTTGTCCCACCCCTATCCTCTTTTAAGATTTACAGGGCAGATATTTTCTGAGGGTAATGTTAATAGACTAACTTCATGAATGCAGAACTATTGTCAACTAAGGTTGATAAGCTACACAAATTCGTACTTCTTCAACAGTATGAGGTATAACCTTACTTGGCAAATGTTTTATGCATAACAAATTTTAAATTATTTTGGACAAACAGTTTTAGCTCTGCAAAAGTGCATCTCAGAAAATTGAAATGTCATCTAAAGCATGAAACTTGGAGTGGTGCTTGGTTTCTAGAAGCCAAAGAGGTTCCATACAGGTCAAGGATTTTAGAGAAGAAATGAATATGAAAGTAGTACCTGTGGCTAAATACTCAGGAGCAGCATATCCTTGAGTTCCAATGACCCTAGTAGAGACATGGCTCTTGTCACCAGTTGGGCCATCCCTGGCTAATCCAAAATCAGACAGCTTTGCATTGTAGTTCTGAAATTGTAATAATGAGTCAGTACAGAGGCAAATGATCAGCCATACTGAATCTGATTAAAGAATGCTATTGAGTTACGTACCGAGTCGAGCAAAATGTTAGCCGACTTGAAGTCGCGATGTATGACTTGTGTTTCAGCATTGTGGAGAAAAGCAAGTCCCCTTGCAGCACCAAGGGCGATTTTCATTCGAAGGCTCCAAGGTAGTGGCTGAAAGTGAGAACTTCCTGTTGCAGCAGTAGCTAATGCTTCAGTTACAAGTTATTATATGCAACTTGCAGTGTGCTATCTCTAAGGAGAAAAAAGGAGGGGGAGAGAGAGAAAGGTTCAAAATGAATGCCACTATTGAGGATGTAAGAAACTCACTCCTGAATAGATGATTTTCCATGCTACCCTTAGGCATGAACTCGTAAACTAAGAGCCGATGATCATCCTCTAAGCAATAACCAATTAATTTCACAAGATTAGGGTGATGCAGCTCCCCAAGATAGTTGATTTCTGTCTGCAGGTCCAAAATGTAGTGTTAATTACTCTGCTATTTGAGAAATGCTCCAAAAATCATGCCAAATTGACAATCAATATTCTAGCCAAGAATTGCAAGTCATAGAAGAGTTACAGTTAGGTGATATGGAGAACTTCTTATTGCAAGTTTCTCCTAATTTAAAGAGCCATAAACTACTATGACATGAAGTTTTAAGCGTACAATGCACACAAGTAAATAAACCAGACCATCAAAACTCATGAAGATGAAAAGGAGATGACTGCACTCACCAACCATTCCTTGTGACCCTGGATTCCATCTTGGTTGAGCCTCTTCACGGCAATCACCATGCCAGTACCGGCCTTGGTAGCTATGAGAGAACTTTCATCAATCCAACCTTTGAAAACAGAACCAAAACCGCCATCTCCTAGTACACTGTCAGGACGGAAGTTTCTTGTGGCATTTTTGAGCTCACTGAACCCGATACTCTTCAATTTAGTAGATTGTAAGATCTCACCCTCACTCCGAGGAGTGACAGGCATGGAACCTGATGAGGCCTTGCTATTTGAAGCACTCCCATTTTTAGAATTGAATCCTACAGAGAAAGTAATCCAATCGACCTATGTTACCAAATGTTCACTTCAATAGGCAGAGGTGAAAAGTGAAAACATACTGTACTTCTAACTTTCATCTCCAGAATAATGTTTTCCAAAACAAAACCTTAAACAGTCATGGTGCTACCAATTCGATAGTTCCCTAAAAGCAGTTTCTAGCTTATAGCATAGAGGAAAATGATCTTAAGCATTATCAAAATCCTAGGTAAGCTTACAAAGTCCTAGCAACAAAAACTTATAGCTTCAATTAAAATCCTATAAAACTACCTCAAAATAACAAACCCATCTAACCAAACAAAAAGAAGACATTCAGGAAATCATAATTTTCATATTCTCTGATGAAAGTAGTAACAGAGTTCATTTTCCAAGAAAGAATAGCAATACCTGTATGAGAAGGAGTTTCAGCCTTGATTTTGTTGCTCCAGCAAACCCCCATCCAAACAAAAGTTTCCCAAATCTCTATCTCCCCAGCTTTCAAACAAATTCAACAAGCAAAACAAAACAAAGTCTTGAAATGCAGAGAACCTCAACAAAACTCAATATGAAGGCCCGTGAGAAAACAGAGATTTTGTCCCAGACTGATATTTTCTTTTCTGGGTACAATCTCCCCACAAGCTTTTTACCCTCTCCCCATAAAAAGACATGTACACTGAATCCAAGTTCAATTCAGACACGAAAAAGATCACACTTTTTTTCTTTTACAGATATCCTAGCTATAGCTGCTAGTATAGATGATTGATGCTATTGGGTTCCTTTTGCTTCTTTTGGTTTTGTTTTCGGAGGAGAAGCTAACAAAAAACGAGGAAGAAAATAGAGAGGGTCCTTTGAGCCTTCGCCGTTGGAGCTTCTGTGTTGCCTTTGTAGACCTTCGCGAAGCACAGAGCAATAGACGGTTGACTTGCTTTTTAGATTCTCTGTCTTCTACTCCAACTAACACATTTATTGGCATTTTAAATGGGGAATATTAATTTTCTTTACATTTTGTTTCTTTGTGTGCTAATTTTCATTAAAAAAATTTACTAAGTAGATTAGATTTATTAATAATGATGTTCTTTTAAGGGATTCAGTTATGTTACACAGTTGGAAATCAGAACCAATAGTCATATAAAGTTTCTTCAAATGATATTCTTATGTGATTTTGTTAAAATGTTGGAGAAAAATTCCATATTTATTTTTCTTTTTATATGAAAAAAATTCTAATATGCAACAATCACAATGTCACGACACACGGCAATATAACAATCACGTAAAAGGATTACTCACTCGCATAAATCCGATATGGATAAGTTAGTGGCGACAACACAATGGTTTCTCTTTTTTTTTCTCTAATTAATCAGCTACTTGATAACTAGTTATGATGATCGGATCGTTGTGATGGAGGGCTGATGCTTATTGTGTTTGCCGCATGTTTTTGTTAGACTTGTCACGCGGAGGCATGAATAATATGCTGGTTGGAGTTGTCGGTGTGCTTTTGTAGATCCTCATTCATTGTTAATCAATTTTCAGACCATTCCTTTGTTTCTGTAATGGCATCTACTCAATGATTATTAGTCAAATTGCGTGTTTATTTACTTATTTAATTACACCTAATTAATCAATTTCTGACCATTTCATGGATTAATCTGAGTTTGATGGCCTATCCGTAACGTGCACGTTTGGAGGAATAAGTCAGTGTTGGGGTTGCTGGGAAGCTTCTTTTTTGGAAATTTGGATCTTCTAGATATGTAGATTAAACTAATAAAGGTGACCTTGCTGCAATTTATTAAGAATTTAAAATTAATAAGTTGATGGGTTCTCCAAACTTATTTCTTACTCTCTTTTTTTTTAATAAAAAAATGGAAATTATTTTCTTACTTTTATTATTGCACCAATTTCACAGAAATTTGAACAAAAAAATATGGTCTGGTTTCACAACTGACGCGAGAAAATCAATTTATTTCTTAGTTTCTCACTTAATAAATAAATGAAAATAATTATAGAAGGCAATCACGTCTCATTGTCCCTTCTAATTATGCCAAAGTAAGGTCCCCACGTTAGCTTTTTATTTTATTTTATGTTCTACGGTACCAATGTTTGAATGATGTCGGAGAAAATTCACGACGGTTGTCCTAACTATTGACTTAAAGGTGGATGCATATGAAAAATTATCGGGTGGTATTGAAACATGGTCACTTGGTATCAGAGCATCTCCACCTATAAGAGCAACTCTAGTGGCATGACAGAGCCTCGGGCTGGGGGAAAAAAAAGCCAAAATCCGTTTTCAGCGAGGAGCCCAAGCCCGGGCGCAAGGTGGGACCCAGCAACCTGGGTTGGCCCGAGCTCCAGCCCTCGTTTTAGTGCTGACGTCAGCGCTACAATACTCACGCGCTACAGTGCTGCTACAGTCCACGTGTCGCACTCTAGGCTCTTCGATAAGATTTTTTTCTCCAATCCAACGGCAGCTAATTTTTGTGCAATAAAAAAATGAAAAATGAAATTTTAAAAATACCTTTATTTTTTTTCTTCTATAAATACCAAAATTTTATCCGATTGAGATATGAATTTTATAATAAATATTGACACGTACGAACCCAAAAATCTTATCCGAAAATATTATCAAAATTAATTTTTTAGGTAAACAAATTTGTGAAAAAAAAACAAAAAAATGAATAGTAATTGCCCTTTGCCATGGCAACGGATAGAAACATACAATACTATTTGTAAGGTCAACCATTATTCACATGAATAGTAGCTGCCCTAACTCCCCCCTTGTCATGACAAGGGGCAAATGGGTGGAGTTACTCTAAGGGCTAAGTCTAGGACAAGGGTTGCCACTATTCATGTGAATAGTGTTAGCCTTGTTATTTGTGTTTCCACCCATGAGGGCTAAGTTTAGGGCAAGTCTAAGGCAAATACTATTCATTGTACTTTATTTCCTATTTTTTTACTTTAAACAATTAATTTTGATAATCTTTTGTAATTAAATTTTCGGATAAGATTTTTGGTTGTCACGTGTCCATCATTTTTCAGAAAAGATTTTCGGATGAGAATCTCGGTTGCCATGTGTCTTATTCCAAATAAAATTTTCGGATGTTCATTAAAAAAAATTATAATCTCATATTTCAGATGAGATTTTCACCCTCTAAAATTGTGCCACGTGTCCCATGTTAGATAAGATTTTCAGACATTTAAAAAAAAAATTATAATCTCATATTTCAGATAAGATTTTTACCCTCTAAAATTGTGCCACGTGTCATCTCTATCTTATGAATCCCTATATAAAACTACACCCTCAACTCATACCTCTCATACCATCTCTTATCTATTCCTTTATTTATCAGATCTTACAAAACACTTTCTACTCTCAATGTCAAACTTGAGGAGGGTGTTGGAGAGGCAACAGAAAGAAAGGGAAGAAATCCGGCATAGACGTGCTGAAGAAGATCGGGACGCCGATAAATAGTAAAAAATATTGGAATGAGAAGAGTTTGTATGGAGAATTGGTGTGGAAAATGAATAATGTGAGTGGGGAGTAAAAAATATTGGAAGGAGAAGAGTTTGTATGGAAAATTGGTGTGGAAAGTGAATAATGTGAGTGGAGAGTAAAAAATATTGGATGGAGAAGAAATTGTATGAAGATTTGGTGTGGAAAGTAAATAAAATGGTTAGGTATTTATAGGGAAAAATACAGAATTTTTTGGTATTTAAAAAAAAATTTCAAATTTTTTTCAATTTTTTTAGCCAAAAAAAGGAGGATCGTCGGATTTAAAAAAAAAAAAAAAAAAAAAAAAAAAAAACGGAGAGGCTCGGTTGCGACACGTGTCAAATGCCCGTTGGAGTCTGTCAGGGGCGACATTAATGCGCGGAAGTCAAATTTTTTTACGCGCCAATTGTAAAAAAAATTTGAATTACCGTGCTGTGACGTCAGCGCTGACGTCACAGCCCTCGGGCTAAAGCCCAAGCGGAACTTGCCCTTGGGCTTGCCTGGGTTGGTGGGACCCAGCTCTTGCCCGGGCCTCTTCTCTCGCGCTGGAGTGCTCTTGGGCTCGGTCGTGGGGCCTTTTGCCCGGGATTGAAGCAGAGCCTGGAGCTGCTCTAAGACGTTTGTGTATTGTTATATCATCATATGAATGGATGTCAGTTTCTACTTCAGAGTATAGTATTAGTAAATATTCAACTATACTCGATCAGGCACAGATTCATGATTTAAAAATAGGGAAATTCACTATTATACCCAAATATGAGCCCGAATTATAAAAAAAATTATAAGAAATGGACTTTTTAAATACATCCAAAGCCCATTTACAACATAACAAAAAGGCTTTTAACTTCTTTTAAATTACAAAACTGTCATTAATTTCTTAAAACAAACCCAACCCCAAAACTTCATACAAAAAGCCCAAAACATTTTATAGGGCATTAAATTAATTTAATAATCAAAATTAAATTCAATATGGCCAGTTGTCATTTTTTGGGGGGTTTTTTGGGTTTGTTTATAGGAATTAAATGGTGCATGGTTTATTTATAGTTTTAGTGCTAAGAATGGGGTATATGACTAAATATCTCTTAAAAATAACTATGGCTAACTTTTAGGCCAATTTTCCAATTGCAAAGTTTCTATTGAAATTTCAATAGTCTATTTTATTTTTTAATGATATTTTCTAATTTGTATATAACACAATAAACACTTGTATTATTTACTCCTATTACATTCTCAAAAACTTCCCCAATTATACATCAAATAGAATTCAACGATACGAGTGCATTTCATTGATAAAAAAGAAAATACACACCTAAGTGTTGATAACTTAATAATACAACTTTCATTAATAAGTAAAAACTTTCTAGAGAGTAACACATATAACTTTATAAATTACACATCAATTGCAAAAAAATAAAAAGAAGGAAAACAGGAGAAAGAAAAAGTAGTGTACAAGAAGGAAAACAGGAGAGAGAAAAAGAAAGAGAAGTGAGCACACACAGGAGAAGTGGTGGAGATGAGTAGAGAAAGTCACACGTTTCGGCTCTTAGTTGGATGGAGAAGAAGGTTGTTGTGGGATAAAATCGGATTCGGTATAGGATATAAGCTGGGTTATTATTTTTATATATATTTTTTTAAAAGAAGCTGGGTTGGGTTATATAGGCTAAGGAAGGTTTACAAGAATTTGGGTCGGGCTTCACCTTTACCTAGACAGGGTTGGGCTTCTGCCTGTACTCGACACGTAATATGATCATTATACCATCTAAGGTTGAAAACTTGAAACTCAGCTTATTTGTTTTTTACAACAAATATCATCTATAAAATTCAAACTCAAGAGCTTCGGAAATAAAACAAAAATAGTGTATCACTAGATAAAATGATCATTGACAAGCCCTAGTGGAGCTCGTGACATTAGTTTGCCTTCGTAATTCTCTCAGAGCATTTCTTTTCATTTGCCATGGGAAAAGGAAAGGGGA